AGTATTGCCACTGTGCTAAAGTGTCCAGACCACTGTAAGGAAAGGTCTCTAACCAGCAGCTCAGCTAGACTTGGGATTTCACCATCTGGCCAGGCTGGTCCTTATTTTTCTTTTTTTATTGCAGTAATTTTCCATAGTATCGCCAAACAACAACAAACAGACATTTACAGAGCGTCTTTCACGTTGGGAGGACAGTCAGTCAGGGGTCAGGACCCGAGCAGGGGCGAGGGTTGGGGTAGGGGTGAGGGAAAGCAGAGAAGTGGGAGGGCAACTGAAGGCACGATCGAAGAGGAGGGTCTTGAGACTGGCCTTGAAGGAGGCAAGGGAGGAAGCGAGGCGAAGGGACTGTGGGATGGAGTTTCGGCCACCAGTGGTCAAGCAGGAGACATGGAGCAGGCTGGAGCCCGCTGAACGGAGGGAGCGGGCAAGTTGCTAGGGAGTCAGCAGGTCAGAGAGATAGGAGGGGGCAAGGCCATGGATGGCTTTGAAAGTGAGGACGAGGATGCAGACTAGTTCTATGTTTATTGTATACGGTATATACTATGTAAAAGGTTGGCAATTTCTTATCTTAATGTTGCATTGGCTTTGTACTTTGTGTTTAAAACAATGAGGAATAGTTTGCTTCAGCAATATTGGCCAAATCAAATTAGGGTTTAGTATGGAGCTTTGCCCATAACTCGTGTTTTGTTGGTAAACAATAATGTTGGTAGTCCACCTACATGGAATCTTCCTGCCAACCCAATTCCAGACATTGGGAATAGGAAATTGCTGTGGGTTTATGTTAGGTGTTGAAGACTAGCTCAACCACTTAAGGTTGGTGACTGCAGTTCCTGAATAGCTTAACCTAACATTTAAGGAATTCTCTGCAGTGTCACTGTTCACCCTCATGTAAAATATGTGACACGGTTATAAAATTGGATGACATTGTAAAACTGGAAGAGTGACGTTTCAGAGTGGATGACATTGTGCAGTATTTTGTTTGTTGCACATTTGTACTGCTTAGCTTATCTGTGCCAAACTTCTCCCTTTCACAGCACAATCCCCAAAAATAATATTCTTAGGGTTTTAACCCCCCATTTCTGTTTCTCCAGCTATAAATTATACAAGTTATAAAAGAGTTGCAGCTTATGACCTAGTAATTTGCTGGTATGAATTCCGGTTCTTGCTGAGTTTCTTGGTTTCAACAGGGGTTGCACGAGGGAATTGGTCCTGGAATTTCCATGTTAGGGAGGGGAATGCCTACCGGGTTCTTGCTCATCATCCCTGCCGCTGCTGATTTCTAGCATCTGCAGTATTTTGTGTTAGTGCGGTTGTGTCGCAGCCTGGTGGGATGAGCCGAGACTGGACCGTGACACTTACTGCCAAGGCTCAAAAACAATGGCCATTCGGGTAGGGTACCAGAGGGCAGCCAGGCTCCTGTGGACCTACTCCCCAGCAAGAGAAGATCAGGAGCGGAGAGGTACATCACATGGAGAGAAAATTAGAAAATAATTTAGGACAGTTTTTTTTAAGTGCCTTTTATCACATTAGAATGAATGCTAGTGCTTCAAATTTGTTTTCTGTAAAAGTGACCATTTGCAGGCGAATCCAGCAGCAAATTTGCTAATTGCAGTGGCCTTGAATTTAATTAATATTTTTTTTTATCTGGGTAATTTTTAACATGAACACCGGGAGAAACTCTTTGATTAGTGACGTTTTTAACATCTGCAAATGCAAGGATTATTATTATCTTCTATCTGAACAGGCAGATGACCTTGGTATTGTGTCTCGTGTCTAGATCTATTGCAGAGTACCATTGGGTATGTGAATAATTGCATTCTTAATGGACAGATGAGAAGGCCTGTTTAATCTTTAAGGTTATGAAGATTAAACTTGTGAAACCTGCTAAAATTGAGCGCCCCACCATGCTCCTATTTAGTGGTTTGCTGGGATATTTTGTCCAGCTGCTGTATAAACATGCCATTTGAAGTTTGAAATAGTTGAAAGGGCAGGAATCTGATTACTATATAAGTCTTTTTCGGCATCCACTTTTGCTATCTGGTGAAGATCAAAAATACAAACTTCTTTATAGGTAGCAATTGACAGATGTTTTTTCAAAATCAGTCCCACCTTTTTACTGTTTGCATGATTCTCTGGAATAGGTTGACACATGCCTCTCTCTCACTCTCAGAACAGGTTGCCAACTTTTCCACTGTCTTTGGTCTGTACTCCTGTGCTCCAGCACTGGCACAGAAATCAATAAACAAATGTAAATTTTATCAAATAACAAAGGCAAGTTTTTTTTATTAAGTTCAAATCTTTATATCATGTTTCCTCCTGCCTGATTGTTTTTTTTTGCTTGGCAAAGGTTGTTGTTTGTTGGGTTCTCAACTGAACAAAAAGTGAATGTGTTTTTTTGCTTGTGTATTTTTGTGGTTAATATGCATATAATCTAGTTAAGAGATCAGTAAATCTACTGCTGGGTGTTGCAAGGATGAGGAAGTGCTTGTCAGCCAGTGGTTAGTTGGTAAAAAGCAATCTGCCATCTTAGGTGGCAAAACGGAGCAGTGAGGCTGTGAAATGCTCGATTTGTCATGGAATAGTCCCCAAAGGAAAGAGATTCTTTTTTTTGGGGGGGGATTGGGGTGGTCATCTGGGTGTCGGACACATACAGAAACTCATCATCATGCTTAAGAGTGTTCAAACTAAGCTGCGATTTTCATGCATCCTACCTACACATGGAAATCCCAGAGATTGATTGTTGGAATAGTGTGCATAGTCTTCCTGGAGGGACGCATCCTGCTTACCAAAATCTGGAAAGTATTACGCTCAGGTTGGCAAGAAACAGATATACAAGATATATAAATTGCTGTAATCTAGAGATGGTGGAGATTCCTTTGAGTTTCAAATACAGGTAATTGGGAAGTCATGAACATTTTGAAGCATAATCATAAGGATGGTAAAATATGTAGGTTGAACTCTATGCCCCCAGAAGTACTTTTGAGGCTTGAAAGGGTATAGGGATAAAGCGGGGCAGTAGGATTCAAGTGATCGCCTAGCTCAGTGAACTGGTGCAGGCTTAATGGGTCAAATGACTTCCTTCTACCCTGTAGATTTCTATATTTCTACATTCTTTCCATGTTCATTATTGTGCAAGATAAATAACATTGTTTATTTTTAAATCTGACATCCCAAATCCTGTGTGCAAATGTTGCTGTTGCCTAGTTTGTCCTGTTCAGACTAATGCATATATAATTAGGTTCTGCTAAGTGATTGTTCACTGTTGTCCTTATTATCCTGGTTCTGGTGTATTGTTATAACATAAAACTCTCATGCAAGTAGCGTTTGGCAGGTTTATACTGATGTACCTGCTAATGTGTTTTCATCAGCAGATCAGTCTCTCTCCAGAACCACCAGTCTCTTACTTTTCACATTGCCATGTGAATTAGTTAGTGCTATTGTTAACTTTCAAACATTGCTAAGTTAATGTTTTGAATCATTTTTAATTATTGAGAAATCAAAATTTGCCGCTTTTTCAATGGTTGTATTTCCTCCATTGAAGACATTGTGTGTTTCTGAACTGGAGCGTTGGTGATGCAGTGGTGATATTTAAGCTTTGCTCATAGAACAGTTTTTCTATTTAAACATTACAGTGTTGCTTTTTTGTTCCTTCCCCGTGTGGCATTTAACATTACACTTCAAATGCATGAGATCTTTGGCACAGTCTTTCTCTCCCGTTTAGGAGGATATCTGAATATTGGGCACTCTTCCCAGTTCCGTTGCAATTTAGAAAACCATGATTTTGCAGGAGGGAGAGAATAGGAGAGAGAGAGACTAGATAACCTTCAAAGGTCACGGACAAAGCATATGTTATTGTGTTGTTGAAGGGATGGATGACAGTGTGTGTGTTGTACCTGAGAGAGGCAGAGCAGCTTGCTATGTACTATGGTGACACTAAATGTTAGTACTGCACATTTGAGATGTCTAGAAGACGTGAAAATCGCTATATCAAATGCAAGGATTATTATTACAATATTTTGCAATGCTGGGTGGGGCAGATGATTTCCTGCTCCTCGCCGGCCTTCCCGCCACCTCCCTCCACACGCTGCAGGTCATTCAGAACTCTGCAGCTCGTGTACTGTCCCGCACCAGGCTTCGGGACCACATCACTCCCACCCTCGCTCACCTCCACTGGCTCCCCATCCCCCAGAGGATTGATTACAAGATCCTCATCCTCACCTACAAGGCCATTCACGGCCTTGCTCCCTCCTACCTCTCCAACCTACTATCCCCCTACCTACCTGCCCGTACCCTCCGTTCCTCCGGTCTGCTCCACATCCCCCGCCCCAACCGCCCTACCATTGGTGGTCGGGCCTTCAGCCTCTCAGCCCCAGGCTCTGGAACTCTATCCCCCAGTGCCTTTGCCGCTTCCTCCCTCTCCTCCTTCAAGGCCGGTCTCAAAACCTTTCTCTTTGACCGAGCCTTCAGCTCCCCTCTCGACTCTCTTCCCCCCCCTCGCTCCCTCCCTTCCCTCCCCTCACCCTGACCATTTCCCCCCTCCTCGCTCCCTCCCTTCCCTCCCCCCCTGACCATTTCCCCCCTCCTCGCTCCCTCCCTTCCCTCCCCTCACCCTGACCATTTCCCCCCTGCTCGGGTCATGACCCAACTGTGCAACGCCTTGGGACGTCCTCCCGACGTGAAAGGCGCTTTATAAATGGAATCTTGTTGTTGTTGTTGTTTGGGTTTTATGGTCTCAGTAAGGTGTATTCAGCTTGAATATACAGGACACAGATTATCCCTGTGTTGTTGTTATCAGTGTTGCTTTCTGAAAATATTTTTGTAATTTGGGATAACATTGCAGTTTTAATAAGCTGTTGAGATTGATAGGGGCCCAGGTATTTGCTTGCATTCTAAATTGGTGGAAGGATTGTTATTGCCATGTGCTAAAATGTCAGATATCTTGAAGAGGTAGTGTGCAGTTGGCTAAAGTCTAATTGATCTTTTTCCATTTTTTTTACAAGGGAATTCTTCTTGTGTCAACGCTTCGCTCCATGTATTGGTCAACTGCTCAGCCTTGAACGAATCATGTCAAGGTAGGTCAGGCATTTAGTTCACCTGAGGTTTTGTCGCTAGTTCTTTCTGAATTGACCATCTTTTGAGAAATTAAGCATTAGTTTTACACCAAAGTATAAAGTCAAAGCGCTGCACCCTTCAATTTGCTACTAAAGGCTGGGATGTAAAGCAGGTTTGTAAACTTACAGAGAATGGAAGCAGACTTGAAAATGCGATGGAAAGAGATTTCATTGCAAGATGCAAAGCTGACTCTTGTTTATTGAAAGTTCATTGTTTTGGGAACTTGCGGGTATCCTCACCTACTGTTTTTTTTCCCCATAAATTATGTGTTGATATTGCTGTTTGAGTTTGAACGAATTGGAACTAATGTCACTTTGTGATTTTAAAAACTACCTCATTGTATCACAAAATCATGGCCCTGGTACAAGTGGGTTGATAAATGGCGGTTCACAATGAGTATTGATAAATGGGGACTGAGTGGCAAAGATACTGTCAACCAAGTGGCTCCTCCAGTCCAGTGCTGAAGATTTCTAGGTTTCTACACAGGCTATCAGCCCTAACCTGGAAACTCCCTGTCCCAATATCTCCATCTCAGCCCACTTTATTTTTAAATCCCACCTTAAGACTTGCCCCTTTGACCGCACCTGTGGTCAATTCCCTTTAATCCGTGTCCACTGTACAGCGCTCTGAGATGCTATCCTGGGTGAAGGGCACTGTATGTATGTTGTAGGGCAATGCAGGGTTGTTCAACATTTCTCATCCTCAAAAAAGAAGTCATTATGAAATGTTTACCTGGAGAACTCACAGTGGGTTGAGTGCAATATTGACTGTTACTTTGATGATCCGACTCTCATTAACCAGTAACCATTGTTATCAAATGCTGTGTATAATTTGGTCAGAAGAGCTGTTTAGTCCCACATTGAAAACATTTGGTCTTGACATAAATGTACCTTTTTTTAATGAGAAAGCTTTCCTGGCATGAAATAAATGGCACAGTTCTAGCTGAAACAGCATTAAAGTTATTGGGCATGTACTTCATTGCAGATAAAATGCCATTGGACTACTGGGATATATATATATATTCTGATTCTTATGTGAAGTTGTGATATTTTGGATGATGTGGCTCTAAAGGTGTTTTTCTTCATTTAATTTCTGGAAGCTGTCACCTATTTCTGTTGTTCTTTTTGTTTACCCTCGTTTCTCACAAAGCTTCAGTAGCACTTTCTGAGACTTGCAGAATTTTCTGTTTTATAAAGTGTCGCATAGATTTTCAAGAATACCCAAACGTATTTGTCAATTTCCCGGCCATTTTTATGCTTCACTGCATAAGACACATTTTTGCGTTGATGTAAAAATCTACAGAAACAAAGTGGGATGCTGAAGCTTTGGAGTCCAGGATTACAAACAACAACAAATTGTCCCAATGTCCCAAGGTTCTGAATGATAAATATGGCTTGTACAAATCCATTCACCAATAAAATGGTACAGTTGTAGTTTTGTTGGCCACTTCTCAAATTCTTCTGCTTATCTTGTTCTTCAGCCCCTACAACTCCATCTACAACTACAATTCCTACTCCTACTTCAACCAATTCTTCTTCAAACTCATCAACCACAGGTAATGATTAGAGAATTGGAGGATTTCTGTGGTGCTTCATCAAAGTATTGTTCGCAAGTTGGTTCCTCTGCATGGGTGTTGCTGGCAACCTATCTGGAAGAAATACTACTCCTGTTCCCTTTCAATTTTAACAATTTGTCAGTGTGCATGTATTTATGGTCTATGGAAATATGTGGGTGTTCCACACTGAAACTATATTACCTTTGATGGTATGGTTTGTTTCTGTGATATATGAAATGTAGACTCAATCTTGACAGCCTGCAGTTATGATTACAGTCCTACTAACACCCGCTTTGTGTCCATATCCACTGGCATGATAAGAGTAAGGGGGCACGTTACTTTTTAATGGTACGTATGCTGGATGTAATACATATGTAGTGATTTGAGTGTGACGATGCAATGGTATTAATTTTTTTCCATTCTGGCTCATGCGCAGTTCCCCCCACTGTGAATACTACTACAATCATTACATCGACACCAACCACTGCCCATTCCACAGGTAAGCATGAAACATCTCAAAGCATGTGCATATCCCAACATATTTTAAATGTTGGATGATACTGCAGACTCCCAGTCTGATATAGGTCATATCCTGAAGAGGATATGTAGTGCTTTTGGTCTTCCCCTGTCAGGAGATGTAGCTGCAGGGTAGACACTGCTTTAGAATTGTATCAGATTCACGCATGACTCCATAACTTTTTCCTAAGTCTTCAAACAAGTTCTTTTGTGACCCCCATTTGCCTGTGATTACTCCTCTGTGGGTTATGTAGTTTTACAGTAGATTGATAGTTATGTGAAAGGGTTGCTAAGCCAGTCAGCCCAAAGTAATTTCTAACCCAGCCCGAAACTGTTATGAAGAGCACCTCAAACAAATTCTCCCTCTGTATGCTAGACTTGTTTAACTGAGTGGTAACTGATGGGGTTCTTGAAGGATTAATGTAAAATTATAAATGGATTCTAATGCCAAATACATGTGTAGCCCAAATATGCTTTCCTCTAATGCTTAGCTGAAATCAAGGCCTGGAAGAGTGCCAGCTTTCTGCAGTTGAAAATGAATAAGACGAAAGCCATCCTCCTTGGCTCCCATCAATGTCTTCTCACCTGCAGTTCTGGTCCCCTTAACTTTCCTTGCTTATACCTGGGACTCATTGAAACTGAACAAAATCTTGGCGTCTGGTTCAATCCCTAGTTATCCTTCCTACAGGGACTGCTTTCATCCACATCACCTGCCTTCACCTCTGTCTTTCCTCAAACGTAGTTCTCCCCAGCTCCACTATTAAGGTTCAAATTATTTAAAAACTCTGCCTCCCTCGCTGTACCAGGCTCTGAACCCCAATCACCCCGGTCCCCACTGGATCATTATTGCAGAATGGATCAATTTCAAGATTCTGATAGTTATATCTATCAGGAAAGCCTGAACTTGTTTGGACTCTTCTCTTGAAAAGAGGAGGGTAAGGGGTGACCTGATCGAGATTTTGATAGGGTAGAGACAGGGAAGATGTTTCTATTTGTGGGAGAGCTCAAAACCAGGGGCCATCAATATAAAATAGTCACAAATAGATCAATTAGGGAAGTTAGAAGAAATTTGTTCACACAGAGAGTAGTGGGAATGTGGAACATGCTACCACACGGAGTTGTTGAGGCAAATAGCATAGATGCATTTAAGGGAAAGCTAGATAGGTACATGAGGGAGAAAGGAATAGAAGGTTATGCTTGAAGGCTTAGTTGGGAAGGGCAGGAGGAGGCTCATGTGGTGCATGAACACCGGCATAGACCAGTTGGTTCCGAATGGTCTGTTTCTGTGCTGTATGTTCTAATGTAATGTATAATGATTCTCATTTTCCAATAAATATATTCATGCCTTGGCACCTTCCAACCTTTTTGATCTGCTCGCTCCTCTGCCTGCTGTCTTCACTCAGCTGGCTCGGATTTTCTGTATATCCCTCGTCCCCTCCACTCCACAAGTGGCGTTTGTGCTTTCAGTTACTATGCCTCGAATCTCTGGAATTCCTTGCCACCCCCTCTCCTCTCACACACACACACTTTGCCTCCCTTCAAAACACAAATGAAGACTTTCTTCTTCTACCATGCCTTTGGTCATCTCCCCACCCTTTGCTGCTCAGCATCAAACGCTGTTAAGCGCTCAGGGGTTACCCACATGAAGCGCGCTGTATAAATGAAAGTTTTTGTAATGTGTCTTGTTGCTTGCTGCAGGTACTACTAATGGGACAACTGCTGTGCCTCCATACAAGAAGACCTCTACGTTTGATGCCGCAAGCTTCATTGGTGGTATTGTGTTGGTGCTTGGATTGCAAGCTGTTGTATTCTTTGCGGTCAAGTTCTGCAAGACCAAGGATAGAAACTACCACACACTCTAAGAGCTGCTGCAAGTCCCAGCATCACAGCTGTTGTGTTGGTCTGCTGTGTATAGTTTAAGTTGCTGGAGATGACATGCCACTCTTTAATTAGCCATATCTTAATGGTGTAAATAGTTAAAATTTTTCTGTGATTTTGGTTTTGCCTTGACATTGTAACTTGTGGACTAGACTCAAACCACGTTTATGTACTGGCCATGAGGATTTAGTGAAAACAATTAAACCATGCCTTAAGTAAACGTGGCCTTAATACCTGTTATTTTCTAAACCCATAGGAAATGGGTTGCCTCCAAACTATGAAGTTTTATTCATGGAAGTATATCTTCTGTTTAAATTTTTTCAGTGTTTTCCTTAATGTAGAGCTGCCAACCAGCTTGATGTCAAATTCCAATACGTACATGCACATTCTGTAGCCCACTTTAAGCAGAGAATGTCTCATTGCAGATTTAATGTTGCAAGCTGAATTTGAATCCCTCCTCCCCCGTTCCATTGAATTGTTTGCAGTAGATCCAAACATTTGTCAATTATGCCTGGTTTATATCTCTGAAATAACACTCCAGTCTATGTGTAGCGTGTGTGATCATTCTCAATTTGCCATACATAAAAATACAAATCTGGAAGCATGTTACCTGATTGACGTCCGCTTTTGACTGTTTGGAGGATTTATTTTGTTCCGACATTTTAAGGAAAAGGTATTCCATATTGCTGTTTTGTGAAATATTGCATGTTATGGTATGTTGGAGGTTTTGCAAATGGAAATAATTTGCGTTCCTTTTAAGCCATTTGTGTGAAGCTGAAAAGAATTGGGATGGTTTCAGATATGCAAGTAGAATATTTTTCTTGGAGCAGTGGCAACTAAAGTTGTCAGCTCTTGCAATGACCTCAGTGAAAAGAATTTAGCCATTTAGTTTGGAATTGTTTTGTTGTGTGAAAATCAGAAGACAATCATTTCAGATGTGAGATATTAGAATCTAAAAGATGTTATTGTTGATTCTGGGATTGGTGTTTTTTTGATATATCTTGGACCTTGACATTAGTGCATGTTATAACCATTCACAATAAGTGGCTTCAGGTTGGAAGTATGAGCTCCCGTTGTACAACTTGCACATGAAAGGGATTAACTGTAACTGGTAATCTACAGACTTAATACGTAAGCAAAAAGTGGTGGTGAACAATTATTGACCCGAAGCAGCTGAATTAATGAGGCTGAGAAGAGAAAGTGAAGATTTGGGTTTTAAAGTTGTTGATCTTAAATTGTCAGTCTGCTGAGTTAAGTTTATGTGCTTAGATGCCAACCACTTGGTCCTCATTGTTAATACACTTGAATTGTCCAACAGCCCCCTCGCCCAGCTCTGCTTTTCTTTCCCACCTTCTCCAGACACAAATGCCCGCTTCCAGCCAATTGCACAGCAACATTAAAAGATCACAGATCAAGAGGCGTTTGTGTGTAAGCAGTGTCAACCTGGATGGAAATGGGTTGCAGGTGTGTGACAGTAGAAAAGAGTCAAATCTAAAGTTATGTCTTGCATTTTTCTTTAAATCTTTCTCTCCTGAGAGACGCTCTATGTAGGAATTGCACTAGTTTCAGTTTTAATATAGTGAGAGAGTGCATGATTGGCAAACATTTAAAATATTTTGGGGGTAATAAGAATTGTTTTGAATGTTTTAGACAACAGTGCTTGTTTGAACTGTAGTAGATTGTGCAAACTGACTTGACTGCAATTTTTTTTGTGATTTATGGCGTTTGAAAGACCAAACCAACCTTTAACAACCAACTAAACAAGAAGTCTGTAAACTCTTCTAATTCATTAAGCCTGTTGCATCATTACTACATTTGGCCATCTGAAACCAAAGGGATTATATGTATCAATGTGATCTGTATGCTGTTTGCAGGTACTTTTTGTTAGCAACGTTAATATGTAAATTTACTGGCTATGCTCAAGACTACAGCAAATGTGAATTTTGATAACTTGGTTTTACCAAAACATGACAACTTGCATTCAATGTGAGGAATCTTGTTGGTAAAATTAAACGTGTTTCCAAATGCTTTAATACATGTTGCACTGAAACATCACAGTACCTGTTTTGCCTTTCTATTCATGTTTGCATTCACATATTGTACTCAACATCAACTAAACTCAGTTTTGCACTTGAATAGATGCTGTGCAATTTGAGTATGTATCTAGGTCGAAGTGCCTTAATGAATGGCTTTACAAGCCATTAATTTGAATTGTGGCCAAAAATGTAACTTTGAAGGTGGGAGGGAGAAAGGGGTATAATTTTTTAAAACTGTTTTGGGAATGCATGGTTCAAGAATTCTGCTGCCTTACGTGCTCAAACTTGTGTTAAAGCTTAAATTTCATTTGGATGCTTGCATTAGCTCTTTCCATTGTTCTGTAATTTTGCTTTCACAACCTGCAATATTTTGTCAAGAGAGCAGAATGTGTAACCATACCAACCAATAAATTTCATGTTTTACCCCCGTTTGTCAGTTTGGAATTTTTCCTGAAGCTTCTTTTGGTGGTTTATTTTGGAAACGGAACTGTAGTAATCAACCATACAGACCAGGAAGATTTCACATTTAGCCGCTACTGAGTTGGATCTTTTCTGGGGTGACAGCAATGTGGTGCGAGGAAAAATCCTGCTTCCTGCCAGTAACCCCTTCCTGGAAGGTGGAGTGACAGTAAATACTGGGTCACATTTAGAACGCCTAAATCAAATAACTTGATGTATATAAAAATATAAACTTTGCATTTTTGATATAATTGCCTTTTATATTAGGAGGATGCTGTTCACAGCATTTTGCAGTTAAGTAATGACTATTTTGTAGGTGAATGTACACTTTTAACTCAGTATGAAGAATGGCTACTTGAGTGATTGGAGGGAATGCTATTACTCAGAATGCTTTAAATGTATAGGTACAATTGTACAATCACATTCACAACAATCAATAACATTTTTAATAGGAAATATAAAGTCACCTTTTATTTGATTTAAACTTTTCTTCCCCCTCCCTGGTGTACTACATTAAAGCACAAACTGATTGCATTGGATTTTTAAAAGAAAATCAAACTACAAAAATAGTAATAAAGCATATGGATGGTTCTTGTGGTGCATTTCTTCACAGCTCACGGCTTTCCTAATGCAATTGTAGATTGTCAGTTGCAAGTTCTTTGGGTTGTCTTGACTATTTCCGATTCATTCTGAGCTCCAGCAGCTGCAAGAGAAGTCTTTGAGGTATTTGCTCCTCATGATCTGGTACAGGTAATTCCACTGCCTTGCTACGGAGTCTGTATGGTACCTTTCAAAATGTAAAGCATTTTTTAAAAAAATGTCACCATTGTTTCACTGGATGTTATGGGCAGGAGAGTTGTGTGATAAATGAATTCCAATCATGTTAACACTGCCCGTTTCTCACTGTTGTGTATTTTTCTTCTTGACTTTTCCTTTTCCCCATTCAGTGACATTTTGGGGGTATTTAAATGAAATGGAATTAATCAATTCAATATGCAAACCTGTTAGTCAAAGTCACTATCAGAATCGCTAATCCAGATGGTTACAAGCGGGGAGAGAACAATACTTTGGACAAAAAAAGACACATTTATATCTTAGCAGTGGGGCAATATGGATGGCCACATTCTCTTTGGGCTGGGTTCCGTTACTGTGAAGCGCTCTGAGACGCTTTTCGGAGTGGAGGGCACTATATAAATCCAAATTGTTGGGTAAGGGAAAAGTCAGCTACAGTCATGGAGGCATTATAACCAATTCTTGTTACTTTTGTTTTTCCCACTGACAGCCCACCCTGCCTCCCTCACTCCGGCGCACCTATTCTTGAATATCAGGTGAAACTTGGCCTCCATTCTGCAAAATAGTGTAATAAGTGAACCATGTTCATTTAGATGGTGAGGGACCAGTACCTGTGGAACCTATTATCTTCTTTGTCAATGGGCATGATTTTTCTAATCAACAAGATGTGAAAAATAATACCCTGGCTCCAAGAGCTAGTCATCCTAAGTATGACAATTTGGACCCAGATAGTAGAAGTACTAAAGTACTCAGTGCAAAAAATGGTGATGTAGTGTTAAACAATACTAGAAGTGAAGTGAACGGTGTGAATTATTGTGCAACATGATGGATTATTTTGATCTGATCCATTGCATCTCTGAATAATTATTTTGGCAAAATAAAGCATGGAAAAGAAACATATCAGTAGTGCAGGATAAGAGTAATTAGTATTACTGAAAAAGTAGGAGATGACAAGTCATCTAATCCACCTCCAGAAAACTGCTGCTCGTATCACACTGAAAAATTAAAACACTTAAGTGTTTTGCAAGATTTGTTTGCATCACCCAGAAGACAATTTGTTGCTCACCGTCTTTGGCCTTTGCATTCTTCCTTCCAAACGACTGCTGAGTCCACTCGCATGGTTGGTCTTTGGGCCTGCGGTCAAAGGGGTCTGATAATAGTTCCTGGAAATCAATGGTGATGTGTTTGTTGAGGACTGAGTGCCTGGAAGGAGGAAAATTAATATTCATACCATGGAATATCCAGTGGAATAACCACATCAACTAGAACTGGACCCCGTGCTACCAAACTGCAGTTCCAGATTTCACCATCACACTCTCTGAGGTAATTATCAATTATTTTTAAAAGCACGATTTTTAATTAAAAAACCTTTTGGTTTTTTTTGACCTAAGAAAACTCGTGTCTGAGCGCATTGGTCTGACCAAAATGAACTTTGCTTAAGTGGAAAATGACACACATTGAGTTGATTATGCAGTAAATTACAGCAAGGGGCTTAGATTCATGTAAAACTCTTCAAAATGCAGCAGATAGGAAGGTTTTGTCCTTTATTTTAAACCACTCTCTAAAATGCAATGATTATTATATATGCGGAAGAATATATATGTTGGTTCAGGACAGGACTCAGTTTTTGTCTCTCTTCCCCCCCCCCCCCCCCGTCATTGTAGGCTGCCAATAATCCACTTCCAGGCTCACACAGGAAGAAGTTACTTGGACAAGGTAGCTGAAAACTGTCAAGTCTGGAATTGTAAACCAGCCTTTAGGAAAGGCAAGGAGAAAATTAGATCTTATTTAAAAACAGATTACATTTGCTGATGAAGAACAGATGTGCAGTCAGCAGTTGCCTTCACCTAATGACAAACAGAACCCATGCCAAGGTCAGGCGGGTTGAGGAAGCTGGGTTACAAATGAATGGAGAAGCAGTTAAAGGGTGCTGTCTAATAGGAAAAATATTGCAGATTTAATTGTATCAAACTAAAGATCATCAATGTATTCATGTTAAGCTTTGATATCTGGTAAAATACTTCTGAAGCTGCTTGTGCTGACAGAGCTGAGGCTGATTTCTTTCTGTTGCCTGATTTTTTAAGAAGATAAAATAATACAAAAACAAGACAAGGCTTAACTAAAGTTGTACTTAATGGAGAACATGGAATTAAACAGAACAAGACAAAAACAGACATATTATCATGACAGACACATATCATATTATCCTGTTGCGTTAAGCCTAGCGATGGTTACCATGTTGAATTCTAATGGGATTTCTCCATTATACTCATGAAAGCTCAAATGTCACTATGTGTACACTGGTGGGAATTTCAGGCCCAAGGGCTCATTTTTTAAAAAATGAACAGGAACTCTAGATGATTTGAATAGAAACAATGCTATTCCCAACTTCGAAAACATGACATGCAGCACTTAATCTCTCCACCAACCCTGCACATCTGTGTCCTTGTTTATATGCGTATTGCTTTGTATCAAGGTGTCTATTGGGATGTCCTCCTGACGTGAAAGGCGCTATAAAAATGTAAGCTTGTTGTTTAAGACTGATCATGAGACACTACTATTTGGCTTTATGTTGAAATAAACGAGCACATTATCACCCTTTGTCTTCAAAGCATTTTTAAAATAATCCCTTTTGGACTGGCTTTGTTCAACACTCAAATTCCCCTATTTTCCTCCCTGCTCAGTGGTTAACATCATCCTTGCAAAGCACAATGCTCCTTTTGTCGAGTCCATTCATGATTTTCAAATTGCACATAGTCACCGGGTAAATTTATATTGCAAGTTGTGTTTGGTAGAAACATGATTGCTTGGGCCAATTTTGGAAGAGCTAGGTTACCTATAAAATCCATAGTCACTATACAGTAAAACCTGTGAAGTGCTTTGTGATGTTTTGATGATGAGATGAGAAATCCACTGATTGCTATAGTCACCTCAAGGCTCGATTACCGAAACTCCCTCTTCATCGGCCTTCCCAACTCTTCCCTTCACAAGCTGCAGATCATCCAAAACACTGCAGCTCATGTACTCTCGTGCGCCAGGCTCCATGACCCCATTGGCTCCCCATCCCCCAGAGGATCGAATTCAAGATCCTTGTCCTCACTTTCAAGGCCATCCATGGCCTTGCCCCCTCCTGTCTCTCTGACCTGCTGACTCCCTACCAACCTGCCCCCTCCCTCCGTTCAACGGGTTCCAGTCTGCTCCACATCTCCTGCCCGACCCGCCCTACCATTGGTGACCAGGCTCTCAGCCTCTGCTCCCACACTCTGGAACTCCATCCCATGGTCCCTTTGCCTCGCTTCCTCCCTTGCCTCCTTCAAAGCCGGACTCAAGACCCTTCTCTTCGATCATGCCTTTGGTCGTCCTCCCACCTCTCTGCCTTCTCTGCCTCACCCCTACACCACCCCTTCCCCATGCTCGGGCCCCGACACCTGACTGTTCAGCGCTTTGGGACGTCCTCCCGACGTGAAAGGCGCTCTATAAGTAATGTAATTTTGTTGTGCTTAAAAAAAAATCCAGGTCTATATCAATTGCAAGGATTATTATTCAGAAACGTACTGATGAAGAATCCTTTGATCTGAATCCTTCTAGAATACTGGTCTTACCCCCTTCTCTTAAACCATCAAACTATTTCTCAAATAACTCTAGTGCACTGGCTCTCAACCACATCATTTCAACACTTCCTTGTCAGGTTTTCACAGGGGTAGAATATGAATATGCAGTTGTTTTCTTTAAAGATCATTATGTCTTATTTGTGAATGTACTCACGCTGCAGATATTAATCCTTCACAGGAGTTGGGAAGAGCGATTGAAAAAATTGCCTGGAGAAAAGAGTTGAGAAACTCTACACTCAAGGTAAGAAAATAGCAAATGGATACCTGCATTCAGATTTTTCAAGTTGTTGAAATATTTGTATCTAATCTGCTCAATAATTGCTATGTCAATGGTATTGAATTAAATTTTGGCTGTTGACCACATTAGTAAATGTTCATCCACTTTAAGTATTTTATAGGTTTTTAAAATTTATTTTGGAGCATTTTAAAGTATTTTTCTCTCTCCCATGTCCTTATATCTATATTAAAATAATATTGTCAGCCTGGCTCAATTAGCAGTCTCACCTTTGGGTCAGAAAGCTGAGGGGTTAAGCCCCATGTTGGGACTTTGAACCCGCAGTCTAGCTTGACACTTCATTGGAGTGCTGTGTTGTTAGACGTGCTATTGTTTTAATAAGACATTAAACTAACATCCTGTCTGTTTGAGACATTTCAACAATGTGACAAGGCACTTTAATATAGCACCTTATCATGTTGAAATTTCTTAAAGTGCTTTACAGAGCTTTCTGAAATGCGTTATGACTAAGGATTTTGTAGGCAAATAGTGTCCATTTCAACCCCCAGCTGTCCTTCCTCCACCACATCTGGTCCCTGACCAGGACCGCTTTCCTCCACCTCTGCCACATTACTCACCTCTGATTGTACCTTACCCTAAATGCAGCTGAAACCCTTGTGCATGCTTTTGTCATCTCCCGCCTGGATTACGCAAACACACTACCTTGCCGACCTCCTCACTCCCCAATCCACAACACACCACTTCCACTCGACTGGCACCAGGCTCCTGCTTGTCCCTCGCACTCTCCGCTCCACCATTGGAGGTTACCCTTCAGCCACTACACCCCGAAGCTCTGGAAGCACAGCTCTTCTGTGGTAGAACAGCCTCAATCCCTCTGCCTTGCCCCTTCTCTCCCCTTTTTCAAATCCTGCCTGAAAACCATCCTTTTCAACTGTGCTTATCGTCACCTCCCGCCCACCCCCGGGGTCAGGCTCCGCCACTGTTAAGTGCTCTGAGACAGTAGCCTGCGTGAAGGGCACTATATAAGTGCAAGTTGCTGTTGTCGATAGCTATTGTTCAAATGAGCCATCTGTCAATGATAACTTATGACTTATTACCCCAACTCTACAATATGCAGGTTGTGCCATTGGTAAACAGATAAACCACCAAAGTCAGATATTTCCATAAAACGAAAAACACACATTGAAGTCTGTGCACATAAGCACATCCAGTAAGGCTGTCAGTTGTTCGATGAAGAGATTGATGGTTACAAAGAGTTGCAGATGGGGCTGTCTATCTGGGCTCCAGACTGAGAGCTTCCCCCGATTCCCCAGTTTCAGGACTCCCCAGAGACCGGATTCCCATAAGAAATCATGAGAATCCAGGGAAGCTTCAAAAAGAGTACTCTTGCATGCGCAGTAACCCCTGCTTACTGGATACCAGCTATCTGCAATTCACACCTAGCCACACCGGGCATGAAATGGAAATTTTAAAAAAATGTTGGTTCAAAAGAAACCTTTTTTTTTAAATTCCATGCCCGCATGCAGACTCCTTATTTGCTATCTTCTGCTCTGGGGATTCAAACAATTACAATGCTGCTACAGCATTTACTGGAAATTACAATGTCGGTACCGGTGTTGTAATTACACTTAGCTGGAAATTCTAGCTTGGCAGACCAGATCTCTCTCTCCCCCCATGTCCCCTGTCCATTAGTCTGACCAGCCATATTTAGTATTTCATCCTGGAAGTTTAAGCAGAAGATGATTAGTTTCAAAACACAAATCTCACACACTACAGATATGGTGAGTATCATATTCGCACATGACTAAAATACTACCTACCACCTGTTCACAAAGCGAAACGGGTACAGATAACTCTTCTAGTTCGAGCTGCCGTAAAGATGAACAGCCAATCTGTGCAATGTTTCCCATGTCAACTGACTCAACAACAGCTTGTATTTATATAACACCCTTCATGCGTGATAGGGTCTTGGAGCGCTTATCTGATCTAAGCCATTTTCAAAAGAAACCAAAACACAATCCCTCACATTTTCACCTCTCCTCTCTGTCTTCCATTCCTCCCGTAATCTTTCCCATTTTCTTCCCTTTGTTTTCTTATTTTTTTCCCTCTTCAGGTTTTTTAAAGGACTCCTAGGCCTATCCCACATGAAGGATGCTATATAAATGCAAGATGTTGTTGTCAAAATACGCAGTCCATATACTTTACAGTAAAATCCTGTGAAGTGCTTTGAGACATCCTCCCAATGTGAAACGCCCTATATCAAATGTAAGGATTACTTATTTTAGTCTTACTGAGGGATCCCACTGAGAAATACTGAAGCTTGTTTGGATTACCTGAAGCACAGCTCTTCTGTGGTAGAATAGCCTCAAAGTCATAAACCTGGCTTTGTAATTCATCAAGACGCTGGAAGGCATCGAGCTTCAAGTTGCGCTCATGAGATAGCTGGCTGCGTATCTGGTCACAAACAGAAATGGGTCATAGTGTGATGATAATAACAGGTTATACTGGTAGAAATATTCTCACTACAGGTCCATAAAGGCATTTAAATGTGAATTGGAAAAATATTAGAATGAATGGAGAAAGTGATTAAAGTGGATAGTTCCAAATTGGGCACTAGCAGTAGTCCAGGCATGACAGGCCAAACGGCCTCCTTTGTGCTATAAAGCGTTCTAGGTTTTTATAATTTAAACATTTCGAGAAGTCTTCCCAGTCTTCCCGTCATGAAAGGCGATATATAAATATAAGCTTAGAAACACTTATGGCTGAATGGTAAGGCTGCTCTGTCAGATCTGTACGCTTACTGGGCAAATTACCAAGTCACACGGTGCAGGATAGTATCATGACAGGCAGTGATGTAAATCAAGTAATAGTTAGGTCTTAAAAGTCTGCTAATTCTCGGAGGAAACTCGGGGAAGGTAAGGAGTTCCACAGTCTTGGAAGTTTGGGAAAATAAGTGAAAGCATGGTAAGCTGATGAAAAGGTTTGATGTCTACATATCGAGAGTGGAGAGGGGAGAGTGGAGGAAGAGTGTGTCAAACAGATTTACAGCAGCAATGGATCTGATCAAAGTGTGAATCCATTCAGAGCTGAAGCTATGCTGTACAGGAAGCTTCTTGCTCATTGTTTCAGTCTCTCTACAAGTTGTCTTCATGTTTGAAAGTATTTATAGAGCACATAGTTGATTTTCAGGTCAGGGGTTCTTTGTACTAAGAGGCAGTTACTCATGCCACCTACAGACCCCTAGATTATGTGCAGGAAACCCCAGTTTCAAACCCAGTGTTAGGTTAAAATCCTAATAAACTGCAGTGAATCTCATTTCCCAACTTATTGACTTTGGGGTGGGGGGAGGGAAATGGTTTGAGTTGGGAACTCAAGCTCACAATAAAAATCTGTCCAGTATAAAATAACAATGTAAAAGTCATTACAGCAGTGGCTTTATGCTGGCACCAATGCATCCTAATCGAACAGCGATTAGGTACAGCATGTCCCAGACCCGTCGGAAGGCATTTACAAGCCTTGTACGACACTGAATGAAATTGCACCATTCTACACCATTGCCAAAGTACTTTTTTTTAAAGTGTGCTCTGTGAAGCACTAGATGAATGCTGCAGTTAAAACACACAGTCTCATTTTAGTCTCAACAGGAACAGGAAAAAATATTGTTAATACATATTATTCAGGCGGTCAAAACAATTACGTAGGCAATTGTCCGCAGCGAGAACTTTCTGTAATTGGCCAAGAACACTGTCTTTTGGTTCTTGCGCCTTTTGAGTTAAGCAAAGAGAGATTCAGGTGAAGAAGGTTCTTCATAGTTCCAATGTCTTCCCATTACAACATCAAGCTGCTTCTTAAATAATGCCCTGAATCTGAGCTTACCCACCCTTGTCTGGTAACCCCTCCAGCTGCTGATTATCCTCTGTCCTAACATTGCTCTTCACAACTTGAATCTGGGGATCAAACTTCTGTTCTACTCTGCCCTGTCTCTACCCGCCCTGGGCAAGTGATTTGCATTAGTCTGTTTGAATTATCTGACTTAGCTTCCGATTTGCAGATATCTTTAATTCAACTTCATGAAGAGATCCTCCTAATGTAAAATAAAAAAGCAAAAAAAAAACAAATGCAAATATGTTCAGTAGATGTTCAAATGAAGCTATTGTCAGTCCCTGACCTCTCTGTGCAGCTGAATTTAGTAAGGAAGTTTGCATTTCTTTCTGACTGCTAATTTTCCTGCAGTTTTCTTAGTCACATCTATTGGAATGTTAGGTGTGAAAGAGTATAGTTACTTTCAGATAAATATTTTATGTATGTGAGAAAACTTTGCAAGTTATTAACAATAAGGGGGCATTTTGGTTCAGTAGTTAACTGTAAAACATAGAAAAAGACCATTTGGCCCTTAAAGTAACCAAGCATATTCCCAATGATGTGTATCCATAATTGATAGTTAATCTTAGTGTTATCATTTAAGGAGTTTTTGCAGATTTCATCTGGGCTGCTAGATGGAATGCTTTTTGGGTACTGGGTTTCAAGAGTGTAAATAAACCCAGTTGTTTAAAGAAACATGTCTTTAAAGCTCATGTCACATCATTAGGAATCATCATTGATAGTGGCAATGTTGGTACCAGCTCAGAATGTACTGCACTCCCACCACTGAGAGCACCAGCACTTTTCCCTCACCCTCCTACCTGCTTGATCTCCTTGTTGGTTTTACTGTGCTGGATCTGATCGATTTTGGAGGACCTCTCAAAGTGGTCGGTGAAAAGACGAAGCTGCTGCTCTTTCTCTGTCATGTCTTCCAGTAGTCGCTCCATGTCGGATGCCTTCATGTTGTCCAGCTGCTGCCGGCTCCGTAAATCCTGAGAGGTCCTGTGCTGGTACTCCTTCAGTAGCCATTTCTGTTGTGAACATTAACTCAGGATGTCAATGGGGACTTGTCATGGCTCAGACTGACATTGCTGCATTCTTATACTGTATGATTTTGCGGTTTCCTCTCAGCATGAAAATATTTGGCCCATCCCTCCCGCGTCCATGGTAAACTTTATCCACCCCACTCCTCCTGTCAGAAATGTATGGCATCTCAGAACCTCAAAAAGGCAATTACATAAACTCTCCAAAATGTTCCTCTATGCCAATATCCTCATCACTCATCTGAACTCCTCCCTTCCACAGACAACCCTCTCCTTGGTGGAATATTAATTTATTCCAGTTTATACCTATCACATAAAAAGTACCCATCTCAAATACAATCTGATGACAATAACCATTGTTACTTCAAAGAAGTAATCAAATTATAAATTAAACTTGTTAGCCTTCTACATGAATATGGTCGTTCTTCAGAGAAACCTAAAATTCAATAAAAAGACATTGTATAAGACATGCAGTGGATGGCTGGACACTGTATTGGCTCTGGCTGTTACACTGAATAGCACGTTACTGCACTGCTGGATGAGGCTAGGTCAAGAGGGCAGCTGAAGTACAGTGAGATTTAAAAGATCCACGCTATGCTTTTCATTCCAAATTGACACTGCAGAAGTCATAAATTGAGTTCAAGAATGTCACTGGTGTCCAATTACACTAACATGGTTAGTCTTGCACGGGGAGGGGGTGGGGAAAGAGAAAGAAGGGTTTATGAGGAACTGGGTGAAAGCCCCAAACATTAACTATTTAACATAACAGTGAGAGAGACGACTTTCAGTCAATCAGGATAGAAACTGGAGTGAATAGAAACTCATGTCCCAGGGTTAATTAACCCATCTCTCCACTGAGGCTTTGTGGCCGATTTTCACATTGCATAACATGGCAAATAAAATGAGATTTATCAATTGATGTGGTAGGAGTTGGGAATGCTTGAAATGTAGCTGCAGTAGGATCCGTGTCGCTTTTAGAACAGGAAGTTTACAGGAAAGTGAATGGACCCAGTGAAATAGCGGTCATGTGGTCTACATGTGAGTATTGTACCTCCTTTTCCAGTTCTTCCTTCACTCTCTGACACTCAGCCTGAGACTTGGCCAGAGCTTTTCTGACAGCTTCAAGTTGCTGTCGCAGTAAAATCACCTCCTCTTCTGCAAACATTTTAATGTTCAGATAATCCTTCTTGGTCTTAATTACTTCCTGTTGACATGCAAAGGTTAAAACATTGGAACATCATCCACAATGTGTTATTGTGATGGTGTTAAGGTTTCTAAATGTTCTCATTTTGAAAAAAAGCTTCTTGATCTCATGTTAATTTCTTTTTTATAAATTAAGTTTTGATTAGTAGTTGTCTGAACAAAAAAATGCACATCTTGGTAGATTTATAGTCAATCTTTCTGAAGTGGAATTTTTTTTTTTTAGCTTTCCTACCACCCTCCCCATTTGCAATTTATTGTGGTCCCCTCTCATTATGTCTCTGCACTCTGCCACATCCCGCTGTTTGCCTGAGAGGTCATGCAGGAGAGCCAGGCTACCATCAGATACACCAAGGCATCGGTGCAATAGGTTTCAGGCATTTGGTTGTAAAGAGAAAGTTTAGGACACACACCAGGAAATATTTCCTTACACAGAGAGTGATCAATAGATGGATTACTAGGAAGGGTGGTCAAGCCCAGGATGCTGGACTTATTCAAGAAAGAGGTTTATGTACTGTGAGGCTGATAGGGTTAACATTCAAGAATGTTCAATGCTTTCCAAGCAAACTGTGTCCTTTACTATCTTCATTAAACCACTTTCATATTCCTTACAGATTAAGAATAGAGTTGAAAATACAACAACAATGTGGTATTTGCATAATGAAAGTCAATCAGGATATCCTGGGTCTCCTGCGTGACCTCTCGAGCAAGGAGTAAGATGTGGTAGAGAGCAGAGACATAACGAGGTGGGCTTGACCACCCTTTCTAGTAATCCATCTATTGATCACTCTGTGTAAGGAAATATTTGCAAATGGAGAGTGTGGTGTTGGGAAAGAAAAAAAATGCCAGTCCCCCCCCCCCCCCCCCCCCACCGTGGCTGCCATTTTGCTTTCAGATTGTTTCTCGACTCAAAAATAGCCCAGAAAGTCCAACAAAAATTGGGAAACTCCAACTGCAAAATGACCTTTGCCAGCCTTTAGGATTGTAAATTGTTTTATAAACTGTTTTAATTTGATTGAGGAATTTTGGGCATGAAACAAAAGTTGTACATTTTCAATCCTAATGTCTCAGCAACTTGTGCTCAGTTTGAACTATTTGGGCTGAATGTTTTGTCCTCCTTGCCCTGTCCACTGTGTCCCTCACCTGCTCCAAGGCACTCCGTGATCTCTGGAACTGCTCCTGTTTTACAGTTTGACGCCAGCAGTTAATGATCTTCAGCTTACATACCAGCTGTTCCAGTCTACTGTTCTCGTCCCGCAAACACTGCAGCTGCTCTTGCTGAACAAACAAAAGGAATAGATTGCTTTTGTGCTTCAACAGAAACACTCTCGACTTCGAGCCTGCTCTTTCTCCAGAAACCTCTGATACTCCTTGACAAGCTCCATTCCAGCACTGTCTGAAACACCACTGTTTAATGAAGTTGTGTGCACCTTCAAGCACAAGACTCTTGATTTTCCTCACTGATGATCACCATGGTTTGAATTTGGGTCTTCAAGGCCTCATGGCCTAGCTTTTATTATTTATTAATAATAAGCGAACGCAGCAGCCAATTTGCACACAATGTCTTGTGTCGAAATTGACTTTAGTAAACCATTTAAAAAAGTTAAAGTATCAGAAATTGAGTTTGTGTAAGCAGTATATACAAACCAAGCAGAGGAAACATGCATTAAAAAAACAGCTAGTTTATAAGAAATACCTGTCCATTACTCTTTTTGTCTCACATGGGACTGATATTTCTACCTTGAAATGTTATTTGACAGGTTAGTACTCTTTGCATTTATTATTCAGACATCTCTCTTTCTTAGTGGAGTTCTGTTCATTACAGTGAATGGTAGGAAAACTGTTGAAGGAAAATATCTACTACTTGATGCCACTTCAATAGGGTGTTCAAGCAACCGCCTCCATTCAGCAACCACACTCTATTATAAACAACCACCCTGGAACAGCCCACTTCACACACCAGCAAACCCTTATTCAAAGGCCATAATTACATAAACCCCTTTGCTCAGAAACCATCTTTATATAAAGGCCATGAGTGGTGGTTGAAGATAAGTTTGACTGTAAATCAACTTAATTTCTCGAAACCTTTACAGGAACTTCCCAGCAGCTCAGCTTCCGTTTGAAGGCACGTTTCAGATTGGACTTTGGAAAACACAGCCTCGATGGATTAACAAACAGAATGCCCTGATCTCCTGAAAAAAATATACATATACTAAATTGTGTGATTACTTGAGCAATAGGGATTGTAAAGTACTGATTATCCTAGGATTTAATACAATAGGAATTTACGACACCAATGTTTATTGGACAAAGGCTCACGTGTGGATTAACAAACATATTGGAGTTCATTGCTGCTATTTTTTTGGGGGGAGGGTTGTGGTTAGTCGGGTGTCTGACACATTCGGAAACCATCATCATACTTAAGAGTATTCAAACCAAGCTGAGAATTCCATTGGAATACCCACTCTTTCCCTCGAGGGATGCATTCTGCTTACCTAATTCTGGAAAGTATTAGACACAGGTTGGCAGGATCCAAGGCTTGGGAACCCTAGTGTGTGCGTTAGGGTACTGCTGAAGTTTAACCAGCTAAAACTGCATAGCTTGCCACTGATAGCGCTGTCTAGCAAGCTTTCCCGCTTATTGTCCAGCTGGGACCACCCTACCCATCAGGGCTTTGGCTTGCCAGGTTAACAGGAGCTGAGTGGGATGACTCCCTGTCCCCAGTGACTGGTCTGCCCTTCCAAGTCCTGCTGATGAGCCAGGCTGTCTGTGCTGTCATTAGAAGTGCCCTGGAGTACTGCAGACCTGCCTGGCTCAGGAACTGGACTACCGAGACTGCGATAGAGCATCCCACCACCCCCACTGAAGAATTACTCATGGCTGCTAATAGCTTGTAGGCTTGGGTAATTAAAGATTTTTTTTGTTTACTTTGTAATACAGTCACTGAACAGCACATTGAAAACTTTTTGAAGCACTTTGAGATGTCCAGATGAAGTAATAAGGTGCTCGCTACGCTTTACAGTATATTCTGTGAATGGCTTTGATATCAGGGCCTGGATGACTGCAGACTTCCTGCGGCTGAATGTGGACAAGACTGAAGCCATACTTCTTGGCTCCTGTCAATATCTTCACTCCTGCAGATCTGAACTCCTCAATCTCCCTGGGCTCTCCCTCACACTCACCAAACCAGTGCACAATCTAGACATCCACTTCAAAGCCCAACTATCCTTTCTGCCCCACATCCAGTCCTTGACCAGGACTGCCTTCTTCCACCTCCGCCACATTGTCTGCCTCCGATTGTACCTTACCCCAAATGAAGCCGAAACCCTTGTGCATGCGCTCATCCCTCGCACCCAACCATCGGAGGTTGCATTTTCAGCCACTACGCTCTGAAACTCTGGAACACTCTCCCTTGATCCCTCCACCTTGCCCCCTCACCCCCGTTTTTCAAATGCCACCTGAAAACCTTCCTCTGTGACTGCTTACCGCCATTTCCCCACCCATCGGCTTGGAGTCAGGCTCCACCACTGTTCAGCGCTCTGAGACGTTACTCTGCGTGGAGGGCACTATATAAGTGCAAGTTGTTGTTGAGACTTCTGACATGTAAGGCACTATATGAAATGTAAGTATTATTACAATAACAAATGCAGGTATTTGATCCTTAGGACCCTTGTGACATTACAACAAGCAGAATAACGGAGACAAAGATAAAGCATTTGATGATTAACCCTCCCTTCATCCTGACCCATCATCCAGGATCTGATAAAACCATTGCTCTCACCCGCTGACCTGTGCCCTATGAATCCCAACACAGCTTTCTGAAGCTACGTCTCCTCTCCAATGAGAGATGAGGTAATAGACCAGCTTACTCTTGCCAGGTTCCCTTTTAATGTATCATCTTCTTTTGTAGAGCCAACCTTCTTCTTGAGGGTAATTATGTTTTCCACTGCCTCCCTTCTCACGTCACCGATCAGCTCGTAGACAGTTTTGTTCATGTTGATGTGGTATTTGTCCAGATTCACCTGTCATACAATGTGGCAAACAGTGGATGAACATAATACAAAATATTGATCAAGCTTAATTAAACATGTATGTCTTCAAAATAAAGTGTCACAGATATCTAATGATAGTAATAATTAGTACTTATATAGCACGTTTCAAGTAGAATATCTCAAAGTGTTTCATTAAAACAGCTAGGATCACTGAACAGGAAGAACAGGAAGAAAACGAGGGAGAATTTGAGGGGGTCGACTCAACACTATCAAAGTGAATGTGGGTCCATTACAGACAGAAACAGGAGAAATTATAATGGGAGATAAAGATATTTAAACAAATACTTTGCTTCTGTCTTCACATTAGAAGACACTGAAAACTTACCAAAAATAGAGGGGAACCAAGAAGCTAATGTTAGTGAGCAACTTAGGGAAATTAACATCAGTAAAGAATTAGTACTAGGGAAACTGTTGGGATTGAAAAACGATAAATCCCCTGGACCTGATGGCCTGCATCCTAGGGTTTTAAAAAAGGCGGCTGCTGACAATAGTGGATGCTTTGCTTTTGATCTTCCAAAATTCCCTGGAACGGTTCCCATTGATTGGAAGATCGCAAACGTCACACCACTATTTAGGAAGGGTGGGAGAGAGAAGATGGAGAACTAGAGACCAGTTATTCTGACATCGGTGGTAGGGAAAATTCTAGACTCCTTAATTAGGGACGTCGTCGTTGGGTACTTAGAAGACCATAACGTGATTAGGCAGAGTCAACATGGCTTTAAAAAAGGAAAGTCATGCTTAACAAATCTTTTAGAGTTTTTTGAGGATGTAACCAGCAGGTTAGATAGGGGGGAAACAGTAGATGCAGTGTATTTAGATTTTCAGAAGGCATTCAACAAAGTACCACATAAAAGGCTACTACACAAGATTAGGGCCCATGGAATTAAAGGCAATATATTAGCATGAATCAAAGAGTGGCTAACGGGAAGAAAACAGAGAGTAGAGATAAACAAGTCCTTCTCAGATTGGCAAGGTGTGACTAGTGGAGTGTCACAAGGATCAGTGCTTGGGCCTCAACTACTTATAATCTATACGAATGATCTAGACGAGGACATAGAACTTAAAATATCTAAATTCACAGATGATACTAAGATAGATGGAAAAGTAAGCTCTGAGGATGACACAAAAACATTGCAAAGGGATATAGATAGTCTAGGTGAGTGGGCAAGAAGGTGGCAGATGGAATATAATGTGGGGAAGTGTGAAGTTATTTATCTAGGTAGTAAAAACAGAAAAGCAGATTATCTTCTAGTGGGGGAGAGACTAGATAGTGTCAGTGTTCAGAGGGATTTGGGTGTCCTTGTATACTAGTCACAGAAAGTTAGTATGCAGATACAGCAAGCAACTAGGAAGGCTAATGGCATGTTGGCGTTTATTGGAAAAGGGTTAGAGTACAAGAATAGGGAAGTCTTGCTGCAACTGTATCAGGCCTTGGTGAGACTGCACCTAGAATACTGTGTACAGTTTTGGTCTCCTTATTTAAGAAAGGACATACTTGCCTTAGAGGGGGTCCAGCGTAGATTCACTAGGTTGGTTCCTGGGATGAGGGGGTTGACCTAGGAGTATATGTTGAGTAAACTAGGCCTATATTCTCTAGAATATTGAAGAATTAGGGGTGATCTTATAGAAACATATAAGATTCTTATGGGGCTTGACAGAGTAGACAGTGCAAGACTATTTCCCCTGGTAGGAGAATCTATAACTAGGGGTCACAGTCTTAAGGTTAAGGGTCAGCCTTTTCGAACAGAGTTGAAGAAACACTTCTTCACTCAGAGAGTAGCGAATTTATGGAATTCTCTACCCCAGAAGGCTGTAGATGCTCAGTCCTTGAACATATTCAAGACTGAGATTGATAGATTTCTAAAACATAGAGGGATTAAGGGATATGGGGATAAGATGGGCAGATGGAGTTATTTTAAAAGATCAGCCATGATCTTATTGAATGGCAGGGCAGGCTCGAGGGGCCGAATGGCCTACTCCTGCTCCTAATTCCTATGTTCCTATTACAACAACGACAACAACAAGATTTCATTTATAGAGCGCCTTTCAAATCGGGAGGACGTCCCAAGGCGCTGGACAGTTGGGTCGGGACCCGAGCAGGGGGGAAATGGTCAGGGGGAGGGGAGGGAAGGGTGGGAGTGAGGAGGGGGTAGAGAGTCAAGAGGGGAGCTGAAGGCACGGATGAAGAGAAAGGTCTTGAGACCGGCCTTGAAGGAGGAAAGGGAGGAAGCGGCGAAGGCACTCGGGATGGAGTTCCAGAGCCTAGTGGCTGAGAGGCTGAAGGTCCGGCCACCGATGGTAGGGCGGTTGGGGCAGTGGATGTGGAGCAGACCGAAGCCAGAGGAACGGAGGGTATGGGCAGGTAAGTAGGGGGATAGTAGGTCGGAGAAGTAGGAGGGAGCAAGGCCATGAATGGCCTTGTAGGTGAGGATGAGGATCTTGATTTCGATCCTCTGGGGGATGGGGAGCCAGTGGAGGCGAGCGAGGGTGAGAGGGATGTGGTTGCGAAGCCTGGTGCGGGACAGTACACGAGCTGCAGAGTTCTGAATGACTGGCGAGGAGAGAGTTCCCATAGTCCAGCCTTGAGGTGATAAAGGCGTGGACCAGTGTTTCAGCAGCGTGAGGGGTGAGGTAGTGCCGTAGTCTGGCGATGTTCCGGAGGTGATGGACGGCGGTGCCAGTTGTGGTGCGGATATGGGGAAGAAAGGACAGCTCAGGGTCGAATAGAATACCGAGGTTCCTGATTGGCTTTGAGAGGTGGAGAGTGCAGCCTTGGATGCTGATGCTGTCAGCGCCTGAGGTGCGGAGGCGCTGACGTGAGCCAATCACACGTTGCGCACGTTGAGCCGAAGAAAGTTGTCTCTCATCCAGGACTCGATGTCAGACAGGCGGCTGTCAGGGCATCGGTGGTCGTGGAGTTGAGGGTAGAGGAGGAAAGGTAGAGTTGGGTGTCAAGTTAAGTTAACCCCATGTCTGCGGATGATGTCACCGAGGGGGAGCATATAGAGGGTGAAGAAGAGGGGACCGAGGACAGAGCCCTGAGGAACACTGCACGAGACAGTGTGGGGGCTGGAGGAAAAGCCATTTGTGGAAACAAAATGAAGACGGTGGGAGAGGTAGGACCTGCAGTGCGTGTCCTCTCCCGCACCAGGCTCCGTGACCCTATCATCCCCATCCTTGCCCAACTACACTGGCTTCCCGTCACACAGAGAATACAGTTCACAATCCTGGTCCTCGCCTTCAAAGCTCACCACGGTCTTGCTCCCCCTACCTCTGCAACCTCCTACCATCCTTAGTAAAGCATTAGTAAAGCGTCTTTCACATCAGGAGGACGTCCCAAGGCGCTAGACAGACAGAGTTATGGACCCGAGCTGAGGGTCGGGGTTGGGGAGGATGGAGGGCACGGGGGGGAAAAAGCAGGGAGATCGTAAGCACGGTCGAAGAGGAGAGTCTTGAGATGGGTCTTGAAGGTGGCAAGGGAGGGGGCGAGGCAGAGGGACTGCAGGATGGAGTTCCAGTGGGTGGGGGCAGAGTGGCGGAAGGCCTGCCTGCCAATAGTGGAGCAAGGAAGGCGGAGGACATGAAGCAGGCTGGAGCCCTCTGAGCGGAGGGAGCAAGTAGGATGGTAGGGGGTTAGGAGGTTGCAGAGGTAGGGGGAGCAAGACCGTGGAGGGCTTTGAAGGTGAGGACCAGGATTGTGAATTGTATCCTCTGTGTGACAGGAAGCCAGTGGTGGGCAAGGATCGGGGTGATAGGGTCACGGAGCCTGGTGCGAGAGAGGACACGCACTGCAGAGTTCTGGATGATCTGTAGCCTGTGGAGGGAGGAGTTGGGGAGGCCGACAAGCAGTGAGTTTGCATAGTCAAGCCTCGATGTAGTGAAAGCATGTATGACGGTTTCAACGGCCTGCAGTGCGAGAGAGTGGAGGAGCCGGGGGATGTTGCAGAACTGGGGGAAGGCAGAGCGGGTCATGGCGCAGATGTGGGGTAGAAAGGATAGTTGAGGGTCAAACAGGACGCCAAGATTCCGGACTGACTTAGTACGGTGGAGTGTGCGACCATGGATGGTGATGCTGTCAGCGCCTGAGGTGAGGAGGCGCTGACGGGAGCCAATCAGGAGAGCCTCGGTCTTGACTCGAGGCATAATCAAAGAAATGTTTTAGAGGAATTTGAAGTCAGGGCAAGAAGGCACAAAGCAAAGGGATTTAGGGAAAGCGTTGAATCATAGTGGTTGAAGACTTCATAGAAAATAGAATTATATAGCTCAGAAGGAGGCCATTCTGCCCATTGTGTCTGTGCTGGCTGTTCGAAAAGAGCTATCCAAATCAATCCCACTGCCCCGCTCTCTCCCCATAGCCCTGCAAACTTGTTCTCCCCTTGTGGGAAGGAGCGTGACGGACAAGCAGTAGATGAGTTGAAAGACCAGAAGGCACAGGCCAGCGAATAGGTTTGGAAGAAATTGCAATTCTAGCAAAAAACAAAATAATTTAAGTATTTTAGGTATAGGATGAAGATCTTAAAATGGGTATGCTGAGGTACTAGGAGCTGGTGGAGGCTGGCGAGAGAGGGGCAATAGATGGAGGTAGAGAGGCAGGAAAGGAAAGCACATTGCTAACAATGTTGTATTAATTAAACAAGCTAAGTTTCTCTGTGTGGGAACCAGTTAAGCTGCTTTTGTACATTTCCCCAGCCTCAAGGCCTCTTGCTTCATCAGAATAATTTGGTCATTTATTTACCTCATATGTGTTTGTAGGATAAATAGCTGCCACATACAGTGTCAACAAAAACGGTCAATGTACTTGGCAGTGATTACCTATGAAGCATTTTTAGATGATTCGGGTAATAAATGTAAAAATGCAAATTCTTTCAACACAAAACACTCAGTCAGATGATTGACAAGGATGGATACCAAGATAATTGTTCTGGATTATAAAACAGAATTATACAGCGAGATCTGGGTGGTGCTGACACATGATACACACTTCCACTCTGTTTTAAGATGTCTTCATACAGCAATGATACATGAATTTAGCTTCTTAATTTCCAGCTGTTTCTCAAACCACACCCTTGAGTCCCTAAAGCCACTGCCAACTCCGATGCCTGTGTTTTCCAGGCCGCTAGGAGGGAGTGTCATTCAAAAACTGGCAAGTGGAAGCTTGATGAAGTTGAATATGTATCGTTCACAAACCAGACTTCAGTCCATTAAAGTTTGACTCCTGGTTTGTGATTGAAATGATACAATTTTTACCAAGTTCACAGTAAATTTGCTAATTAAAAAGAACAAACCTGACGAATGGCAAATGCTGTTTTGAGGCCAAAGTTTTACTTTCCAACATCACAAACCAGAGCAGCAGTGATTAGACCAGCAATTTGTGGTTTGCGAATACTGTAGTTTCATATCCTCTGTTTTTGTGGGTTTCTCAGAGAATGGCACTGGGGACTCTGGAGCACAGCAAGGGGTTTAATTTCCGGTGACCAAAAAAAAGTTATGGAAAAAAAGATTGACCATTTTTCTGTGAATTTGATCAAGTGTTCATGAAACCTTTCTCTACTGTGACTGTTATAACAATATTGATAAGCAAAACATCAGGAACAGTGCAAGGGGTGCGAACTGGCAGTGGCAACAATTACAAGTGGAATTGAAAATGATGCAAAGAATACTCTTCCAAGACAGATTCTGCTAACCACCTAACACTTTCTCATGGATTTGCAGCCAAAAAAGGTTGGCAATCATAATATTACTGGGGAAATGTATTGGGATATATTATATTCCAACTAGCATTTCATTGCATGGAAAAAAAACAAATAATGACTCATGATTTGTCAAAGACAAAAGGAAAACATTCCTTTTGTCTTTAACAAATCATGACAATCCCTCAATTGTGGCTCCCTCTACATTTTGATCTCCGATGAACATCATCAGAATGTAGAAATAAGAGGCCTGAAATTTCATCTAGTCTCAGCCTGTAAAGACCATTTTGACTTAAAAGTTAATATCATGCTGAATTGTACAAAATTCTGGAAACTGTTTTTTTAATAACTGCAATTCTTCTTTCTCTTTCAAACCATCACTAAACTATTTATTAGGTTGGGCTCTTATCTAACCTAATAAATAAAGTTATATGTATCGTTCCCCCTTTCTCCCCTCCGAGCTGTCTCTAGCCTCCTGTCCATTCCCCCTACAGGCTGACTGTGCCCCGATTATCCCTTTGTTTCCGGTCTCAGTGTGGGCGTATTAGTAGCCGACCTGAGTTGCCCCCTCCCAAAATGCCCGCTTCTACTCCCCACTCTTCGCTACTGGCATTCAGTTCTTCCCTCTTACTGCCCTGCTCACCTTCTGTCACTTGAACCCTTCCACAGTCTCTCTCTGCTCCAGCCTGGGAATACTCTGCTGTGCTCACCATGGCACTTGTCAATAGTTGTTCTGGAGCAGTCACCCGACTGCCGCATCCCATTCCTCAGTCTCTCTGTAAGCTGGCCTCCCAACCCCCTTCCCTCATTCACGTACTTCCTAACTCTCTTCCTCACCCAAACTCCACAGTTGCCTTTCCTCCACAAAGCACAACTCAACCCTCCTATCACCTTCCACTTCCAACCTGCCCTTCAAAATGTCCATTTCCCCAGTCTTCAGATCACATCTGAAGATCTTACTCTTCGTGCATTTGGTCACCTTCCCCCCTCTCGGCAACAGGCTCCGCCACTGTTAAATGCTCTGAGACTCAACACCACGTGAAGTGCGCTATATAAATGCAAGTGTTTGTTTTTGAAACCCATCTTATAAAGTAAGGCTGAATTTAAGATGTTTCCATAATTCTGTGTAATCCTAAAATTTAAGACAAAATGTTCTTACAGGATAAGCCTAGGTAGAACATCAGGCTTGAGAACTCCCCAAATCCTCATGTTACTAGCCCTAAGACAGTGCCACTGTCTTAAATTTAAAGTCTGTGCAAAAAAGAACCATGGAAAACTGGCTTCCAAAGCAAGACTGAATTTTTAAAAATTCTGCACAATCTTATTTTTTTAAACAATATTCTTGAGGCAAATAACAAGATAACTTGCAAGCTTCTAAACGTGCTTTTCATTCAACCATCTGGAGCTGATCATTTTGATCATTTGTTTCACTGTTACTAATCTCAGACTTGTAACCCGTATTGTTTGCTGATTCGGTGATGTATTTCATACCCTTCACTGCTGATATATTTAAATTTGGCATCAAATACACACCTTTAGTGCAAAGCAGGATGCAAATAGATGTCTGACCAAAGCATCGTACTCCTGATTCATTTCCTTCCTAATTTCCTTCTTCAGCCGTGCACTTTCTTCCTCCAGGCTGGTCAGCTTCGCTCGCAGAGCTGTGATTTCTATAATCATCTCGTGACTGAGATCTGCTAACTAACAGACAAAAGAACTTCAGCAAACATTGCTTATTTTCAACTTTAGCAACATCCACACCTGCCAGACATCAGCTGTACAGCAATGTTAAAAGGAAGCATGATTTTCTCCCAGAACAGTACTAAATCAGTGCTTCACTGTCCAACTTTAATGGAGCTAAAAATGTCACATATTTAAACTGAAGCTTTTTCACAAAAGGAATCACTTGAATTGCCTTCCATGGTCCAACAGCTAAGTTCATTTTTAGCAACTTTACAATGCAATTTATATTTGTGTTGTGTCTTTCACATCAAGAGGATGTCTCAAATAGCTTTATGTCCCGAAATCAGATGTGGAGTTACAGTAAGTAGACAACAAGTCCATTCTAAAGTGCCAGTCGAGGCAATGCTGGGTTCATAGGCCAGGCTAAGCAGTTCTTATCAGGGGTAAATAATAGTAATAACCCCTGCATTTGATATTGAACCTTATCATGTCATGGGATATACTATAATGTGGATTGACCGTGTATTTTGTGGGCGAATAGCAGCAGCCAGTGTGAGCACAGTACTGTCCCACGAACAGGCATGGAGTGGGAGACCTATTTTACTTGGGAAATCATTGGCCAGGACAGAAACTCCCATCTCTTTTCAAATATTGTAGTGCCATGGGATCTTTAACGTCCACCCAAACAGGCAGACGGGACCTCAGCTTAATGTCTCATCCACAGGACACCACTTCTGAAAATGCAACAAATCAGAGCTGCATTGACTTGTCACCTTAGAATATGTCTTATTGATGTTAGAAGTCTTCTCCAACCAGGACTCTTTCACCATTAACTCCTAAATGAAAAGCTTCTCCTACTCCTGTTTTGGCTGATGGCTGCACATGGATATTTGTTCCAAGAAACACTGCTTATATAATGCACAACTGTTTGCAACGTCACTTTAAATCGGCTGATATTCATCACTAACAGTGCTGTAGGAGCCTTTAATCTATTTAAAGCTAATGCTCGTCAGAGTAAGGCCTCATGCAAAGCCCAACTGCTTCTGTGAGGTTTTAACTGAGACCAGAACCAAACTATCATAGGGGCAGCTTTGTATTAATTGAGTATAAGGAAGTTTGACTGAGATAAACTCCAGTGTTGTACTGCTTCATGTCATGTCACTACGTAATTTCCTAATCACCTCTATTGCATTCATCTACTCTGTGCCATTATAAACTTCATTATATTAAACTCAATTAATACAAAGCTGCTTCAATGATAGAGTTTGTCTCTGGTCTCAGTTAAAACCTCATGGAAGCAGTTGGGCCTTGCATGAGGCTTTACTCTGACAAGCATTAGTTTTAAACATATTAGAGGCTTCTGCAGGTCACATGTTTTTATAAGTTCAAACGACTTAATTAATTTCACTTAAACAAGCAAATATCCTGAAACTTAAAACTTTAGCACTTAAATTACACTGTTTAATTGAAAATAATAACACCCTTGTCTCTGCAAACATTAATATTCGATTTACTCTACAGCTGCAAATAAAAGGATTTATAAAGACCTTACTCCTTACTTGGCAGTCAGCACCTCCAGATGGTGTTGAAGAGTGCTGCATCCTCTTGGTTTCCTTTTTTAAAAAATTACATTGGACAATGTTAACATGTGCATCTCCAAAATATTTTGGGGAATTATTTTTAAAAAATTACATTTCTTCCTCTTTTTCCCTTTCAAAAGCACCTGATGTCCACACAGTCTCACTTTCACAGGAGAATGAATCATGCATCACCAAATAGCACTCAAAGCCAAACAACAATGAAGTGGGGAAACAATAACCAATTTTCCCACTTGTAGGCAGCATCGGAGCTGCTCAGAACCGCTTCTGATTTACATTTGAGCCCTCCAATCCCATCAACTAGTCATCATCACCTCTTCCTCCCCTCCTCTCTGAAAGTTGTAGTTCATGCTTGGTTACAGTGCACAGGTGCTGTCAAGGCGTTTTAATACCAGGCACAGGTGGCCTGTCTCCATATGCGAGTGTATATAATGATTTCCCTTAGGGTGTGCAAAACTTGCAGTTCACAACCGAACCTGATCCTATCCTCACACGTTTTTGAGCATGATATAACAAGGTATCAATTAGGAGCAGGTAGTCACAAAAGCCATTAGTGATATGGAACTCTTATCATATTTAAGTGCTCCAAGATGCTACCTGCATGGGCACAATATAAATGCAAGTTGTTGTTATTGCACAAGTTTTTCTTTACAAGTCTGGTCAAGTGTTTTGCACAAAACTGGAAATAAAAGATAGAGTAATGCAGCGAATCTGAAATAAAAACAAAGTGCTGAAATTCTACTTCAAATAGTCAATAGCTCCAACATTCACAAGCTGCAACGTATATAAAACTCCACCATCTTTATCTGCACTAAACTTTGCAAGCTCATCACCATTGCCATTCTCCCTGCTGATCGATTTCAAGGTCGATCTTGTCCTCTATTTCAGATCCATCCACTCCCTAGCACCACCTCCTTATCTCTCCAATCTTCTCCTACCCTACTCTTCCATGTCCCCCTCCTACCCTATCTTACAACTCCCACCCTCCACACCACCACAATCAGTGGCTGAGCCTTCATTTTCTATGTCCCTAACCCCTGGAACTACCTTCCTCTGCCACTCTGTCTCACCCGCTTTCTTTCCCACCACAACATCCTTCTATCACCTCACATTGTTGTATTCCTTAAAGGAAGGGAATAGAGACATTGTCAAGCATTGGTCAAGGTGTTACACAGTGTTAACAGCCATTCTGTTGTGCTGTGCCTCACCTGTTCCTTTTGGTAAAGCAGCTGATGCTCCTGACGAAGGATATTTTCATAACACATGGAATACGTCTCAAAGTTACTGCGTTCCCTTGCCATGACTTCACCCTCCAGATTCGTAAGGCAGTCTCTTAAATGATCTTTATTGAAAATGATCTGTCACAAACATAACATTTTTGTTGGAGAATAGAAACATTGTTTGATTTATTCCAAACAAGAGCTTTCTTTGCCCCACCCTCCAAAAAGGAAAATGATCCAAAAAATCACAACCCCTTTCGCATATGACATCAACTTTTCTTATTTTTTAGTTTTACTTATAACTTGATGCATTTTGGAGGACAACTCTGAGACTCTTGTTGCTGCACTGTAAGAGATTGAGGCGATCTTGTGACTGAATACAGTACAAATTGTAAACATTAAATGTCTAATCTGAGCCAAAGAAAGCACCACATTCACTCAGCAGCTTCCAAACAGAGTGAACTAAAGAGCGTGGGATTCGGATTGTACCAGTTTGCTCCAATAAAATAGAAATAGCCAGTAATGGTGGAACAAAATCTCTCTCTGTCATTATATAGCATTCAACATTTCAATTTACAGAACTTTGCATATCCAACACAGGAGTGATTCTTTATGATCTTTGGCTTCCAGGTTACAACATAGACTAACTTTAACCAAAAAATTTCTAGGAGAAAATAACAAAGAACATGTTTTCAATGGTTCTTAAATATTTAGTTTTTTTAACTGTTTTAATAGTAATTGTGTGCCACGGTAGGTTAGGATTACACACACAAACACAGATTACACCTTCACACATTGCACCACACAGTCACTGTATGTTATATCTGGCATTGAGTTTTAAATAATGTGTGGGCAAGAGTGGTGACAAGTATGTGATAAAGGATTCAGGAGATGTTTTTAATGTGTTGTTGGCTCTTTGTTTCAAGATTGTTATCCCAGTCTGGCTGGGGAAGTTGCCCAAGCTTTTCCTGGTTACTATGAATACTTTTGAGGTTGAAGGAAAACAGTAATGTTGATGCTTTTATTCACTAATTCAGCAGGTAAGAAATGGAGACTAAATCAAACAACACCCAGTACAGTGCTCCTGGTGCAGAATCAGCTTTATTGTCAGCCTGGCTCAGTTGGTAACACTATCTCCTCTAAATCAGAAGGTTATGGGTTCAAACTGCACGTTGAGACTTTGAACTCATATAAACTCAAATTGGCTGACATTCCTATTTCTTGTTGGGGTCGGGCTGCACAGTTGGAAGTGCTGTCTTTTGGGTGAGACATTAAACCAAGATCCCATCTGTCTATTCAGATGGACATTAAAGGTTCCATGACACTGTTTGGAAAGAGAAGGGAGTTCCTCTCGATGTCCTGGACGACAATAAGAACATAAGAAATGCTAGACGAAAAAAGACCAAGGTCCATCTAGATCGCCTTCCACCTTCCTGGGGGTCGCATGCACACATGTCCCAAACTACCTACGTACTTTATCAATATGTTATTTCCTAAGAGAAAACTATCTAATCTGTGTTTGAAAGAATCATTTCCTACTTCAACCTATCCCTATGGAGCCTGTTCGCTCATTGAAATAGTGTTTGAGTAGGTTCGTTCTGAATTTACCGCCCTTCAATCGCAGGCCATATCCTGCGATTGAACAATCTCCTGAAAATTATTGGTCATCGACTTCTTATTGGTTTGCGCAATATTGCTCTGACTGTAGTGTTAGTCTACAAAATGCACAGTCACTATACTTTTCAGTTAATTCTGAGAAATAATAATAATAATAATCCTTGCATTTGATATAGCGCTTTTCACGTCGGGAGGACGTCCCAAAGCGCTTCACAGAACACACTGTAAAGTGAATTGACTGTATATTTGTGGGCGAACGCGGCAGCCAATTGCGCACAACAATGTCCCACAAACAGTCGTAGATTGAAAATTGGAATTGAACTCAGGTCTCTCGCTTGCAAAGCGAGTGCTCTAACCACTGAGCTACAGGACTCCACTCCACTCCACTCAATGCTTTGAGCCGTCTTCCTAACTTGAAAAGGCACTATAATAATACTAATCCTTTTATTTGATATAGCGTCTTATCACGTCTTTGAGACGTCTCAAAGCACTTCACAGAATATTTTGTGGGCAAAATGCAGCAGCCAATTGTACATAGCAGTGTCCCACAAACAGTCGTGAATTAAGTGACCATTTTTTATTTTAATGTTTTCTTTTTAGAAGGGATTATTACCCCCGGAAAAGCAATTCGCCAATCGACTAACAACCAGGTTCCTACTTAATGCCAAGTAAACAGAGGCGTGTGGAGTAAAACTTGCCAAACGTTTTGCCTTGCTGGGAATTGAAACCCAGGTCCTCTCGCTTGCGCGGCGAGTGCTCTAATCACTTCAAATCCTGTAATTTAGTGGCTAGAACACCCGACTCCACTACATCAAATATAAGGATTATCATCATCAGAGAAGGAGAAGGGATCATTATGGACCACATTCTATAGTGTTTGAATGCACATTACTATAGTTGCTGATTCATTATGGTGTCCCAACCAAACAAGGCTGGAAGAAAACCCTACTCTGTCTGTGTTGGGGATTATCATCACAGGATAAAAGGCACTGGAATGGGTCTGGGTTGATTGTGAGCTGTGGTTTGTTTCCCTTCTTATACTACAAACTGTCAGCAAGGTTGGGCACATTCAGAAAATTCACTTTTAAATAGTTTCCATTTTACAGGTTACATATTGCTGTTACACTGTTATCTTAAGAGGTGTCCCTACATCCAGACCGATCTCTTCTTCATTGTGAAAGCTACATCCTCTCTATACTCTGCCCTCACACAGCTGTGTGCTTTAGATGTACATGAGAGCTAACAATTACCCACTCACAACAAGATTGTGGTTTACAGAACAATCGTTTAGTTACTATGAAATTCACCACAGGGGTATCCATGCACAGCGGACAAAATAATAAGTAGTTAATTGAAAAGTCCATCCTTGGTAATTTATGTTTTCAATTTTCTAGGAAAGTCCATCTTTATTTGGTCAGGGTTTGACAGTTTCTTGCTGCTTGATACAGAGCAAGATCAGAGAGGTTACACACCTTCTTGCCGGTTATCTAACAGCATACAAATGGACTGATTTGTTTTGTAGAAAACACCTGCTTAACTACCTCCAACTCATTCTCCTAGCCCTTTAGAAAATCTTTGAAATGCACATTTTCAGAACTTCATAAAGACTCCAGGTGTCATACACAATTATCTTATGATGTTGAATGCGTTTCCAAAAACTAATAACCATAAATTCTACAAACGTGTCCGGATTAATTTTGCTTCCAAAACATAAAATTCTCTTCCTACCTCGGATTAATTTTGCTTCCAAAATATAAAGTCCTCCACCATGGTCTATCACCCCCACCAGACCATCATGTAGTCAGGGTCACAAATCTGGCTAGAAAACTACAAATACATCCAAACAATCCATCAGATAACCTCTACAAATCTGATCAACTAATTAGATCAAAGCCTCCAATTTCTATACTACATTAGGGTCATTCTGCATTGGAGAGGGCACAAATCATAATAATCCTTGAAGTTGATATCAAGCCTTATCATGTCTCAAAGCACTTCTCAAAGTTTCTATAAAATGTAATGATTATATTTGATGAGAATGCGGTTCAGATGAGAGCCTTTGTATCTCAGAGCCTTTGTGGTTTCTGTGGGTCAGTGAGATGCACATCGATTTCTCTGAAGCAGATGCACTTTAAGTTCCACTTTTCCGGTGTAACATGGTATTTGACTGCTATTTTCCAGTGTTTTTTTCTACTCATTGTGTAGATCATGCACAATTTACTGTGACATTATTATGCGGTTCTAACTTGTCAGCTAAATGTCAACTTGGCTCCTGTCAGCCCCTTCTCACATTCAGGCAATGACAACATTGATCTGCACAGATCTATTAAAGGATAATAAATGTTCTTGTACGTTTATATCACCTGTAAACCCTAGCCAATTAGTCTTGCCCATTGAGGTGCTGGTTTGCAAAACTATTCCAAGCTAATTATATACCTCAAAGTAAATAAGTTCCCTCCTCACTATAACTCATATAAACTACCAACTCAATTCTGCAAAAAAAAGCTAGATTTACAGTTTTGTGAATTTAAAGCTATGTGTTTCATTTAAAGTTTTATGTAAACTCTGGCACTTGTGCTAATTTATATTTACCTAGGGGGAAAGGATGGTGGGAGGTATGTAATAGAGTGTTCAAGTGCTCTTTTTATTTCATTTAACTGCTTGTTAAGACACTTAACTAGTCTAACTAAAAACATTTACAACTGGCCTGCCACCTGCCTGTTTTCTGACAACGTTCTCTAGGTTTTATGCCACAAAGCTTTAAAAGTCAGCTCTGTAGAATATTCATGCAATTCATTGTTTTAAAAAAAATTACAAAGTCCCAGAATTTCAGCCCCTCTTTTTCCTAAAGGTTATACACAAGATGGACTCCATTAATATATTTGATATAGTCATAAAGTCCACATTCTCAACCTCAGAAGGCGAAAAGAGAAAGGCACATATTGTTGGAAACTTCAAGAAGGAATTGGATGACTGAAGTATATGTTGGAATGGTGAATTGTGGGGGAAAGCATATACAAGAAAAGCAGTTAAATGTATTCTAGACACTGGAGTAAATCACAATTTTTTTTACCCATGTTCCAATGTACAGCATAGTAAGTTGTAAGTTTACAAAAGATCACAAAGATGTGATAAGAGCATTATCTATCTCTGCCTCTCCCTATAGGTATCTCATTCTTGTGAATTGAGAACATTTTTATATTAAATGTGTCTTTTACAATATATTCCACATCTCTGAAGTCTACAGCACATTGTGTAACTCTATTGTTAAATCTTTGTAAACCCTGTTATTCAGTGAAAATATCTTACAGCCAACTCAACTGTGACACCTTTTGCTACTTCCTCTTAACTTTAAAACCACTGCAGAATTTTTTTTCTAACCACAAATGCGTATCTCTGTTAGTAAAGTTTGAAATGGTTGCAAATTAACCTGGCTCCTCACCTCTTTATGGCTCTCTTGGGAATGTTCCATGAGTTTTTGCACAAAATTTTCAACAATTTGAGGTCTGGCCACTGAAAAACATTCCTTCATGACTGACCGTTTCCACAGATCTGTAGGAAAGAGAATTTGTGAATTTTAAATTGTCAGGCTGCAGTTTTATGAAGGTGTCAGCAGATGTGGTTTTCTGGACTTTTCATTCTTGCAATGTACCACTAACAGGCAACAGGAAGAGAAACTAACAATTAAGAACTGAAGCGGACAGTCACTGCACACCGCAGTGTTGCTGTGCTCAACATCAACTTCATTATATACTGTAGTGGCTTTTCCATAAAAGAATGTCTCAGAGAGCTTGACAAATGTAATGGTGGACAACAACAACAACTTGCATTTATATGGCGCCCTTCATGTGGGGTAGCATCTCAGACCACATGAGCATCAAAGCAAGAACAGGGAAGAGATTTAATAATAATAATCTTTCCATTTGTTACAGTGCCTTATTACATCATTGACACGTTGCAAAGCGCTTCACAGAATATGCTGCAAAGTGGATTGACTGTGTATTTTGTGGGTGAAATGCGGCAGCCAATTGCGCACAGCAGGGTCCCACAAACAAAAGATTAAGGAGATTAAATTAATTTAAAGAGATTAAGCAAATGCAGTCTTTTTTGGAAATGTTTGAAGGTCTGCAGAGAGGTAACAAAGTAAAGTAATCTTAGAAAAGGGGCCAGAGGACAGAGTAATGGTGACTTAAAGCTACTGATATTGGAGCAGAGGACATTGGAAGCATTGAACTAGAGTCAGCAAAACCAGGATACAAACTGGAATGTAGAGCTGGAGAACATGCCATAGGTTGGGTGGGAATGAGACTGTGGATGGATTTGAAGACCAGAACAAGAACCTTAAAATCGTTCCTCTGAGGGAGGTCAATGGAGCTTGGCGAGGTTAGCAGGAGAACTCAGTTGCAGAGTTCTGGATCAGTTGAAGCTTCTCAGGTGAGTATGGTATTCTTAACCCCTAGTGGCAATGAATTGTCACCCAGCACAGAAAAGATGTTGGGTGAACCAGTGAAGATGCTCTCCTGATAAAGCTTCACAAGAGCATGCAGGGTGCAAAATCATAGATCCCTCTGATAGCACAATCCAGAGCTTGAAATAAAGCTTTGCAAACAAAACTCAGGATTTTCAGGTATTTCTCCAACCTTCACTTTCATTACCGTGTGCAAATCACTACTATGTTTTTAAATTGAAATGCGAACAGTTTTAATCTAATTGATTGATTAATTAATGTAAGACAAAAGCATCAATACATTTACAACAACAACAAACACAAAATTACATTTATAGAGCGTCTTTCACATCGGGAGGACATCCCAAAGCGCTGAACAGTCAGTTGTCGGGGCCCGAGCATGGGGGAGGGGTGGTGGGGGGGTGAGGGAAGGCAGAGAGGTGGGAGGGAGACCAAAAGCACGGTCGAAGAGAAGGGTCTTGAGACCGGCCTTGAAGGATGCAAGGGAGGAAGCAAGGTGAAGGGACCGTGGGATGGAGTTCCAGAGTGTGGGGGCAGAGAGGCTGAAAGCCCGGCCACCGATGGTAGGACGGGTCGTGCGGGAGACATGGAGTAAGCTGGAGCCTGATGAACAGAGGGAGGGGCAGTTTGGTAGGGAGTCAGTAGGTCAGAGAAGTAGGAGGGGGCAAGGCCATGGATGACCTTAAGGGGGGGGACGAGGATCTTGAACTCGATCCTCTGGGGGATGGGGAGCCAGTGGAGTCGGGCGAGGGTGGGAGTGATGGGGTCACGGAGCCTGGTGAGTGAGAGTACACGAGCTGCAGAGGTTTGGATGATCTGCAGCTTGTGAAGGGAAGAGTTGGGAAGGCCGATGAGGAGGGAGTTCCCGTAATCGAGCCTTGAGGTAACGAATGTGTGGGTGAGGGTTTCGGCAGCCTGAGGGGTGAGGCAGTGGCGGACTCTGACAATGTTGCGGAGGTGGTGGTAGGCAGTGCCAGTCACGGCGTGGATGTGGGGGAGAAAGGACAGTTCAAGGTCAAACACACCCAGGTTCCTGACTGACTTAGTGAGGTTGAGTGTGCAGCCATGGAGGCTGATGCTGCCAGCGCCTGAGGTGCGGAGGCGCTGGCGTGAGCCAATCAGGAGGGCCTCGGTCTTGCTGATGTTGAGTTGGAGAAAGTTAGCCCTCATCCAGGACTTGATGTCGGACAGGCAGTCGGTCAGGACCTCAGTAGGAAATTTAGTATATACAGAAATGAATAGAGTGGTATAAGAGGGAAAAAGGGAGAGAGGATTAAGATGGGTGAAGGCTCAAGTAGCGTATAACATCAGACTAGTTGGGCCAAATAATAATAATCTTTGCGTTTGATAAAGTGCCTTATTAAGTCATCAGGACATCTCAAGAGCTTCACAGGAATTACTATAAAATGCAGTGACTATGTATTTTGGCCTGTTTCAGTGCTGGGTTAACACTAACAAAGCAAAATAAACTTGAATGTATTGGCCATTACATAACGAAGGAGCAGATGTTAGATTTGATGTTGGTGAACTTTCAATTATCCACCTGTAGCTGTCTTTAGCACAGTTGTAAAAAGCTGGGGACTGTTTGCTCAGTAAGTTAATGCCACAATTGATGGATCCCATGCACCAATTTGCTTTTCATGATTATGGTTATTAAAATGAAAGTCAGTTCAAATCAAGAACTTAAGTTTTAACATTTTCTTCTGTAAACAAGAATGGATCATCAGAGAGCTTTACTTCACTTTCACACCTTTCTGCATGTTAGCTATTTACAAGTAGTGAAATAACAGCCTTTGTTTAATTATTGTAGAATTCTTTACCTGTTGGCAGAGTTGCATCCTCCCGTGCTCGTTCTGACATGACAAGGGTCATCTCCTTTGCAACTTTCTTCTGAAGTTCATAGATCATGTGGCATTCCATACTTTCAAGTATTTTATGAAGCTAGAAAGACGTAAACAGACAATCATTTACTTTAACATGTTTAATTATTTGAGTTTTTTGGGTTCACTGAAAACAGAAATAAGGCAGAAATCTATTCATATTTTAGTTATACACCTTCCTCTTTTCCACATTATGTCATTGCGCCCTCTCTGTATGCAAGTCTAGTGCTTCTGCACTTTTGTGCAGAGGATATTTCTTATGTTATTTATGACAACGACCAAAAGAGATTATGAGCTGAGCTCCGAACACTGGGCATTTTCTGTGTTCAACCTTTGTCTTCGCATAAAGGGAAATAGCACTGAACCAAAATAGAATTTCATTGCTGAGGTCAGAAATAAATATAAACCATGGTGTATTATAAAGTTTATTTCATTATAATATTTTGTATGAATACATTCTTAAACAGATCATAAACCACATGCATTATATAAAGTATATAAAATATCTACAACAACTTGCATTTATATAGTGCCCCTCATGCAGGGTAGTGTCCCAGAGCATTTAAAACGTTAGGATCTTATCTGTAGGACTAAATGTCTCTGTACCTGTAGAGTTTTTATTTCCACTTCCGATGCCCCCTTTGGTGGAAGCAGTGGCTGATTGTCCATCAATAATCTCTCATATTCGTCTTCAACATCAAACCGTCTGCCTATTGCTTTCATAGTTGGGTAAACTATTTCCACTCTATAAATGGAAGATAAACTCAGTTTCAATTGCAGACTGTAGAGGCAGAAAGAATTCAGATGTTTAAAAGTCAGACAGGTAGAAATAAGGTTATTAAAGGATATGGATAAACGACATGGAAATTTGATTAAAATATTTGTCATGATCTAATAACATAGCAGAAAGGGTTGAATGGCATCCTCTTATTCTGATGCTCCTATGATGTTTGTGTAGTTTGACTTACCCAGCACTCCAGTGTAAATTTCTTTATTATTGGTGCAAAATGAGACTTAAATTTTCATGTGGTTGGCACAATGATTACAACAACAATAACTTGCATTTATATAGCACCCTTTGTGCGGGATACAACAACAAATTACATTTGTATAGCACCTTTCATGTCAGGAGGACATCTCAAAGATCTTGGAGGGGTTAACAATGGCAAACCATAATCTGAAGACAGGCAAGGAAGAGGCAAGGTGGAGGGCTTGAGGCAGAGTTTTGGTGTGTGGCGGCTGAAAGCACAGCCACCGATTGTGGAGCTGAGGGGACGAAAGACAAGCAGGAGGCCAGAGCCAGCTGAGCAAAGGAGGCTGTTAGTGGAGCAATGTGTAAACAGGTCCGAGAGGTAGTCAGCTGACAGGCACGAGTGATTCATACACAAGTGTAAACATCTTGAACTCAATAAAGATGACTGAAGAGGAACTTGAAATTGATTTCCGTGTCAATAGTACAAAGGTACAGAATATGCTGTGTATATTGCAATATAGTAATGAACTTAGTACATCTTACAGTAAAGACAACTTTGTACTTGATTGATGCATAATTACCTTGTGCCTATTTTAATCTTTCCACTTTCTGCATTTGATTTCCTCACCTGTACATCCTGCAGAACTGTTTGTAAAGGTCCATAGAGTTGATATTGTCTACACCAAGCTTCAGCCTGCCCCATTCCTCCTTGAATACCTCAAGTTGTTTCCACAATACCAGGAAAGATTTACATGCTGTGTATGCTGATATAAGATCTCCTGACTTGGGCAGAGTTTTGGGGGAGGGCATGGTGCTGCTAACTGGAGATTGTTTCCTGCCTTCCTCTTCTGCAGTCGCTGATTCTTTCTGTAAAGACTGAAAATAATAAGGCACAGGGTAGTCCAAAATTGGCAAGAGTCAAATCACATGTGGGTAAATCACAAAGTTCAGAGAGAGTCCCTGAACATGACTGAGAATATTGGATTGTACAATCGAGGTGACCTCTATATTGATTGAAAACTGACTTTTTCTGGTGCAGTATTTATTTTTGTTAGTTTAGCTCAGTTCACAACACTCTCGCCTCTGGATCAGAAGGTTTGAATTTCAAGCCCCACGTCAGAACTTGATTGAGCTCATAGCCTAGTCATAGCTCATGCTCCAGCCCAGTAACCTGTTTATAAGGTGAATTTATGGTGCAAATGTCTGGAATGGTGATTCACCTGCTCATTGTCAGACACAGGCTGCTCACAGAGACTTTGGTCCTTCTCGATGGAGGTGGAGGGGCCCCTACCACTCTGGACAAGTTCTTCGATTAGTAACGAGACACCAAGCAGCTCACCATTAGCAATACTCCGCTCAAGGTCACTCAGGCCACACAAGCACATCTGGATGTAAGAAAGGGCAAAAGGAAGTTTACAGTTTAAAACACAGGCAGCCAGTGTACATCTTAATCTATTTCTTGGTAAAATTCGGAGTGTGGCCTCTCAGTTGTGAATCTTTTCACAGTATCGCAAGACATGACCTGTCATCCGCCGGGGTTATTGAGACTGAAAAAATGGGCATGAATAGTTCCTCAGCACCTGAAAAGCGGCTCACAAAGTTTGGTTCAATTCAGCAAGGTGTACGTCACACCGACTTCACAAACATCAATCTCCTCCTGAGATTGTCTTAGACCGAGGTCTCACGAGCCAAGCTGCCGTGGATTTTGTTCCTTGCAGAAATACACTGTTTAATGCATGATGTGCCTTTTCCAGCAGAGAAGCACCAGTAATCTGAGGAGAACTTTTAATCAATCCCAATATAAACACATCATTTAATCCATACCACACTCTCCAACCAAGTTATATCAGTCTCTTCAAGTTATGGAAGAAACAGCACACTGCATCACTCTCCTACCTGCATATTGGACTCAATGTTGTGCAGGCTGCTGATCATAACTGGGAATAGTCCTTCTCTTGCTAAAAAGGTTCTCCAGGGAAACAGTGCATTGGCCTAGGACAGAAAATATTTGAGGTTTTCATTGCAACCTGTGACCTCAAAACTATTCAAAACATTTTCTACACCATATTGTTTGTTTCTCTTATCACTGGTTTAAAGGCAACCGCATTTAGGTTTCTCTGCCGCCTCCTGCTTGTCTCATTCATAAGATGCTAGCAGGTCTCTGCGCCCTAATCCCCTGCCAGGCTCCTCTATAACCAGTGGGACTTAGATACATATGCAACAATGATCGTTATTGACTCAGCCTTTGCTTTTCATTACCCCATCTTACTCCCGCTGGAGAGACAACTGCACTCAGTGCCTTTCTGTGAATTCCCATTCTGGACTCCACTGGCTCCCTATCCTTCAGAGGATCCAGTTCAAGATCCTGGTCCTCACCTATGAAGCCCTCCATGGCCTCGCCCCACCCTACCTCTGCGACCTCCTCACCTCTTACCAACCCGCCTGCTCCCTCCGCTCAGCCGGCTCTGGCCTGCTCCATGTCCCCCAACCCATTCACCCCACCATTGGCAGGAGAGCCTTCAGCCACTTGGCCCCCAACCTCTGGAATTCCATCCCCCGGTCACTCTGCCTCGCCCCCTCCTTAACCTCCTTCAAGTCCCGCCTCAAGACCCTCCTCTTCAACCGTGCCATCGGCCACCCCCCTTTCCTTCCCCTCCCTTCTCGCCTCCTGACCCCAGCTCGGGTCTGAAATGCTATACTCTGTCCAGCACCTTGGTCCGTCCTCCCGACGGGAAAGGCGCTATACAAATGTAATCTTGTTGTTGTTGTTGTTGTTGTTGTGGAATTTGTGTGGGAAAGGACGAGTGCAGTGCAATGCTCTGCAGTGTGGTGGAGTACTTTGCCACACCATAAACCAACCTATACAAAGACGCAGACTTTTGATCTCAAGCACAGCAGGCGTGAGTGAGTAAGAATGGACACGAATCCAAACCTCAGAACAGGTCTCAGTGGAACACTGCCAGTTTGGCTTTATAGAATCTTCAAAGAACCTCCGACCACCAAATCTTGGACTTACTCTGTCACTGTGTGGGTTCAGTGGCTGTGGCAGGGGGAGCAGCAGCCCATAGATACTGCTGCACACAGCATTGCTCATGGCTGGTAGCCCATGGTACATGCCGTCTGTTACAGCTTGAAAAGCAGCCACTCGCCCAGAGGTGAGGAAAGCTTCCCTGTGAAAAAGAGGTACAAAAAAAAATGCTCATCAACTGCACAGCAACCACTAATCACATCCGCTTGGCCCCTGTGTTCTTAGGTGGATGTGAAAGATGTTATGATACTACTTAAAAAGAGAAGGGAGTTTCTCCTGATGTCCTGGCCAACAATCCCTCACATTAATCGATTATTTGCTGTGCGGAAACTGGCTGCTGCGTTTGCCTACAAATACACAGTCACTAAACCTCAGAGTGTATCCTGTGGGCGTCCTTGATCATGTGCTATTGCCCTATCCTGTAACAGGATAGAGTGGGAGCTGGGGCAGGCCATGACACAGCCCTTCGATAGACCAAAAGCCTCTGCGATGTGTCTGAGCAGCGTGCCCAACCTCCACCATGCGTCCACACTAGTCACAGGATAGGGCAGGAGGTCTCTACATTGCAAGGCACCATTTTACAAGACGAGTTATCCGATCAGTTTTACATTTATATGAATTTCTAGAATGATTAATTGGGGCTTAATTAATTTCTTTCATTCACAGACAGAATTAGGCAGGAGATAGAAGTGAATGCATTAAAGCATAGAAAGTGATTTTTCAACACACAGCGGGCATGTCAATCAAACTTGTGTGCTGTGAGCATTATGCCACTGAACGTCAGTGGACCAGAAAGGATGTCATTTTCTGCTAATTAACTGCAAACCGTTTCTCAGTAAGCCTGAGGCAATAATGCCTCAATCATCATTAGGCATTAGTCATGCATCGTGTGGGAACATAACAAGCAGCGAGGGCAGTGAGCACACCCCAATCTGAATCTGCACCACAGGACAGCTGCTGCTAGCATCAGAACAGTCTGAGAGTATTATAAATAATTGGTAACAGGGACAGTCTGGTAATGTGCATCATCATCTTGAGCTTCACATTCATGTTTTAGGATGTTATCTGAACCCTTCATTACACTGCCCGAGGAACCCCGTGATGGGTATTCATTAATTGCTATCTTAACAACCTGATCAGAGTGAACTACAAAGAGAGAGAGAATCATATAAACAAACCAAAAGAGAGAAAGACAAATTAAAAGGATGTGTACTATATTACATTGACGGTACATTATAATTCTATCACAACAACAACTTGCAGGGTAGCGTCTCAAAATGCTTGAATACCACTAGAATTTCAAACAGAAATTTTAAAGAAAACACATGTACCTACAATACCCTTATTCAGTTTTAAGTTGTTTATTTGCTGAAGGCTCTGACTATGTCACCATCATAAGGATATTGTGTCTACCAGCTTCAGGCCACCTGGCACCTGACTCAGTATTGTGAAGCAACAAATCATATGGTAGCAGACAATTTTTTTTGTCAGCCCCAATTAATCATGATGAGGAATACTTATGATGAGCTGCCATTATACACCTTTTTTGGTCAGCCGGGTGCCTGACACATGTGGAAACCCATCACCATGCTTAAGAATATGTAAACCAAGCTGAAAATTCCATGCATCCCACCTACACATGGAAATCCCAGAGATAGATGGAATAAGAACATAAGAATTAGGAGCAGGAGTAGGCCATTTGGCCCCTCGAGCCTGCCCCGCCATTCGATAAGATCATGGCTGATCTTCAGACCCAACTCTAATTACCTGCCCTATCCCCATATCCCCTAATCCCTCTATTTTTTAAAAAATCTATCAGTCTCAGCCTTGAAGATATTCAAGGACTGAGCATCTACAGCCTTCTGGGGTAGTGAATTCCATAAATTCACTACCCTCTGAGTGAAGAAATGTTTCCTCAACTCTGTTCTAAAAGGCTGACCCTTAATTTTAAGACTGTGACCCCTGGTTATAGATTCTCCTACCAGGGGAAACAGACCCTCAGTGTCTACTTTATCCAGCCCTTTAAGAATCTTATATGTTTCAATAAGATCTCCCCTAATTCTTCTGTACTCTAGAGAATATAGCCCTAGTTTATTCAGCGTATCCTCATAGGTCATTCCCCTCATCCCAGGAACTAACCGAGTGAATCTACGCTGCACCTCCTATAGGGCAAGTATGTCCTTTTTTAAATAAGGAGACCAAAACTGCACACAATACTCTGGTGCGGTCTCACCAAGGCCCTATACAGATGCAGCAAGACTTCCCTACTCTTGTACTCTAAACCTTTTGCAATGAACGCTAACATGCTGTTGGCCTTCTTAGTTGCTTGCTGCAGCTGCCAACTAACTTTTTGAGACTGGTGTACAAGGACACCCAAATCCCTCTGAACACTAACACTATCTAATTTCTCTCGCTCTAGAAAATAATCTGTTTTTCTATTTTTTCTACCTAGGTGAATAACTTCACACTTCCCCACATTAAATTCCATCTGCCACCTACTCGCCCACTCCCCTAGCTTAGCTATATCCCGTTGCAATCTTTTTGCATCATCCTCAGAGCTTACTCTTCCACCTAGTTTAGTGTCATCCGCAAATTTAGATACGTTACATTCAATGTCCTCGTCTAGATCATTGATGTAAATTGTAAATAGCTGAGGCCCAAGCACTGATCCTTGTGGCACTCCACTAGTCACATCCTGCCAATTCGAGAATGACCCGTTTATCCCTACTCTCTGTTTTCTACCCGTTAGCCACTCTTCAATCCATGCTAATATGTTCCCATTAATCCGGTGGGCCTTAACCTTGTGCAATAGGAATGGAATGCATACTCTCTCCCTGTAGCGACGCATCCTGCTCACCTAATTCCGGAAAGTATTAGGCACAGGTTGGCAAAAGGGCAAGCTTGGGGACCCCAGAATGTGTGTTGGGGTACTACTGGAGTCTAACCAGCTAAAACTGCATAGCTTGCTATTGATTATGCTGTCCTGCAAGCTTCCCGATGCTTGTCTAGCTAGCACACCCTTACCGGTTACGGGCTTTGGTTTGCAGGGTTAACAAGAGTTGAGTGGCATGACTCCCTGCCCCCAAGGAGAATGGTCACTAGTTGGTCGTTTGACATCCGACATGCGCGGGTTTGAGCTCTCACTAGATGGATGGTAGGTACAAGGGACTCACTGCGAGCTTCCCTGTGGGCAACACAGCTCAGCATGAAATGGGTGAGAGCATTGCCACCATCTTCCTGTCCGCAGCTCAGACACACATCCCTCCCATTGAGCGGTTCCATCAATTGGAGGTGTGGAGTTTAAGCAGCAGCTGCTTGCCTCTCTGCAGACCAATCAAGTTGGATTCCAGGAGCTGGATGTACCAACGTGTGTTCACGAACTTGGACTCCAGGTAACGCCTTCCAACACTGTCACCCCCAGCCTCAGAGTTTCCTCATCAGCTATCTGGCGGCCATCAACCTTCAGCGTGGTGGGAGGATGTTTGTAGGACAGCTTGTGATGTGCTAGCCACCTTGATGTCCATGTCCAATGCCGCATACCAGGCTTACTCAGCACCAACTACGCAATCCAGGTCCTCATGTGAGGGGTCGTGGCAAATAGACGTGACTGCTGTGAAGCCATCTTCATCTCCAGGGTGCTTAGCGACAAGTCAGTGTAGGCCGGAGCCTTCCTTCCCCATAGCCGCTTCCCGTGTTTGCCACAAATCCTTCTCACTGCTTGATCCCGGACTTTGCAGATAGGTCGGAGGAAGCCATCCACTTGTACACAGGTCTTGTTTGCCACAAGCTTGACCTGTATTGGGACCTTGCTGTTCTTGAAGAGGGATAAGCATGACCAGAGTGCCCTCCATCCCTTCTCAGCACGGTCCATCAGGACAGTGTCCAGGCTGAAGTTAGTGTCCTCCACAACCCTGAGATATCATAAAAGTCAACAATTGGGACTGATGCCCCTTGATTCTTCCAATCAACTCCCTCAATGTCTTCCCTTGGGCTGTGTAGAACCATTAATTCTGCACTTGGGGGCACCTACCACCATTAACAGACAAGACTGATTCAAGTGATGGCAGCACACTGAGACAGACAGTCAGGGAGGCAGGATTGGTTGAGTTTAGTGTGTGTCATTGCAGAAACTTTCAAAGTGACTTAAATAATATTAATCCTTGCATTTGATGTAGCGTCTTATCACATCATCAAGTTGAAATATTAGTGCTCTCGAGAGATATCAGGACAAGTTAGATATAATTCATGACAGAATGGGACTTAGTGTCATTTTGGTTTCAGTGAATTCTAACCTGGATTCACTCTGTTAAGCAAGAAATAACTTTTTATTTGTGGAATGCAGTGAACATGTTCTACTTTGCCAATATCCGACAAAAGGCTGGTCAGCAAATCTTTCTTGCTCACAGATGTTCTTTTTCAGACTTTGCCAACTGCAATCCACAAACCATGAATTCTATTGGGAAGTTGGCAAAATAGACCCTATTATGACAATCTGCTTCACATGATCCATGTAATTGAATATTGTACACCAGGCCGTAGTCTGGAACCCAGCTTATTGAGCAGAACTGGACTGGTGCTTGTACTGCTGCCTTTTATTACTCTGCCGCCTGCACAATGCCTTCCTCCGCAGATCAACCCATGGAAAATCAATATTAGACAAGAATAGTAGCACAGAAGTCACTTCAGGGCCTACAATTTATCACACATAAAAATATTTTGCTTCGAAATGTAAAGAAAAATGGCAGGCATCTAAGGAAACAAAACAATTACTAGGTGGGTTGTGCTGCTACCTTGTGGATAATAGTTAATGTTACTGATCGGTATGAAATCCTGAACAATTTGTCCTGGTACTTCATAAAACCTATTTAATAGATGCTGCAGACATTTACCTGATTGAATGACGAACTGAGACATCAAACTGAAAAAACATGACATCTCTTTTAAGGCTGAGAAATTCTGCCACCGCAGAAGGATGTCTCGGGTTGGGAAGACAATCGATTTGCTCTTGGATCTCCTGAAGCTCAGAACCTACCCACAGGAAGGGTAATAGATCAGCAAGAGATTGTAATAAATAATGCAGAGTACAATGCACAAATAAACTTTTTTTTCATAATTAGTAATCATTGTTGTTCTATTTATTATATTATTTGTATATTTATATAAATAATCCTTGCATTTGATTTAGCGCTTTTCACGTCTTTCTAGAGTCTCAAAGAGCTTCACAGAATATATTATTAAATGAATTGACTGCATATTTGTGGGTGAAACGCGGCAGTCAATTGCGTACAGCAGTGTCCCACAAAATAGTCAATTTACTTTACAGTATATTATGCGAAGCGCTTTGAGACGTCCTGAAGACGTGATAAGGCGCTATACCAAATGCAAGGATTATTATTTATTTTATATAACAGTCATGGATTGAAGTGACCAATTTTATTATTTTTTTTCTTGAGGGGTTATTATCAGGTGTGTGGAGTAAGGAAACTTGACCAAGGTCTTGCCCTGCCGGGAACTGAGCCCAGGTCTCTCGCTTGAGAGGTGAGTGCTCTAACCACTGAGCTACAGGACTCCCTATATCTCACAGAGACAAGTTTGGGATATTGTGCAGCTTGTGAAGGGAAGAGTTTGGAAGTCCAGAGAGCAGGGAGTTGGCGTAGCCAAGCCTGGATGAGATGAATGAGTGGATTAGGGTCTTAGCAGCCTGAGGGGAGAGGTAGTGGCGAAGGCAGGTAGTGTTGCCTAGGTAAGGTAAGGCAGAACAGGACGTGGCATGGACGTGAGGTATAAAAGACAGTTGAGGGTCGAACAAGACACCAAAGTTCTGTGTTGGCTCAGGCAGGTATAGAATGCAATCATGAACAGTGATGCTGTCAGCGCGTGAGGTGAGGAGGCGCTGATGGGAGCTAAGCAGGAGGGCCGTGGTCTTGTCAACATTCAGCTGGAGAATATCGGCTCTCATCCAGGAGCTCATGTCTCTGAGACTGCATCTTACCACTCTAAGATTCAGTATATTTCACTCTGTTACTGTCCATCTTATCTACCAATCAATTTGCTGAATATTTCCAGTACTTTTTATTTTTATTTCAGATCTGGTATTCGTTTTTCTGTTTGCTCAGCTATTTCTGACTGACATTTAAACCATACCCCAGAAACCTCTGCACTCATTTGTTATGTTTTTATTCTTTTGTTTTAAAGCTTACCAATGCCCTGAAGTCCTCCCCAGTCTGCTGCGAGAGGCTGCACCTTCAGGGAACCAGGAATTGCAGAAAGATTTCCAAGTCGTGCAAAACAACACAAGTACGAGACAATGTCATGCAATGCTGCCACAATCTCCAGAGTCTGGTACAAGGCTTTGTGACAAACCTAGAGCGGATCAGGAGGCAAAGAACCAAAGACGTTGAGATTGAAAACTTAAAGCAAGATTATCAAATACTTTGCAAAATAAAGAAGTCAAGCCATTTTGACTCTATAACCATTAAAGTCATCCAACAACCCTGCTTGTCCAGGAGAAATCAAGAGCACAATTTTGTTATGTATGAGCAGAACCCCAAAATATATAAAAATATGAATCTCTGCATTGTTTATAAGTGTGGACTGTGAAACAGAAATTCACAGAGATGAAAATGTTAATAAAAAAACAAAACAAAAAAAAACACTACTGCTCCTGGGAGAGTATGAAACAGATGGTGTGGACATCGATCTCTAAGCCCATTTGATCTCATCCTTCCACAATACCTACCCTACCGTCCTACCATTCACTTTACACAATACACCCCACCTTCAACAAACCTCTACATTGTTACGGGGTTAAAGGAAAAGACATTTCTCTAGCAGCGACCAGACACCATTTAATGTCTGCAAAATACAGAGGTCCAAATGCAAAAAAAGCATTTTCACCAGGAAGTGGTCAAATAGCTTTCCCAAAAGGCTTGTTGAGTAATGGTATAAAGTAATAGTATAAAGGTAGCAGTAGGTGAAACAGACCAATCTCTGTGTGTGTTAAGACAACTGATCACAGACAGGCAATGCACTTATCAGATACAATGTATTGCACACCCACCTTCAACAAACCTTAGCATTGTTACTGCTAATAATAATCCTTGCATTTGATATAGCGCCTTATCACGTCTTCAAGACGTCTCAAAGCGCTTCACAGGATACACTGCAAAGTGAATCGATTGCATATTTTGTGGGCAAAACGCAGCAGCCACAAACAGTCGTGGATTGGGTGACCACACTTTTTTNCGAAGGAATTATTACCTCCGGTAAGTGATCTGCCAATCGACTAACAACCGGGTTCCTACTTACTGTTAGGTAAACAAAGGCACGTGTGTGTCTGTAGTAAGGAAACTTGCCTAACGTTTCACCCTGACCCTCCTGGGAATTGAGCTCAGGTCCTCTCACTTGTAAGGTGAGTGCTCTAACCACTACACTACAGCACAGCACATTGATTGACTGGACTGAACGACCTCACTAAACCCACCTCATAGAGTTTCAAAGTTACTGAGTTAAAAGGGAAAATAAGTTTCTTTGTAGGATTCTGTGATGAATGTGTTAAATAATATCTCAAATTATATTTGCAATTTTTATATATTTGAGACATATGATCAATCTCATATGAGGGGAGCTGTTTGTGACTAGTTTTGAAGAAGATCCTTGTGCTCAAGGAGGAAAAACCAAAGACTGTTTATAAACAACAAACTGTTTTCATTCCATATCAGTCATTTTTTCATGGAAAAATGATCTGCAGCTATGTTGCATTTGTTTTTACAAAGGAACCATATTTTTGTACATTTGTGTCAGTCCTTACTGCACTGCAGGGTCACAAATTTAAATTAACTGTAAATTACACTTAAATTACACTTTAGCAGGGATCAGTCATCGTCACTGAGTGGTGACTGGTTCCTGCTAGAGATCTCTATTTCCTTCTCACTCATGTGCTCATTGATATACCAGAATCCCTTATAAAATCTAGCCCAGAAGATATGCAGAACCCATGAAAAGGCAGAAAAAACATTTCTGGAAAACCATGTATTAAGATATATTTCCTCACCCCAATGAAGTGCAGAATTACTGAAACACAAACCTTTTCCTGCAGGGTTTTAAACATGATGAGCACCTCAGAATGGTGTGGAATAAACCACAGGTTAAGGAAGGTCTTTCCATCTGCCGACAGCAAGCTGCGAGAGCGCTGCTGCAGTTTCCTGAAATTAAAAACATTTGCTGATGCAAAATCATCAGAACAATGATTCCCATTGGGAGAACATCTCAAAGCTCTTGGGAAAAAACACTATTTTAGCAGTCAGCCTAGGTTAGACTATTGTATCTTAGTTCTCTATTATTAAGTTCTGTTTTTATACCACAAACTGCTCAGAGAGTCAGTTCAGTACTATGCACATCAATTCTGCCATTTTTGTTTTAACAAATTGCATTTTAGATTTTGTTCTGTTTCATGTGAATCTAGCATCATCTGTACTGAAATCTGAAGGTTGACTCCAAGTGAGTTGGAGTGTTAGCAAGCTGTGCCGCAGAATCATACAGCATGGTTTTGTGAGATAAAGCCTAGTCTTTCAAGATGAATATTTAACACAGGAGCTAGAAGAAAACCACCAGCTGAGCCTCCCCAAGAGATAGCCAACGTGGCCAGGCACTTTAAGGAGGCACAGACCTTGGGTCAGAAGTTAAGCCCAGCTCCGAATCTCGCTCTCCTTTTTTCTCCTGGGGTTGCCCGATACTGAAGTAGGTATTCCTGACAGTGGGAAAGTCTTCCAGTAACCCCAGCAGGCTATTGTAGTACGCCACGATCTGTCCTCGTATGGAATAATGTGACATGCGGCTGCTAAATCTGTAAGAATAAAGCCAGAGAAATGATTGTGGTCTTCTCACAAAAGGCTTGCTTGTCAAGAGTTCTTTAGTTGGTAAATGACCTGAAACAAAATAGTCTAAACACAGTTGAAATAATACATCAATTATTCACAACGACAGGTTAACCTACTGCTTCATTTAACAAACAGTTTACCCAAGCCAAAGAGCTTGTTGTCTAAAACCAATATTTCCCATTCCCTTCTTATTATGACATGGTACTACTCATGGTGCAGTGTGCACTCAATTACTAGATCATATGTTCAACCAAATGCAAGCTGCAAACATAGTGGGGAGATCTTATTGTGGTAGTTATGATAACTATTGACTATTTTTGACCCCATTTTGGATCCCATTTCATAATTATTCACAAGTGATAATAATAGCAAATGCTGCATTTTTCCCTCTCATGAATTATTTGAAAATATTTCACAACTTTAACACCTATTAAACCACAAAAAATAAACCACTGACTTCCGTTGAGGCAACAGACAAACACATCAGCTACTCTAACAGAACAGGAAGAAGGTCTGCAGTGATGAAAAGGAACATACTTGTAGCAGTAGTCGAGAATTAATTTTCTTTTGATTTTCTCCACTTCTTCCTGTGAAAAACAAGCTTCTTTTACTCACAGAAATATAACTTTAATGTCTCATGTGGAGAAAAATCCTTGTACCTTACCACATCAAAACATCTCAAAGAGCTTCACAGAGTTTTCTGTAAAATGCAGTGACTGTATTGAACAATGAAGTGACATGAGTCGCCAATTTTATCTGGGTGATTTGTGGCCAGGACACAAGGAGATGGGACCTTAGTTTAACATCTCGTCTAAAGTCAAAATGTAAATTTAAACACGGTGGATTTGATTTAATTCTCTGCTCATTGTCCCCCGCACCCCAACTTCTTTTTAAACTGTTCTTCTGGTGTCAGATACTCACAGGGATCTTCATGATGTTGCCCATGCCACTTTTCTTAGTAATAAAACAATTCAGCATTGTGTCACGGAGTCCCAGCTTTTCCAACTGGATTGAGACAAATGCCTCTGGGGGTCTGCAACAGGAAAATACATCTCAATTCAGGCCCTGGGCAGAAGGATAAAACCTTTACCAATCATCAAAAGGTTTGTAAACTATCACTGATTCGACCCAAAGTTGTAGTTGCTAGATTGTCATTCATTACGGGGCAGTAAGAGGTTAAATATTTCTTACAGTCTAAACGTAGGTTCCAAGACGCTACCCTGAGTGAATGGCACTATGTAAATGCAAGTTGCTGTTGGTGTGGTTGCATAGGTTTCTGTACATATATTTATCATAAAATTCATGTTTTTTATGCAAAATAACTCTCCTTACTCATTCTTCTTTCATTTATTCTTTATTTCTTCTATCTTTCTCAAAGGTCTGCCTCCCTTCTCTCTCTCTCACACATATACAGCCACTTACTGATATTCAGTGGAGAATTACTTAGAGATTTGTATCCTAAGGCCCTGCCTAACAGCAGCAAAATCAGCTAAATCAACTGTTTGCAATTTTTGGCTCAAAATATTATAAACAGTTTTTATATTATTTGTTTTCCACTAAAACAGGCTGAAATTATGGTCTAATTTTAAAGAATGTGAGTTTGTTCTCCAAGTAAAAGTTTATTTAAAAAAATAGAATTTACAAGTTGGTGGTATTTGATGAGATGCATACTTAAGGTCCACAAGCTAAAATTGGCAATTAACAGTCTCACTGTCCCAAGTTTCCTTGAGTTGCCAATCTGTGGGCAGGAAGATGGTGCAATGCTTTCACAATTTCATGCTGAAAAATTACAGGTACTTGCCATCCATCTAGCGAGGGCTCACACCTGTGCTTCTGAGATATCAACCGACCAACTAGTGACTATCCTTAGGATGGGGGGAGGAAGGGTGGGAAGATGGCAGAGGGAGGCAATTCGGATCCCCTTGAAGCTGAACTGGCCCCAAAGGTGACACGCTTGGTAGTCCGGTTCCTGAGCCAGATAGGTCCACAATATTCCAGGCTACTGCTGATGACAGGACAGCCAGTCTGGCTCATCAGCAGCACTTAGAAGGGCAGACCAGTCACTGGGGGTAGGGAATTCTTCCATTCAGCTTCTGTTAACCCTGCAAGCCAAAGCCCTAACGGGTAGGGTGGTCCTAGCTGGTCAAGCAGCAGGAAAGCTTGCTGGACAGTGCTTTAAATGGCAAGCTATTAGGGATTAAGTAAGCAGGATGCATTGCTCCAGGGAGAGAATGCACATTCTCATGCATGGAATTCTGTTTGGTTTGGATACTATTAAGCAGGAATGGGTATAAGCAGGACTGTGGTAGTCCCTGGTCACCTTCACTGGTCGATTCTGTATCTTAGTCTTTTTTCATGTTTTGTTGTTTATCTCCGGGGGGGGGTCGTAACTCAACATGAGACAGCAGTACAACTGGAATACAAACCTTCCAAACCGTTTTCTGGGACCAGGTCTCTGCTTCCGGCCTCAAGAGAGCAAACACCCAGTTGTACGTCTCTCGCAGTACCAGAACGACTTGCAGTACCCCAGTTGTCCAGACTTCGGAAACTTGACATTCCTTCCTAAAACAGTTGATGAGAAACAAAGCAGCAACACCATTGCAGTCTTAAACCCTCCTTTGTTGTAGTTGTGACAGAGTGTGCTCAACAGGAGAAAGTGAAGTCAAGAACATACACCACGTGCTTATCATAGTAATGTTGAGTTGTGGCATTCTCAAAACAAGGAAGCAAATATATTAATATATTTTGTGGCAAAAGGATTGGGATAATGTCAGTTGTGGAAGAATGCTATTCCTTCAAACTGATCGAGGGAGCACAATTAAAACAATTAAGGAAAGGGCCCGTTTAATAGAAGCTTCTCACTGTACCTTGGGTTCTGTGGAATGGACAGCCTGCTCCACAGGGCAGCACAAAGCTTGCTGCACTGCTGCAATCAGTGAATTTTTCTGCACAGTCTGACAGGCCAGGGCTACCTGTATGTTATCCACTCCAGCTCTGGCCATCAGCTGTAAACAATTGAAAAGAATAATTTTATTCACAACTTTTAAATTATTATTATTAATCTTGAACGGCCATCTGCTTTTAAAGTTTTGAAATGTTATTTTTATGCTGTTACTCCTGAACGGGTACACCATAAACATTGTGAGGAGTTACTGAGTCTGACAGTGTAAGGAATCGCTGTTTTATTTTGATCAGTAAGGTGTCTGATACATGTGGAAATCTATCACCACGCTTAAGAGCATCCAAACCAAGCTGAGAGTTCCATGCATCCCACATACATATGGAAATAAATTGTTGGAATGGAATGCGCACTCTCTCCTTGGAGGGACACATCCTACTTACCTAATTCTGGAAAGTATTAGGTGCAGGTATGCAGCAGCCAAGGCTTGCGGACCCTAGAGTATGGGGAGTTACTGATCCCAACAGTGTGAGGGAGCTTAATGTCATACAAGGTGGAAATATTAGCAGTACTAAAACTGTGCTTTGTTTTATGTGCAGAATTCAATTCCTGGTGTATCGCGCCTAGGTAGCATCAGTGTTGCAAAAATACATTTGAGTCATTCCCTTCCCAATACATTAAAAACATCCTTGGATGTGCTAAAGCACTGTACCACATCATCAAGACATTTCAAAGCGCTTCAAAGGATATACTGTAAGGGAGTGTGGCTATGTATTTTTATGGGTGAATGCTGCACCCAATTTGCACACAGCAAAATCCCACAAATGTCTATGGAATGAATGACCAATTTTATTTAGGGGACTATTGGACAGAACATTGGGAGAAACTCTTCTTTCTTCGAATAGTGCCATAGGATGTTTAACATTCACCTGGAAAGGTAAAAGGGACCACGGTTTAACATCTCATCCAAAGGTTGGCTCTTTGAGAATCTAGCACACCTTCAGCACTGGAGTGTCAGCTTAGACTATATGGGTTTCACTTTTCAACGTGGGGCTTGAACCATAACCTTGTGACTCAGAGACGAGAGTGGTTCTAAATGACCGAGGCCGACACCTGGATTAGTGATTTACTGTAGGATTTTCAATGTCATAACTGGAGGGAAACAGAACACGGCAATTCCTTTAAGGAGTTTGCCACAGTAAGGTTTCTTCCTTACTGTGTTACAATACTGCACCATTGTAGGGTTCAGGTTAAAGAGAAATGTTTTTTCTAAAAAAAAAGGAGCTAAAAGGGTATGTAGGTCATAATCTGAATATCCATCTAACATGCTGACCATGAACTTCAATAGTGAGAGTAAAAACACGCCTCCAACGTTTTTGCAAATTACAGACTGAACCTGCATTAGCATCTCGCTCCTCAATAAAGCAGTCAAAATCTCACCTGCAGAACTGCTTCCCTACTGCGGAAACTGAACTTTCCTATCTGGCTTTCATCAACCTCATGAATCCCTAACTGTAAACTGGAGGGAATGTACCTGGAGAGACAAAAGTGCCTTAGATCACAATTCATGTTATTTATACGCGTCAGATTTTTAAATATTCTAATGAGCAATGAAAGATCACAAACCGCAGCTGCACCATGTGATCAAACTTTTTCTACTGCTTGCTTACATCCCTTATCCCTTGTCTCAGCTTTTTAAACATTCCCATCATAACCCGTCAGTGTCTTCATTTCTCAGGTGGGAACTGGTTCAACTATGTCAGCCTATGCTCATAAAATGAAGAGAAAAAAGTGAAAAAANTGCTAATTTACAGAGACATGAAGCCCTGGTGCTTGTTATGAACACAATTCCCATGATGCAGCCTCTCTGCTAGGCTATCTTTGGAAACCAGGAAAAGCCACAAAACAGAAAGAACTGGTATTCTTATATTGTCTTATCATATTTAAATATCTCAAAATGTTTCACAGGCAATTACTGCAGAATGCAGTGTTTGGCAGTCGGGCCTTCCATCACTCTGCACCCATCCTCTGGAACTCCACCCCGCAGTCCCTCTGTCTCGGCCCCTCCCTCGCCACCTTCAAGACCCACCTCAAGACCTTCTCTTCGATCGTGCTTTTGATCTCCCTGCTTCCCCACCTGATTTTCCCCCTCCCCCACCCCGACCCTCAGCTCGGGTCCGAAACTCTGTCTGTCCAGCTCCTTGGGATGTCCTCCCGACGTGAAAGGCGCTAAACAAATGTAATTTGTATGTAACAAATGTATGTAACAAAATGTATGTAACAAATGTAAATGTTATTGTTTGTATTTGTATCAAGCAAGGCAACCACTTGCATCAATAAGGTTCCACAGACAGCAAAGAGGTGTGGTGTGTGCACAGCCATACATTCTATGCACGTGTGTGTGTGGGCATTAGTGCATGCAGTGTGATGTACAACATGTGGTTTTGAATGGCTCCATGGTGTTGTATGCAGTTGAACATAGTCTTTTGGTCATGGAATGCTGTAGAGAGAGCTGATTGGAAGGGTGAAAACATAAAATAACCAACATTAAGAACAAATCCAAATATCCTCTTAGCTGTGTGCAGCAGAGGGCAGTGAGTATTCTTCATTCACTGGTCACAAACACAATTCTGAACACATGCAGTACCTATCAACATTGCTGTCATCTTCCAGCAGAGCTGTGATAAACACCGGAGGAGGCTGATCAGCTTTCTCCTTATGGGCTGCAAATTCAAACTGCACTGGCCGCAAGTAAAGGTGGAACTCATCAAAGCCCATTTCCACTGACACAGACTTGTATAGCCTGGAAAAAGAGGAGTGTTATATCTCGCCATTCCAGAATCATTGACATGTGCAGAAGGACTTTGGAAATAACAACAATTGGCATTTATCCATTCCATCCTTCATGTGGGGTAGCAGTTCAGAGCGCTTAAAACTGAAATTGTTCTTCACAACAATCTAACATTAGAAACAGATAACTCAGGGCTCCAATTTGTTAATGGTTTGCTCAACCTCACTTCACAATGCTAAGAGATTGGGTCCTTGAATGTTGCTGAGAGATTAAACTAGCCAGTTGGTGCTGCAATGCACCGTGGCATCTTCCTGTCTCACTGTTTTAAGGATGCTCTCTGGTTCAATAAAACTTTGAAATAAAAAGTGAATTACCAGCAAAAGGAAAACTGTGTTATGTTTTAAAGAGGTATAATTTCAAATATCAGCAAATTCAATAACTACTTTAAAATATAGGATGTGGAAACATGATTCAAGCAAATCATCTTATTGCTCATATATTTAAACAAATACAGTATTTTGTAATGGCTATCTGGAGGCTTGTTGATTAATACTTTAATATGAATGATTTGGATGTGTACATGGGAAAAATATGTAGTAATATCACCCCCTGCAGGTCTTAGAGCTCAGTGCACCATTTTGTGATGCAACCAAGGACAACATTTCACAAGGAACAAAGATTTAAAACATTATCCACACTGATTCAGCTACCAAGAATCGGAAACCACTCTTCATATCTCAACAAAAGCAATACAACAATGTGTATCTATATAGGGCCCTTCACAGATAAAGTCTCAAGAATGCTTTACATAGAACCAGGCCAGAAGAAAACAGAGTGGGTAGGTTGGTGGAGAGAGAGGAGCGGGGTAAAAAGATGCTGTTTAGGCAGCTTTGGGGATACAAAGGACAAGGGCAGCAGAGTTTTAGATGAGCTGGACTTGTTGATGGTGTGAGTGGGGCATTTGAAAAGTTAATTCTGGAGGTGACAAAGGCATCATTGGGGGTTTTGCAGTATTGGGAGTAAGTTAGTGGTGGAGGCAGACATATGGTGAAGATGCAGAAAGGTGATCTTGATTAGGGAAAAGATGTTAGAGAATAAAGAAAGCTGAGAGTCAAACCAAATGGCAAGGTTTCAGTGTGTTGAAACCAGAATCAATAGCCTCCAATGCTAAATATTCTGACAACGAGTAAGCTATACCTGTTCTACTGTCAAGTATGTTATCAATTTATACACAATGCTGGTTAAAAAAGAATAATTTGTATGTTGCAATGAATGTACAGCATGGAAACAGGTCACTTGGCTCAACTAGTCCGTGTCAGTGTTTATACTCTACATGAGTCTCCACCTACTCCTTATTCCCCCCCACCCTTCTATTCCCCTCTCCATCATGTGAAGGTGCTGTGTCCAGCCTCCTTTTGAATGCATCTACATTATCTGAGTCAACCATGGCTTCGGGCAGCGACTTCCTCAATCTCATTGCCCTCTGCATGAAGTAATTCCTCCTAAATTCTCTTTTTGATCCCCTAATCGCTATCTTATATTTGTGTCCCCTGGTTATGGACTCCTCAACCAGTGGAAACAGCATATTTATGCTAGTTAACCTCATCAATCCTTTTAATAATTTTGAACACTTCTATTAGGTCCCTCCTTAAACATCTCTTCTGTAGCGAAAAAGGGCCCAATCTATCTAGTCTATCATGATAGTATTAACCTGCCATCCCTGAATGGGTGAGCCGAATGGTCTGCTCTTGCTTCATGCATGATGACTGTGGTTCCAGACATGCCCTCACCTTGCCAACAGGGCAGTTTCAGAAGAGACCTCAATCAAACGATGACGGAGAGTAATGATCTCCAGCAGTCTGCAGAACGTGTTCAACATGAGGACCCATCTTTGCCCACCTTGGGTTTTCTCATCCTCGTCTGTAGCTTCCATAGCAGAAACCCCAACACCGCTCACAAAGAGAGGATCTTCAATAAACACATCCGAGAATAACTGCAATGCAAAAATGGAAACTGAGCATGGAGAGGTTGGATTTATTCTGACTCAGCATTTTTTTTTACCGGTGGAATAGGCCTTTTATCCAGTTGAAAACCCCTTTTCTTTTTAAGACTGTCATGGGATTATCAATATTCACCTAAACAATTACAACAACATCAACAATTTGCACTTATATAGCGCCTTGCACACAGGGTAGCATTTCAGAGCGCTTAAGATGGAGGATCTTGGTTTAACATCAAATCTAAAGGACATCAAGTCTGACAATGCAGCTTTCCCAAGTACTGCACTGGAGCATCAGCCTGATCATTGAGTTCAAGTCCCATGGTTGGCTTGAAGCCACAATCTTCTGACGCAGAGGTGAGAGTGCTACTAACTGAGCAAGGCTGACACACAACATGGTGGCTATTGAAGCTAAGACTCAAGCATTTATGAGGGAGTTCGATAAAAATTTTGAAGAAAAACAACATAAACAGGTGATTTGTTCTATTGCACAGAGGATGAATATCATCTTACGTAGGAAAAAGAATAAGCTTAGAAACTACTAAATAGCACAGTTTTGAACTGAATACCAACATCCTTCTGAACCTGCAGACTATAAGAAGCCTTGGGCGATTCCAGGGTTGTCCACTTCTCCAGGGCCAGTTGCAGGACTTGTTTCTCAAGGATGATGCTCTCATTGGCCACCTTTGGTTGATGGATGTCATACAGCTCCCAGTAGGCGTGGTCAAGACCTTTCGGAATACGTGAAGCCAATGCCAACGATGGGTGGAACTCCAGCAAGTAGATCCTTTTCAAAGCAGGACTAAGGGCACAGCAAAAGCTCCGTCATGTTTTAATGATCTCGACATAAGTTACTGAGATAGGAATTTCTGCATGAGGTGGGATCCAGTGTATAAGTTGCACTGGTATGAAATACGTGTCCACAATTTTAGAACTAGCAAACTATTTGTGTGAATCAACAAATTCAGTAAATCTAGAAACAGAACAGAATAGCACTCCGTCGACATCAGGAAGTTTGCTAGCCTGAGTAACAGAGCAGAATACCACCCCTCTCCCCCCAGGAACCACACCACAAATTAAATGAAAACCACAATTAAGTTAACAATAGCCAACCACCTGTGAAGTATGATCTACTTTTATGTTGACAATATGATGTACAGCTTATATCATAGCTACAAAAGACTAACAAATCAACAAAGCCCAATGATTTCACAAATGAGTGATAATTCCATTAGCCCAATGAGCACATCATTTATCATAAATTAAACTCTCTGTATTGCTGTGATTATTCTCACCAGCTGTTGTTAATGGCAACTGGTTGTTTTTTGATGACATTGAGGGGCAGCCCAAATTCAGAGACTTTCTCCATCTGTCCATCTCTCCAAATCCTCTTCACATATTCCCGCTGTTCATCTATCTAGATACATTGTCAAGGAATAATACATTATATTATACATTACATCGCCCTAGACTAAATGAGTTCCAAGTGCCGACATGGGTCTTGAACCTACAACCTTCTGACCCAGTGAGGACATGAAGTCATCCTACTCAGCTCCCATTAATCACGTAAGCCAAAGCCCCAATGGGTAGGGTGATCCTAACTGGACAAGCAGCAGGAAAACTTGCCAGACAGCGATATCAATGGCAAGCTATGCGGTCTGAGCTGATTACATTGCAGCAGTACCCCAACACACACTCTGGGTTCCCCAAGCCAACCTGTGCCTAATCTGGCATCCCCTCCAGGGAGAGAGTGCGCACTCCATTCCAATAAACATCTCTGGAATTTCCATGTATAGGTGGGGCACACATAAATATGCATATACACACGCATATAGGGTGACCAAAAAGTTGTGATATCTGCCCTATTATCTAAAAAAAATCATAATTTCTTTAAGATTTATTAGGCATTGTAATGGTATCATGACTATTTGGTCACCCTGTATATGTACATATGAACACACAATCATGAACACGTACACGCAAATACATACATATTCAGACACATACGTGCACAGGCATGTGCAAAGAGACAGACTTACCTGTTTGTTCAGAATGTCTCTTATAAGCTGAAAGTGAAGTTTCAGACACGTATACTCAGCTTCATAAGTTTTTACAAAGTATTCATCACTCAAGTCGAACCGCGGGCGCTTGTGCATAATGTCTGTAATAACTTGGGCCAAAGCAAACCGCTCCTCCAGGTCCCAAACATGCTGATAGGCCTCGAAGTAACTGTCCAGGAGCTGAATGGAGAATAGTACAAACTGAATGGTGCAATGTTCAAAATCAAGAAATTGCATGTCTAGTAGTTTTTAGCCAAATTTCACTCCTTTATCATTTTTCTCCTAACAAATGCTGGGTTATGGTTCCACATGTGCTGCTACCTTTTGATACTCCAACCAAGTGGCACCTTGACAGTGATTGTCAGCAAACTGTTTACTGTGGGAGGCTTCATGTACCCACCATCTGTCTTTCAGATATGCACTTCCAAAAGGAGTTATTGGAGTGTATCCAGAGTGTGACTAGAATAATAATAATCCTTGCATTTGATATAGGGCTTTATCACATCGAAACGTCTCAAAGCGCTCCAAGAATATACTGACCACAAAGACCTTTGTCCTTCCTAGTCCTGACTTTCTAAGGTTAATCGCCATTAAGTGCAGCAAACTCAGGACAGAGTGAGGTTGGACCCTGGGGAAATGTCTTGGGCTGTGAGACTCAGTGTCACAACACTTGATAGTCTCATGTTGCATTGAGATTCGAATTACCTTTTCTCCTCTACTACCATCACATTTAGTAATTCTCCTCCTAACGAGAGTCACTCGGCATCAACCTGTACTGACACATGGAGGGAGGCAGTTTCATCCTCTGTGCTGCTGCGTCCCCAATCTCAGATATGTGAGGCAGGCACCTCCTCAAAGACACCAAAGGAAGATACCCATTCTTCCGTAAATGACTTCTCCCCCCTCAACATCCAGGCTGAGCTATGGTACTCACACTGGGTGGGGGGGTGGGGTTATTTATAACTAAAAATGCAATTAATAACCAAAAACTGATAAAGTGCCTAGCTATGGTAAATAGAGCAGAATAGCACTCAGTAAGTTTGCTACAGTGTGAACACAGCAGAATACTCTGTCTCCCAGAAATCCTAAGGAAACCAGCTGCTCAAGGAAAGTTTGTTTGTGAACCAATGCACCATGTTCAACTTTACATTTCTAAACCTGTCCTTTAATTTTGCAGATGTTAGAATGGGCAAAGAGGGTCTCGATTTCCTTCCACTCCACCATAGTTTACAGAGATAATTTGTCAACAACTCAAAGCCTACGGACGGCAAGGGCCACGGATAAATATACATTTTGTTTTGATCACATGAATTTTCATTACTTGAGATTGAAGTCTATCGGGGCTGCTCGCCGAATGTGCTGTGTGCCTTTACCTGTCGTTTATTCTCTAGGTAAGCTGCTTCACAGCTCCACAGATCAAATAAAACAGCGAATCGATCCACTGAGAGATGTGCCCAGCTCGGAAGGTCAACATTCCCAGACTGCAATCTTCCTGCAAAGGGAAGTCTCTGGTGTGCTCCACAACCTTGAAAAGTGACAGATGATGATAAATTTCACCTTACTTGTGCCACAGTTACTTTTCAACACACTAGGATCCATTCTCCGCTCGAAGTAAATTTAAATACATGCACCAGAAGAGAACTGCAACATTTTTGCATGCCAAGGTCCATGAAATTTACCGATGACTGGAGAATAACCTTTGCTGCGTGCTGATTCTGACAGATCTGTCACATTTACCATTACTCAAGTAAATACTAATTAAATGAAAGAAGCAAAATGTTGTGAACAGTTTCCACTTTTTACTCATCCACATCAGCAAGCACTCCAATGTCACATTGGGTCAGGTCTTGCCATAAGTCATATGGAATGCAGTTATCTCTCTTAATTTGTTCTGATCTGAGTTTGAAACAAGGTCCCAGACACGCACTAGGATAATGCACTGTCAAGCTTTATAAGCTCTTACAGTGAAAATAATGAATTAAGAGCAGCAGGTGGTATTTCACAAGCAATGGCGTGCTTCAAGTCTGTGAACCACTTTATAACCTCAGGTCATGCGAGACTCTTAAAAGCTCATTCAGTGGAGCAGGATTTAATCCCAGCTGTTTGGGACTAAAGATGTGCCTAATTCTGAGAGTTAAAAGGAAGCTAAAACAAATCCTATTGCTTATTGGTTATTTACAAACACCAAGGGATTCTCTAAACAATCGGTAAATGTATCAACCTTTGCCAGGCATCTCATTCTCTGCTGGTCCATAAATTTGCCAGCCTTGGCATTGTGAGTTTTTATTGATCGTCCCCATTGTTAGATTGTTATCACCCTTTGTTGAAGTGTTTCATTAAACTTTCAGTTTGGATACCTTTTTGAGTGTTTCTGCTGCACTCAGGATTCTTCTGTTTCATTTTAGCAGATTAGCGATGAAAAAGGGTTTGAAGACTACATGAAGATTTGGTTGTTTCAGTGTGAATATAACAGAGAAAATTTACCTGGGCAGACTATTCATTCTTTTAGAAAATATTGTTTTATAGAGATAATTTTCCATTGTAGGGGAGTCAGTGACTTGGGACATAGTTATAAAATACTCACAAGAAGAGCGAAAAGAAAGTTTGGAGATTATTTTTCACTCACAATAGTTGGAATGTGGAGTGCCTGCCAAGTAAGGTGGCATAGGCAGAATTAATTGTGAATTGCTCTTTCAATAAGCCATTCACCCTAATCTCTGTTCTTTCACCGTCTCATAGCTATACTCTGTATGCACTTTTTTAAAATGTTTAAAAAAATACCCCAATCCAATCTGTTCCAAGCTCTGGCCAATCATTCTAGACCTTGACAACCATCTGAGAGAAGATTCTTTCCACATAAACTGCACCTTCTACTCCCCCAATTTCACAGAGCGCCATACCATGTTGTTGAGATATCTCATAGAGCTTCACAGGATACACTGTAAAGCCAATTGACTGTATTTTGTATGCAATACGCTACTTAAATATACTGAACTATTAACCACATTACCTTTGCCCTTCTCAATGTATTGGGACGCGAGAAGCAACAGCTGCATTTCTAATTGCTTAACATCCTGCAGAGCCACATCATACATTATGTAAACCCCCCGCTGGTCCTGGGTGTGTATGTAACTCTCCTGCATTGTGTAGAAATCATCGAGATTCTCAATCTCCGAGAACTCCATAAACGCAGCAACATGACTCTGCAAATGGGAACACATATCACCCATTTAACTATATAGCAACATATACATATCACCAACACACTAGTCTGCGTGTTTCTTTCTAACAGTGTGTCAGCCTGCCTCAATTGATAGCACTCTCGCCTCTGAGTCAGAAGGTTGTGAGCTCAAGCCCTACTTTGGGACTTGGGACCGATATAGTCTATGCTGATACTCCAATGAAATGCTGGGTGTGCTGCATTGTTGGAGATACCATTCTTTGGATGAATCATTAAATCTTGTCTGCCTGTCCAAGTGGATGTTAAAGATCCCATGGCACTATTCAAAAAGAGAAGGGAGTTTCTCCAGGTGTCCTGACCAACAATGCCACAGGTAACATTGGTCACTCATTGCATGGCTATTTGTGAAGCAACGGTTTGTTCAGTTCTGTAGCAAAGTGATTAGAGCACTCGCCTTGCAAGCGAGAGGACCTGGGTTCGATTCCCTTAAAAAAAAATGTGGTCACTCAATCAAGGACTGTTTGTGGACACTGTTGTGCGCAATTGACTGCTGCGTTTCGCCCACAGTCGATTTACTTTACAGTATATTCCTTGAAGGGCTTTGTGACGTCTCAAAGACGTGATAAGGCACAATGTCAAATGCAAGGATTATTATTATTATTGCTCCACGCAGACCGGGTGCCACATTTGCTCACAAAATATACACAATCATACCACTTTACAGTAAATCCTGTGAAGCTCTTTGAAACATCTCGATAAAGTGATGACACTAGTTTAAATTCAAGGATGATTATTATTATTATTTATATCTTTATATTGAAAGAAGTCACATGTCTGAGAATCTATCACAAAGGATTTGCAAACTTAGGAAAAAGGGTTTTGGATTTGGATCAGCAGAGAAAACTTGTGGTTTTGTGTCCCTGCATACCTGCCTCCTCATTGTATTTTGCAGGCTGCTCACTCACGGGCTAAGTTACTGAAATAAATGTACCCGTCACCGATCCATAGGACAAACACCTCTCCCAATAAATGTTGTCATCCAGCTCCTGAAACAACATTACACTCAGTTCTGGTACGTTACCTTGTAGTCCGCTGGTGTATTATGAAGGTAATGATGAGAGCCCAAGCCATCAGCTGTAGCTGAGCCACCTTTCACAGCGTTGATCCAGCATGTATCTGCTGCTGTGTGAATCAGCTTTCCCGAGTTTAGGGTCAGGCCTGAGGTATTGATGGTCAAGGTTCGTTCAATAGATCTGAAGTAGTTCAGTATCCCCAAACAGACTCGCTGCAGCACAGCCAGCAAAGAAAACAAAAAAGTTACTCTTGTCCATTTTAAATTTTGTGAATACTGTTCTCTTGTAACTAAAATGCAACAGCAAATGATTGAGTCTGAAGTCTGAGGTTTAAGTTATTTCTGAGACTTATGTTAAGCATATGTTATTTTAAGCGTATGTGTATTATATAGAGACACAGACATCAAAGTCTTTTGAAACACAGTCAAGACTCGAGAATGGGGCTCATTTACTCCAGAAATGTACAAGAGTGACTGTTACCTGAAGCTCTCCAATTCTCAGATGGCGCAAGAACAGGAAGGACAAGTAAGCCCCCCGGGTCATCGCAGGGTCTTTTGTGCTCTCCTCGTCCCCCTCATCTAGTCCTAGTTGCTGCATGGTTCTGGTGTAGTTGTAGCTGCACAAAATGGGAATAACTTTAAGAAAGGATGGGAACAGATGGATGAATGTTGGAGACAGGCTGGAAGCTATGGAGCAACCTGAAAAATGTATTTTGACAGGAGTACATCTGACATTTTAACTGGCAGTGGCAGTCTAATAATGTTTAATGTGGAGAAATGAAACTCTAAGCTTTCCTGCTGTAAGTGTTTACCATCATCTCACTGAGCTCTAGAGATGAAAAAGGCACTTGCACGCCTGGTTAGACTGACGATTTTTCTTTATACAAAATCAAGCAACTTTAAGAGAAGGAATCTTTTTCCTGGTAATCATAGAATCATAGAATCATACAGCACAGGAGGCCATTCAGCCCATCATGTCTGTGTTTTCTCTTTCAAAAGAGCTATCCAATTCAATCTCACTCCCCTGCTCTCTCCCCATAGCCCTGCAAACTTGTCCTCCCCAAATAATTATCTACTTCTCTCTTCAAAGCTGCTATTGAATCGGCTTCCAACCACCCTTTCACGCAATGCATTCCAGTTTCAGGCAATGCATTCCAGTGATCTTTAACTCCTAGACATTTCTCCTTTAACTAGGATTTTTTCTGTGAAATATATTTAAATTCAAAAACTACTTTGAGATCTGTTTGCAGTTGGCAGTGATGGACGGCTTGGTTTGTCAGTTGGTAAGTCATGAGTTCAATACCCAAGATTTCTTGTCACCCTCTCCCATTAGTTGGCTAAGCGCTTTCGTTGGCTACTAGTTGGCTAAGGCCAACTCATTAGTTGGCTAAGTGCTGTCAATTCTCGACTGTGCTGTAAGATGAATTACTTTATCACGTTGGATAACGGTGACTTTCTATGATAGTCAAAGTAAAAGGAAAATCACATGTCAAGTGTACTCAAGAAGGCAGCTGCTACTTACTATAAGACAGTTTTGTTTGTCCACAAAATACAGTCACTGCAGTTTACGGTATATCCTGTGAAGCGCTTTGGGATGTCCTCCCAACATAAAATACACTATACCAAATGCAAATGTAAGGATTATTATTATTTATTGTTTGATGCGGGAGATGGGGATGCAGTGGGGTACAAATGCAGTGGACAAAATAAAAATTAATTGGATAAAATTATCCTAAAAATAGCTTCCAAAACTCAAATCTGATCAGGTATGAAATCAGTTAGGGTCAAGAATTACTTTACCCTTGATCTTTGCTCTTCTTGGAAGAAAATGCACTGCCCATCCGTTTGCTTGTGCGCAAGTTTTCCGTTTCCCCCTCATCGATGTCCACAGGTGAGCTGCCACCGTCATACCTTTGTTCCTGAAGAATAGCCCAGAATGAGGAAATCACTGGCATACTATTCCTTTCTCGGTCCAAACATGGACAAAAGCCCAACAATTTTTGGATCATTCTCCCCTTGAAAATTTAACTGGCAGGAAATTCACCATTATTTTGTAGGTAAATGCCTGTTTCACTCCCATAGGGTTGCCTGTAGAGTACAGTTAAGCTAATGAAACGATTATAGTCAGTGGCTTTTGAAATGTGTATTATTATTCTATGAAAGGCAAACAAAATGCAAAATGAAGTAAAATTACATCATTGATGATGATATATGATAAAGAAAATATTGGAAAATGGAAATACAAATTCTAGAAATCCACAACAGGTCGAGATCTGAAAGAGAAAAATAGATTAATTTTTCAAATGTAGGATCTGACCAGGATTTTCCCTTTAGCTAACTGATTGGTATGCTATGGATTTCCAAGAATTCTGTTTCATTTTGCATGATGTAATGGTTTTCCACATTGTTCTGATTTTACAATGAAATCTCAGTGGTTATAGGCTCTATGGAGAACCAACGCTTTGACTCTAGTTCCTTGAAATTTGAAGCATACACAACAGAGATGCGAATAGAGGGGTATAGGAGAGAAGAATGGGGAGGGCAGACTCATGAGGTCTATAAACACCAGCACAGACAAGTAGGTCTGTTTCCATCCTCTAACTTTCTATGTAATCCTAATGTAAAGTGTAAATAGTGTAGAAATCCACCAGGCAATTGGACAATTGCAGTTTCTGATGTCAGGTCCATTATCCAAAGAAGGAAAATAAACAGGAATTTATCTTAACAATGAATGTCTTTTCAGTTTAAGTTTGAATACAAGAAATATGGTATTATCGTTTTACTCATGAAATACACAGTCAAACCACTTTACAGTATATTCTGTGAAGCGCTTTGAGACATCTAGAAGACGTGAAAAGCGCTATATCAAATGCAAGAATTATTATTATTATTATATCAAATGGAAGCATTATTATTGTCCCTCAGGCAAAATCACAATTAATCTTCATACAATATTTCATTGATACGTGCATGTTAATCTATTTGTTAATTTTATCCAATACCTTTTACCCTCATCTGCTCTCTTGATGGTGATGTGACTCACAATGAGATATATTTCCACAGGTAATAACTAACATCCTTTCCAGCTTCGTGTCCAGGTAACTATTTCTCAAGTGCAAGGCCAGAATTGATGTTTTAAAGACAAAAAGAAAAACTTACATTCAAGATCAAAGTTGTTTGTCCATTGCTATGTTTTTTAAACCGTGTTACCAGGTCCATACTCACCCCATAGAGATCGGCGTTTCCATAGATTTGGTTCCATATATGATTTGCATGTTGACCTGAGTGATACGATATCTGTGACTGCCCAGCACATGGCTCATGCACCGCCATGGCGTGCTGACGAAGAGCATCCATCACACGGTTTGGGTCTGACACCTGGTTTGGAACACAGTGACCTGAATATCAAGCTCTCTCACTGGCTTAAGATGCGATGGGGTGGGTGAAATATACACCATTTCACAACAGAATCTGTCGTGAAACACTGCCTTTTGAAATCCAGCCATTTCTAGGCTGCTCCTGAAAATAATCCCACACACATCTCAGCAATATGGATTTGATCCTTTTTCCCCCTTCACGGTAATCAGGACCTCAGTGCAAATTTGTATTTAATTCCAAGAAGCAGGCAGTATTTGGGTGCTGCTTCACCACATACAAACCGCACAAAGCTGGCAGTCAGCTTTTAGCTGTACTCAACCACCCTGTACACAATTGAGAGCAATTTCAAAACAGAAATATCCTCAGGTACTGTATCAAATGCAAGGATTATTGTCATCATTATTATTATGCTAGCGATTCCCTCAGTCATACCATAACAGGCCGTAATCATGACTGGTGTGGGAAGTGGAAAACTTGACAAAGGTCTATTTGAACTTTCTGTTCCCATGTTTGGTATGCTCACACATACCAAACAACTATTGTACTTATACAGCACCTTTTATGTAGGAAAAATGCCTCAAAGCATTTCACAAAGACAGAATCGGAGCTCGGGCTGGGATGAAGATGGGAGCTGGGGGGGGGGGGGGGGGGGGGTGTGAAGGCATAGCCTGAAAGATAGTTATAATAATAATAATCCTTGCATTTGATATAGTGCCTTATCATGTCTTCGAGACATCTCAAAGCTCTTCACAGGATGTACTGCAAAGTAAATTCACTGTCTATTTTGTGAGCAAAAATATATGTTTTTAGACAGGTTGAGGCAAAGGGGTTTTAGAAGGGAGTTCCATTGGGCAGGGACAAGGTGGTTGAAAATGTCTCTGCCAATGGTGGGATGGAACATGTAGGGGATAGGATTCAGTTGGAGAGAGTGTCCTTGAACGTTTGGGCACAAGAGAATACAGAGATCAGGGAAGGGCAAGGGTATGAAGGTATTTGAAGATAAGGACGAGGACCTTAAAGTCTGGGGGATGGGGAGCCGGACAAACAAGAGGATGACGGGCTCACAGAATTTATTGTGGGAAGGAAAACAGGCTGTGAACATCTGAATGATTTGGATTGTGGAGAATGGAGCTGGACAGATCAGTGAACAAGAAGTTGAGTCTGGAGGTGATAAAGGCGTGGGTTTCAGCTGAGAAGGAGGGGAGGTGGTAGTAGAGGCAGGTAATGTTGCAGAGATGCAGGAAAATTAACTTGATCAGAACATGGATGAATGGCTTAAAGGAGAAGTGAGCGTCAAGCAAAATACTAAAGTACCATGAGCTGGAAACGCACTCGACACACAGATATAAATAAAATCTATATACCTGAAAAAACTGCGAGTGTAATCGTAAAATCTCATCAATGTACTTCTGTTGCTTCAGGTTACTCATGATCTTTTGTTGCCAAGGGTCTTGCTTTGGTTTGACCTGTGTAATAAAATATAGTTACTTAATCTGTGCAACAAACCAAACAAAATAACTGCAGTGACTCAAATTAATCTGAGGCACAGTAAAGTGTACAGGGTTCACAACAAATTCAGCCAATAGCACATTAATTGCCACACTCTGTCAATCAGAATCTATTATGTGAGTTGTGTAAACTATGTGAAATGCTCCTTAGTTGTTATTTGCATAATTAAAGGTACCTGTAATTCCCCTGGAACACAAATTCACACACATGCATTAAAGACTCCAGGTTTTACATGTGCTTCATAAAGCTCACGTAATAGATCTCTTTGAAAGCAAAATATTTTCTAATGCAACTATATGAAATGTAAAAACAAGTGGATTGCATTGTTTGATTTGTATTTCCATACAAAATAAATTTAAATTACAGTGGGATGTTATCAACACAAATAAATTATTATTGTTATTATAAATGATGAAGCTCGACTTCCCCTGTTTGGATAAGGAAAAACATATTGCATTTGTTGTATTGTATTAGTTCAGCTCAGAAACAAGTTACATTTTTTTCAACTCCACAAAAGTTGCTTCCATTGTAAAACTGCACTGCAATAAAAAACAGAACACTTGTACTTGGCTGCACTTTCTAGGTCTCCAATTATACATATGCATTGGAACATAGAATTATAGGAAAAGAGGAACAGGAGGAGGCTATTCTGGCCATCTAGACTTTTCCATGTTTATTAGATTTTTTCAGATCTTTTAATCTCAGTGCCCTGCTCTTTCACCATATCCCTTAATACCTCTTATACACAAGTATCCGTCTATCCCTTATTTAAACAACCCTGTTGATTCCACCTCTACGGCTTTCTGGGAATTCCAATCTTCTGTTTGAAGAAATGCATCCTGACCTCAGTTCTAATCTTCCTGGTTCTAATTTTAAAGTATCAGAGAAGTCTGGTAGTGTAAGGCATCTAATATTATTTTTGACTGTCACTTGAAATGATCTATTCTTATTATTCAAGTATGATAAGATGTTGCCCAGCCCAAAGAAACACACCTCTCCATCTTTCTACTTAAACTGGATGTAGAGGTGTAGATAGCAAACATTGGCCAAAATAATAATAATTATTTGATAAAATGTATAAGCACATTATCAAAACATCTCAAAGACTGTACTTTAGAGTGTAGTGACTGTGTATTGTGTATTCGTTGAATAAAACATGTTCCCCAGTGCTCAACATCAAGTTAAATAACTCCTGCATTGGCCACTATTTTAATAATCAACCCGGCATTTGAAATATTATGCATATTTGAGAAACATCCAAGATTTCATAGGAGTTGTGGGCAAGTAAAGGATGTTCTAACAAGCTCATTGTGTTATCCTTCCTGTAATCCTTCCTCATAATTACACTGTGATGAATACTGCAGCACCTTTAAGAATGGAATCCAGTTTGCCTCTTTCATCAGGGCCATGCTCGGCCCTTTCATTCCCCAGTTTTCTGCTCCTGGCTCCAAAGCATCGTAAACCAGAAACCTCTTCATGGTTTGCCCCTTGCTGAAAATGCTTCTGAATTTCCGAATAACCTGAAACGCATAAAGGGAATATCACAGCTGTATCTGCCCCCACCCTCTGGAACTACATCCCACTATCCCTCCACATCGCCCCCTCCCTTGCCTCCTTCAAGACCCGTCTCAAGACCCTCCTCTTCAACTGTATTTTCGGTCACCCTCCTACCCTTATTTTCCCCGCCTGCTCCCCTCCTGATCGCAACCACCAGCTCAGGTGCAGATCCCTGACTGTCCAGTGCCTTGGAGTGTACTCCTGATGTGAACAGTGCTATACAAATGTAATCAGCTGTTGTATCGCAGCTATTATTAAGTTGATGTTGAATTAAGGTTAATTTCACCAAAAACAAAAATAGGGGTATAAATGCAACAGAAATTTTCCCATTTTGACTTCTTCAATCCATTATTTGTCTCATGATAATAAGGGGCTGAGGACTTGCTAAATCCAGCAACTTTGTTGAAAGTCCTTATTGATTTTCAGTTTGTGCAGACTCACTGCAGTAAAGGTTAGAAAGAACAGAGCTTTACCCCTGTGGAGCTGCACTCTGATTCTCCCTTACCCTTCCCTTTTTCCAGAAACCACACCTTTCAAACTTCAATTTCAGGGATAATGCCCAAACAACATTCCTCTTGCTTCTGTTATTGCCAAATATTCCAACCCTTTCCATTCTCTTTACCAGAGAGTAATTAACTCTGGAACAGGTTGCCAGAAAGAGTGGGTGAGGCCAATACACAAGTGCTCCGAGGCACTACCACAGATGAAGGACGCCATATAAATCAAGCTGTTGTTGCTGTTGGACTCGTTTGAAAAGCAGCTTGAAGCCGTAATGGGAAGAGAGTAGGATGGGTACAGTGGAGGGATATGATCAAATGGGCTAAAGGCCTTTTTCATCCAAACCAAACTTATGATATTCAAGATACCTTTGTGAAGGCCTATGGCGAGATTTTCTATTGGACTGAAATTAGGGGCAAAATCTTGTTTCCGTGCAGATTCGGTACATTTTGTACCTTATTTTTCAGTCAGCAGCAGAACTAGAAACAGCTGAGGATAATAAAATAATACTAATCCTTACATTTGGTACAGTGCCTTCATGTCAGGAGGATGTATATCACAAGATGTATTGAAAACTGTAAAGACTATTTTGTACACCAACATAGCAGCTAACTCCCACAGTCCCTTTGCCTCGCTTCCTCACCCCTCAGGCTGCTGAAACCCTCACCCACGCATTTGTCACCTCAAGGCTCGATTACGGGAACTCTCTCCTCATCGGCCTTCCCAACTCTTCCCTTCACAAGCTGCAGATCATCCAAAACTCTACAGCTCGTGTACTCTCACACACCAGGTTCCTCGACCCCATCACTCCCACCCTCGCCCGACTCAACTGGCTCCCCATCCCCCAGAGAATCGAGTTCAAGAACCTCGTCCTCACCTTTAAGGCCATCCATAGCCTTGCCCCCTCCTACCTCTATGACCTGCTGACTCCCTACCAACCTGCCCGCTCCCTCTGTTCATCAGGCTCCAGCTTACTCCATGTCTCCCGCCCGATCCGACCTACCATCGGTGGCCGGGTTTTCAGCCTCTCTGCCCCCACACTCTGGAACTCCATCCCACGGTCCCTTCACCTCGCTTCCTCCTTCGCATCCTTCAAGGCTGGTCTCAAGACCCTTCTCTTCGATCGTGCCTTTGGTCCCCCTCCCACCTCTCTGCCTTCCCTCATCCCTACATCACCCCTCCCCATGCTCGGGCCCCGACAGCTGATTGTTCAGCGCTTTGGGATGTCCTCCCGATGTAAAAGGCGCTCTATAAATGTAATTTTGTTGTTTTTGTTGTTGTAATTTAGGTACAGCAATACTCCCCATAGACACAAATAGGTTTGGGTAAAATACAGGGACAATTGACACCTCTACATTTCCTAGCCCCATCTAAGCTCAACAATAAAACGCATCCAGCATCACTGCCAATATTGTTAGACTACAATAGCTTCTTTCACAAATACTGCTGTTATTTTATATTGTATGTAACTCTGGGCTGTATTAGAGATCATGGAAAACATTCAAACTGAGGTTAAGTGAATTATTTATTTAAAATAAATTTAAAATAAATGTAATTTTGTTATTGTGTTGAGTACTTACAGGCCTTGCTACATAAGCTGCAGCTCAGTGATTCAGCCATGTTTCACTCTGAGCTCTCAGCATGCTAGACTAGGATAGCTGAGCTTCATCAGCTTTTAGTTTAGGGGGTGGGAGTGAGGCATCCTGGTTCTGTATGTACCAGAACAATACTTCTTGTCAAAGTGACTTCAGGGTATGGAAGAGCAAACAACTTTTTCAGGACCACCTTTTGAAAAATGGCAAATAAAACCTTCATGAACTTGAGGACATAATTACCAGAGTGAATAGCTCCATCTCTTTAGCTGTGTTGGTGATATCATCCACATTGTATCCAATGTTGAAGTGAGATACAAGGTTTTGTAGCTGAGGCTTAAACTCCTCAATTTGTAGCTTGTGTGTAGGAAGGCAAATGGTAATGTCATCACCAAACAAACCTGCAACAGATTAGCAGTGCCAAAGAAATGTTACAGCAACTCATAAGGCTACAGTTTTTCAACCGAGAGGGCAACCCTAACATAAGAAAGCTTTACCCTGCAGCCCTGCTTGAAATAGGGAATCGGAGAAAGAATAAAAGAGATTAAAATTCAAAATAAACCAATAAAAGAGTAAGATTAAGTTGTGTTGGAGATACATACTTCAGTAAAAGTCTGAAAAGTATGTAGCACAGATAGTGGAACAAGGAATTGTAACAAAGGCTTTCAACAATTGACTGGATAAGTTCCTGGAAATTAAAAGGATTAAAAGTTATTATAAGATGAGATAGATGTATCAATCGAATCTTTTGGGAAGTCGCAGGCTTGTGCCCACAATTCCCTATGCTGGGAGCACCCTATCTCAAGCTTACTGCAGAAGAGAAGTGTCTGAGCAGAAGGTGCCTTGGCCTTATTAGATAGGGAAAGGAAGAGGAAGGTTGGGGAAGGGGGCATTAGAGGGTTAGTCATAGAGGTGTATTAAGAGAGGTCTAAGGGCAAATCCACAGCCTTCATCCTCTGTGCCTAGAAAGTCAGGAGGATATCAACAAAGAAGTAATGTTTGCTGTCATAAATAAAATCTTTAGAACTGACAAATGTAACAAGGCTGCACAGCAACTAGAGCATAACAGAGAATGTTTCACAATGGAGCATCTTTACCTTCAAACTCTGTGACAACGGAGCACTTGTTGAACGGTGGGACAAAGCAGGTTCTAGCTGACAGTGCTAGAGCAGAGGTTTCTCCTGATATGGACACCCAAAACAAAAATAAACAGTAAATTAGATGATAGTATCCACTGGCAAAGGTGTCCGTCTGGCTCAGGTACCTTTCTCGCCTCTGAATCAGAAGGTTTAGGGTTCATGCATCATTTCGAGACTGAACTCACAAGTCGAGATTGACACTCCATTGCAGTGCTGGGGGAGTGCTGCGTTGTTGCAAGGATAGTAATAATCCTTGCATTTGACATAGCACCTTATCATGTCCTCTAGACTTCTCAAAGCACTTCACAAAATATACTGTAAAGTTAATTCACTGTATGTTCTGTGGGCGAAACGCGGCAACCAATACAACACTGTCCCACAAACAGCCGTGGATTAAGTGACCAAATTATTATTTTTTTTTAAAATTTATTTTATTTATTTTGCTAGGTAAACAGAGGCGTGTGGAGTAAGGAAACATGCCCAACGTTTCACCCTGAATGGGAATCAAATCCAGGTCCTCTCGCTTGTGAGACGAGTGCTCTAATCATAAGCTACAGGACTTCAAACTAAATTAATTCTGTAAAGCTGAATCGTCTCTGTGGGATGTTCTCCTCTTTTACCTCAGAGATTGATTAACATAAGGGTCAAATCTGCAGCATGCAACACAATATCAGAGCGCAGTAGGATTTTTATCAATTGTAGGTAAATAAAAGGAATAGGAAGCAGCTGTCATTTAATTTATTGCAAAGGGGTCACCTCACAGATTTCGGTATCTATTCATTCTGCTGTGAATGCTCAATATCAGTATCCAGCCAAATTTTTCCAAACACATGCAGTTGTTCTTTAATTTGTGAAATTCTCAGGCATGCATAATAGAATCAATCAAAGTGCTAAAAAACAGTTTTATGAATTCACAAAGACCAATAAACAGTGTCTTCATAGCTGCAAATTCATTTTTTTAGCAATACTCATCAGTTGACCTTAGCAAAGCAAAACAACATCTTGGCTAATCCTTCGCAAACGTAACCTGATTGAGAATGTTAAAGATCTTGGTCTGCAGCCATTTGCACAGAATGATTTGATTATATGTTACTATGAAAGAAGCCAGACACTTTTTCTGTGCTGCAAATGACCAAGGGCAAACATATTTTTAACCTAGTCAAATCTTAATCAATCTAACCAGACTGACTTGCAAAAAAATACTTAAACTGCTGTCATTTGATTAATTGCAAAGAAGGCACCTCACAGATTTCAGTGAATGATATTCAATTCATTCTAATTTGAATGTTCAATATCAGTATTCAACCAAATTCTCCTAAACACATGCCCATGCCATTATTCTGTAATGCACTACCTCCTCTTAATAATAATAATCCTTGCATTTGATATAGAGCTTTTCACGTCTTCTAGACGTCCCAAAGCGCTTCACAGAATATACTGTAAAATGAATTGACTGTATATTTGTGAGCGAACGCGGCAGCCAATTGCGCACAGCAAAGTCCCACAAACAGTCATGGATTGAAAATGACCAATTTATTATTTTTTGGGGGAGGGATTATTATTAGGCGTGTGGAGTAAGGAAACTTGCCCAAGGTTTCGCCCTGCCTGGAATTGAACTCAGGTCTCTCACTTGCAAAGCGAGTGCTCTAACGACTGAGCTACAGGACTCCACCAGGGAGTACTCTGCTCTGCTCTGTACTCTGCTCTCTTGCTTTCTTCTTTTCCTCCTCCCTTCAAGGCAATGATTCATTCTGGAGTAAAGTTCGGCAGATGCCAGGTGCTCTCAGGTATCTCACCCAAGTGATCACTTTCCGTGTGGTCCTGGACAGGAGGAACTCTAGCCCACTTTCAGTACCCAGGGCCTTGAAACCAATTGTAGTGTCCTGTACTATGAGCCCAGATGAGATAAGCCAACCCAACAAGGAGTCCAGGAGTTAACCAGGAACTTGGCTTATTTCCAAAGTGGGGGGTGTGGGAGGGGAGGGGGGTGGGAGAGAGCTATTCCTCCCAGAGGTGATTTTAACAACAACAACTTGAAGTTATGTAGAACCCTTCACACGGGGTAGTGTCCCTGAGCGCTTTTAAGTAGTTTCTAGCAAATACTTTTCAGAGCACCTTAACCTGGCAGCAGGTGAGTGAAAAGATTGGATTACTGAGATGGGAATACCAAATCAACACAACATACAAAACATGTGTCTTTCTATTCTATACTATATCACCGAATATCTGATTCTAAGTGTCCAGCCAGATCTCTCAAATTTCAGATACTTTTCCTTAATATCTAACAATTATTGTCTTTATGTGTTGCAGACCATTTCAATTCTTGTTTATGTGCCATAAAGCATTCTTCTGAGCAATGCTAGTTTTCTTACCAGCTGATCCCGAAATGCTAGAAAATGCTGTACTGGGTCGGGTAGACATTCGCCAAGATGATGTCGGATACTCAGAAAGGGAGAAGCTGCTGCCTTTACCTTCAGCATCCAAGGTATCCGGTACTTTCTCTAGCTTATGAATCATGGGCAGGTACTGCAGTATCTGCAATGCATTGAAAGTACACAACAAACAACAACAATTTGCATTTATATAGCCCCCATCACGTGGGGCAGCATCTCAGAGCACCACATCTATTCACTTGCTGAAACTATTTATATTTATACAGAGCCTTTCATGTTAGGAGTTAATTTGAAAGTACTTAAACTAACCTCATGCCTGATAAACAGAATTCCAGGCTGACCCCTATCAGCTTCCTCACATTTACTCTCTTTGGACCTCTCTTAGCGTGTTACAGGCTGCACCTAAGCCTCTTACAGTGAGAGCTACTCAGGGATAAAATGCATAGAACCACAGAAATTTACAGCAGAGAAGAAGGACATTCAGCCGGTGCTGGATCTTTTAAAGAAGAATCCCTTGAGTCCCATTTACCTGACTATTCCCAATCCCCATTTATATCCTAAATAATCCTCCACCAAAAAAGTAATAAGGAGATAGAATGTGTGATTTTTTTAGTGTTTGTTATTTTAATTAAGATATATCTGATAATTCCCACCGGGTGGAACACCCCTTTCCTCTTAAGCAGGAATGCTTCCTTCTAATTCGCTCCACGGCATTTTATTTGAATTAGCAATATTTTAAAAATATAACTTTTAGTCATAGAGGCAACTTCTAACTTCTTTGTGTTTAATACTTGTTTTCTGGGCCTGCTCAGCTGAAGACAGGCCAAAGTTTGCACTCTTCTTGGTCTAGAATGAAGCTTTTAAGCAATCATTAGGCTCAGGTCCAGCATGTAACAGACTGAGAGAGGCCCAGAGGGTATAAGCAGGAAGAGGTTGATAAGGGGCTGGAATTGTTTTGAAGTATTTTTTGTCATTTGTCTTTGCCAGGGATGAGATTAGTTTGGATTAATCAAAGTATTCAGTCAGCAAATTACACCCATAAATCTAACAACGCAGTTTAGAGATTGTTCAGAATGCTGAATGATCAGTTCACAATTCTGCAAAATTACTCAGAAATAAACAAACCCACAGTGAAAAGGGAGTGAGCCTTGTTGATTAGCTTCTATGTGTGCCCAGCAGTAACAGGGATCAGGAAGGAGTCCTTAAGTGGATGATGTTGACTGGGCATATTTCACACATTTCTATGTATTATGCAACAGTTCATTTTCAGGTCCCTGCAGATTATGCATAGTAAATTAAACCTTATACCCTTTACACCAATCATCCATATTATTTAGGAAGCTTGATACATTAGTTATGGATTCTCTCCAAGTTCATTGGAAGGTTAGAAAAAAATCTATCTACTGAGATGCAAACTCAAGCTCAACCTGTGCCAAGGAGAAGATGTGAATGTTGACTCCCTAATGAGTAAAAGAATCATCTAGTGCAGCACTAAAGCCATGCAGACAAGAAAGTTGCAAGTTTGATTCCTGCCTGTGCTGAGTTAGATGTGGTCCATTAATTTTATCTCTGAGCAGGTAGTTAGCCTAGGCCTGTCAAAGCTGATGAGGCAGGGTTGCCTCAGAGAGGAGCATTGAAAAAATTCATCCCATTCCACTCCTTTATTCATCCAGGGAGAGTGGATTAGATACATGTATGTAAGTAGTAGTAAGTAGCAAGGAAAGGCATACAGGAGGATAGAGAAAATGGTGATTTGTGTAATCTTAATTGAAAATATCAATTACAATCAGAACAGACCCATCCAAAAATAAATAGGCTTTTGAAAACCATATATTTAAGCAGGAATATATGTAACACAATTATATTTAAGGAGTATAGTTTGAATATAATACATCTCCTTTTAACTATCTTACCCTCAGATAGTTATGAATGGTTGAGACAGAATGCAAGTGACACACCAGCCACTGGAGGTAGATCATTACATCTTCCTGGGTCACAGATTTACTAGGATTTCCGGTTTCTGTCAAAAGACATTCTCTGGCAATTGAAAGCCTTTGAGCTCTCTGAACAGCATCATCATACTCCTTCATAATACCAACTATTTGTTTCTGCAATGTGTAGAAAGGAGAAAATATAGTGAACTGAAACATTAACCTTTAAAACTACCACAACAATGGGTTGAAAGCTTATTTCCATACCAAATCCCTGTGCAAAAAAGATTCTAGAAACACCAGTGCAACACCAACACCAAACTGGTCCTGATCCTCAGACTAGCTCCAAGGTCACTTTTGTTTAGCTCTTTTCATGTCAGGAGGTCGTCCCAAAGCGCTGGACAGTCAGGGATCTGCACGAGCTGATGTTTGGGATCAGGAAGGCGTGCCAATCCAACAATCACCACAGATAGCAATGGTAACGCTCCCCACCAAACATTTATCCTGCTTTTCTCTCTCCTGTGCAGTTAGGCTGCCATTTTCCCCGTGAGAGACTGTTAACCGCACAGTACCGGTTCTGTGAGAAACGTAGTACCCTGGAGGAATCTGAGGAAGTGTCTCTTCAACGAAACAGATGCTTCAAGTTTATATCAGAGATCTGAATTCCTATTCTGTTAGATCACTTGGGGTATAAAATAACTTTGCCCAATATGATTTAATTCCATTAGAATTGCTGCTGTGCAAGAATGGGGGGGGGGGGGGAAGTAGTGGGGAATGACAGCCCCTCAATCACAAAACAGACAAGATACAAACTAACACCAACTGAAAAAGGGATAACTGTGGAATCTTGGATTACGTTAAGATGGGTCTTCCTCTATTTAGCAAGGAGAGAATGGAAATTTATTATTGTCCATTTACTACAAAAGTCACTATTTGGAATCTCCAATACAATTCCTCACCCGCTGGAAAATATCACATGGTTTCCACACATTGCATTGACACTGCTTTGCATTGACAGTACTAATGCCAAATGCATTCAAAGTTTCCAGTTTGTGACCTACCTTATACAGAGGGTAAAGTTTCTCAATAACACTAGTGTGCCGACAAAATCTTTTCCATCTGAGCATGTGTAGGTACTTGCACTGAACTAAGTGCTGAATCCGATCTGTGAAAAACTGAAGTAAAAATGATGCTCAGTGACAAGTTAAACTTAAACATATGCACAACCCCTTACAAAGCAGGCACCTGGGTCCAATATCTCAGGCTCTGTGTAATAAAGAGGCACAATAGAATGGCTAACGTCCAGGTTGTCACGTCACCACTGACATCATCTGCATTTTACACACATGTTCACTTAGAAGACACACAGTCACTCACATTACAGTAAATCTGTGAAGGACTTTCAGATGTCCTTCCGACATGAAAGGTGCTACATCAAATGCAGGGACTATGGTTGTTGTGTAATGTGTAGGAAGCACTCCTAATTTCACTTCCTTTGCAAAGAGATGCCAGCAATGCTGCCTGTACATAGCAAACATGCACAACCCACAAGAAGTGAAGTTACAGGAACCCAGAAGTCAGCCATTTGTTTGCGATTTTGATTTTTAGACAAGAAATGTTGAGGTCACAACCCAATAACTTTATAAGTGAAGTTTTAGCGAGGCATGTTTTAATGGAGTGGTCCTATATATGGCATGTGGCTATTTGCTATTTGCATTTATGTTGCTTCTCACATTTGTGTTGAACAGTGTCTCTTATGATGTCCTACTGTGCCACACAATGGTGAGTTAAAATGTTCAAAATAACAAAAAGAAATACATTATGTTGCCAACTTCTATTGCATCAACAATGTTAGGTTAGAAACTGAGCAAGTTTGTGTTCTCATTTTAGTCTAACCAACTGAAATGTGAATAAAATGTTATGGGAAACACATTATTTACATAATAGGATTAATAACAGCTTCTACTTAGCAATGGGGTTTTAGAACTAGAATTGGACCAAAACAAAATCATTTAAATCATGGGAAATCCAGGTTCAAAGAGAATATATATCCATATATTTTCTTTGAACCTGGATTTCCCATGATTTAAATGATATTGTTTTAGAGACCTTGGGATCAATTTAGTGAGATAACAACTTTTTGCGTTTTGTTTACCAAAAAGCTGGCTCAGTTAAAAAAATCCAGATCCATACAATGTATTAAATAGCTAGTTGCAGAAGCTGAAAAAACAGCACAAAGAACTAAACAATCGTAATTACACTTTGCAGACTGAAGAGATCACACTACCTGATGAAGAATAAGAGGTAAACTATCTGCCGTGTACTCCCTTTTCAGACAGCTTTCCAGCTCTCTCTGCATAACATCAGCCTGAATTACGAGAGGCTTTGCTTCCGACACCTGCAAAACAAATGAACAAATTCCCTTTTAAACATTATTTGAAGAAGACTGAATTCCATGGAAGCAGAGATTTGGACCTCAATGATAATAATATTAATATTTACATTTAATATTGCACCTTTCACGGGACTAGGACACAGAATTTACTACTAAGTGTAATAATCGTGAATTTTATAGCCCAACATGACAGTTAATTTGCGCTCAACAATGTCTCACAAATAGCCATGAACTAAATGATCAAAATTATCCAAGGAGTTATACTAATGATAATGAATTAATAATATAATCATAATGCTAACATTTGATATAGATCTTTTAATGTCGAGAGGATGTCTCAAAGTACTTTACAGAATTAATATACTGCCGTATAATGTGTTTAGTAGGCAAATGCAGCAGGCAATATGTGTAAAATGCCCCATAATACTATAATAATACTAATCTTTGCATTTGATATAGCGCTTTTCACATCTTCTCGATGTCTCAAAGTGCTTCACAGAATAGACTGTAAAGTGAATTGACCGTATATTTGTGGGCAAAACACGGCAGCCAATTGCGCACAGCAGTGTCCCACAAACAGTCTTGGATTGAAAATGACCAATTTATTATTGTTTTTTGTTTTGGAGGGATTATTATGAGGCGTGTGGAGTAAGGAAACTTGCCCAAGGTTTCGCCCGGCCTGGAATTGAACCCAGGTGTCTCGCTTGCAAGGCGAGTGCTCTAACCACTGAGATATAGGACTCCACAAAACAACCATGAAGTGAATGACCAATTACATCTCAGAAAATGTTGGACAGGATAACAGGCAAAATTCCTTTCTCTTTTCAAATTGTATCATGGGATCTTTAAAATTCACTAGATGGCATACCTCTTCCAAAGGTCAACACCTCTAACAATGCATCACTCTCCCAACACTGTATTGGAGTAGATGTGAGTTCAAAGTCCCGACATGGAGCTTGGATCCTCAGCCTTTCACTCAGATATTCAAGCAATGGTATTGCGGAAGGTGAAAGAGAAATCTAAAGTGCAGAACAACCTATTCTGAACTAATATTTTCTTGTATATGTGGAGTCCTCTAGCTTAGTAGTTAGAGGACTCGCCTCGCAAGCGAGGATCTGAGTTCGATTCTCGGGCAGGGCAAAACGTTGGGCAAATTTCCTTACTCCTCACGCCTCTGTTGACCTAGCAGTAAGTAGGAATCCAGTTGTTAGTCGATTGGCAGATCGCTTTTCCGCGGGTAATAATCCCTTCAAAAAATAAAAGATAATAATTTGGTCACTCAATCCATGGTTGCTTGTGGGACACTGTTGTGCACAATTGGCTGTCACGTTTCGCCCATAAAATATACAGTCAATTCATTCAAGGGTGACGAGCAACCAGGAGGGTTCCACTTTACTGTCATGTGGCTGCCGTATATTCTGTGATGTGCTTTGAGATGTCTTGAAGACGTGATAAGGCGCTATATCAAATGCATGGATTGTCATTATTATTCAAAATAAACTAAAAATAAGTTGAAATTTGGATATTTGTTGCGTTTCTGTTTGTAGAAATTTGGGGTCCGAAACTCTATCTGTCCAGTATCTTGGGACATCCTCCCATCGTGAAAGGTGCTATACAAATGTAATTTTGTTGTTGATGTTGTTGTAGAACTATGCTGCTGTTTGTCTACGTAACAACAGTGACTGCATTTTAAAGTATCCAACTGTATGAAGCATTTTGAAACATTTTAATTTGATAACAACAACAATAACTTCCATTTATATAGTGAGTGCCCTTCGCCCAGGATGGCATCTCAGAGCACTTAAATAAGGCCTAGATAAGGCATTATATCAAATATAAGTAGGGTAATACAAATAGAGGCAAATAACCACACATAAGAAAATGAGAGGATAAAGCTTGATGGAAGGAACCTAACAAAAAGTATTCCGTTTGAAGCTTATAGTTTTTGATATTAAATAAGATTCTCTCGAAGTTGATATAAATTTTGTGCATATTGGTTTTCATTTATTTTCTAGATGAAAACACTTCACCAAATTGAACATTCCTTAAACTGATATGACTGTAATCTAGCACCTATTGAAGGTTACCACTGCAGCGCTAAAATGACAAAAACAAAGGGCTTGTGAAGTGCAAGTGTTTTATCAAATTAAATGTTTTGTTGTATTATGTCAGAAACATGAAAATACCCAAGTCAAAAATTCTCTGGAGTTACCTGTAAACCTTTCTTCAATACCAGCTCTCTTTCCTTTCTGAAATAGGAAATGTCCCTTGGTATGGAAACAGAACTAAAAGATAATAAGAAAATATGATCACAATAAAGTTAAAAGGTTGGATGATAATGCTGACATTGAAAGCCTCAAAGATCACTACTTATTATGACACATGTATTTACCACACTCAATAGCAACAACAAGATTACATTTGTATAGCGCCTTTCATGTCGGGAGGATGTCCCGAGGCGCTGGACAGTGTACAGCATTTCAGACCCGGGCTGGGATCAGGGCGGGAGAAGGGAGGGGAGGGGAAGGGGGTGGCTGATGGCATGGTCGAAGAGGAGGGTCCTGAGGCGGGACTTGAAGGAGGCTAAGGAGGGGGTGAGGCGGAGTGATTGGGGGATGGAATTCCAGAGGTTGGGGGCAGAGTGCCTGAAAGCTCTCCCGCCAATGGTGGGGCGGGTGGGTCGGGGGATGTGGAGCAGGCCAGAGCCGGATGAGCAGAGGGAGCGGGCGGGTTGGTAGGGGGTTAGGAGGTCGCGGAGGTAGGGTGGGGCGAGGCCGTGGAGAGCTTTGTAGGTGAGGACCAGAATCTTGAACTGGATCCTCTGAAGGATAGGGAGCCAATGGAGTTGGGCGAGAATGGGGGCGATGGGGTCACAGAGTTTGGTGCGGGAGAGGACACGGACTGCAGAGTTCTGGATTATCTGCAGCCTGTGGAGGGAGGAGTTGGGAAGGCCGACAAGCAGGGCTTTTGCATAGTCGAGCCTGGAGGTGATAAAGGCATAAACAAGAGTTTCAGTGGCCTGAAGGGTGAGGTAATGGCGGAGTCGGGCGATCTTACAGAGGTGAGGGAAGGCAGACGGGTCATGGCTTGGATGTGGGGAAGAAAAGACAGTTGAGGTCGAACAAGACACCAAGGTTCCTGACTGGTTTGGTGAGTTGAAGTGTGGAACCATGGAGGTTGATGGTACCAGAGCCTGAGGTGCAGAGGCGCTGGTGTGAGCCAATCAGGAGGGCCTCAGTCTTGTTCACATTCAACTGTAGGAAATTTAGGAATGTAGGAAATAACATGATATCTGTGTGGTTCACCACAGTTAGGAACATTCAAACAACTAACAAATTTGCATCAGAGGTTTAGATCACACACAAAATTACACAACAAAAAGAAGTGACATTTCTACAGCACCTTCACACAGGGCAGCATCTCTGAGCACTTAATATAAGAGACATTGAGATGAAGAAGGCGCTTTGGCCCATTTGATGTCATCCTTTCAGAGTACCTAAGCTACCATGTTCCCATTAAAGCAACAAACTGTGATTTGACTGAGTTCACTGTCCAAGCCTCTACCACCTTTCCCTGAAACTCATTCTAGTTGTTAATTACTCCCATTGTAAAGAACTATTTCCTGATATCTGTCCTAAAAGCACCCTTCTCAACTCTGCAACTTCTTATCCTAAAGTATTGAACATGCAGTCATTTTACATGTTGTGAGCAGGCTATAAGACCCTAGAGGCTGTAAGACCACAGACCAAGATGAATATTCACACAGGAATGATCAGTGGACAGCAATAAGGAGCACTGATGCTTCTCCATTCCCTAGAATGGGGTGTTAAGATCAATTTTACCCCAACAGGACTGTCTAACTAAGCACTGAATCTGCAGCCCGATGATCTATATTGATGGAGTGCTACATTGGCAACCTCTTTATCCACTGGACCATCAGGATAGCTAAAAATGCTTCTGTTACCTAGTAATTGCATTTTTAACTATATTATAGTGCCAGGAAATTTAAGTTGTTTTAAAAAGTACTATACACACATTATGTATCTTTAAAACTACAGCTCTGATATTGACAAGTGTTTATTAATTATTACCTGAAAGCTCGTGAAGATCCTCCTTGTAATATTCCACTTTCTTCAATCTCAAGCTTCAGTTCTGCCACTTCTGCAGCCAGTTCTTTTTCCATAAACCTGATCCGCTCAGTTGTAGAGACTTCATACTTAAAATCCATCGCTTACAGCTACTTGTCAAGAGAAAACAAAAATGCTGTTCAAATCCAGGTTAAAACGAGTTTTAAGCACCAAGATTAATACATTTATATATGTTTTAGTTTGAAATATTATCTAATTATGAAGACTCAAAATAAACATGTAAGTTTATAGAATTACAAAAGTAAATTTATAAAATTTCAACATGTTTATTAAAATTAACATATTTGTCAGCCTGGCTCAATTGATAGCACTCTCGCCTCTTGAGTTAGAAGATTGTGGGTTCATGCCCCATGTGAGATTTTGAACCCACAATCTAGGCTGACACTCCAATACACTGTTGGATACAGACTCAGACACACATCCACTACCAGACCAATGGGGACCCAGACACATATTCAGCACTGCACTGCTAAGAATCTAGACATATATCAACCACCAGACTACCAGGCCTCTCTGAAATATTTAAAACTGCCTAGAGGCTGCATTGAAGACTTGTCTCCAGGCCAATTTTGCTCTATAGCCAGCGACTGGGAGCTATGCAAGAAATCATCTGCAATCTTTAAAACTGACTTGCTACAATAGAGTTACATGTGGAGGGAATGTTTCATTGAAGTTTTTTGTATTTATTGCATTTTGGAAAGAAATTTCATGCTGTTTGACCAACAGAACCTTGAATTACAACCTATTCTGGTCAAATTCCAACAGTAAAACAACAACAAATTAATTTGTAAAGAGTCTTTCACATCTGGAGGCCATCCCAAGGCACTAGCCTAGCCAATACACTTACTGCTCATTACAAGTGACCTTTATATAAGTATGGCCTCTGCGTAAGGTTTTGATGGTATGTGAACCGGGCTATCCAGATTGTTCCAGGGAGGTTGTTAACAGGGGGTGATTGCAAAACATACAGTCAATTCACTTTACAGTATATTCTGTGAAGCGCTTTGAGACTTCTAAAAGATGTGAAAAGGCGCTATATCAAAGGAAGTTATTATTATTATTGCTGAATGGGGTGGTTGCTTGAACAGGCTTGGCTGTATTTTGGAGGAAACAAAATAAATGTTACAGCAGATGTAAAAATATAAAACAGCAAACCTTGTACAAAAACTATTCGCCTATATTATCATATACCCTTCACTATATTACCCACCCCTCCCGAAATAATGTCCTTGTCATGTGAAAACCTCCTGTGTAAATACAATTGGTTGTTGTGTTCTCTATTTCTCTTTTTTTTTCCCTACACCTCACTATTCCAATCAATACTGCACAAAATACTGAAAGTCTACACAACAGTATGAATGATGAGCAACCAGGAGGGTTCCACTTCACTGCCATGTGGCTGCTGCATTTCGCCCACAAAATATAGTCAATTCACTTTACAGTATATTCTGTGAAGCTCTTTGAGATGTCTCGAAGACGCGATAAGGCGCTATATCAAACGCAAGGATTATTATGTATTTTTGGCTCTAAAAAAAACTATTCGCTGAAGACTCTACAATCTCACAAGAGTTGGTGTATTTAAGGCAGTGAGTGCTACAGTCTCTGGATTCAGGTAATAAGGTGGCCGACTTTCAACACCCCTTATTCATTTGTTTAAATATCTTTTTTTTCCAAGCTCCAGGCTCTCAGCCTGCACTGTATGTGCTGTGTTGTGCTTTGTTGTACACACGGGTGTTATGAAGTGCAATCCATCCAGGATCCTGTGTATTAAACGGGGCAAATCTCAGCAGCAGCTTTCGGGAGGCCTTTCCAAACAGCAAGTATTGGGACTGCGTGACTGTAACCCTAAAATATAAAAAACAGATGTTATTGATTAATTTCTTAAACAAAAGCTAAATGCTGAGTTTTTCTCGACCATTGTCAGACCTGGACCAGGGGCTGAGGCTGGGCTGAGACTGTGGCTGGGCTTGAGGCTTGGCTGAGACTGGGCTGGACCTGGGGCTGAAGCTGGATTGCACCTGGGCTGAGGCTGGGCTGGAGACTTGGCTGAGGCTGGGTTTGAGGCTGGGCTGGGGTTGAGGCTGGGCTGGGGTTGAGGCTGGGCTGGGGTTGAGGCTGGGCTGGGGTTGAGGTAGTGTGGAGGCTGGGGTTCAGGTGGGGCTGAGGTGGGGTTGAGGAGGGGTTGGGGTTGAGGAGGGTTGGGGTTGAGGAGGGGTTGGGGTTGAGGAGGGGTTGGGGTTGAAGAGGGGTTGGGGTTGAGGAGGGGTTGGGGTTGGGGTTGAGGAGGGGTTGGGGTTGAGGAGGGGTTGGGGTTGAGGAGGGGTTGGGGTTGAGGAGGGGTTGGGGTTGAAGAGGGGTTGGGGTTGAGGAGGGGTTGGGGTTGGGGTTGAGGAGGGGTTGGGGTTGGGGTTGAGGAGGGGTTGGGGTTGAGGAGGGGTTGGGGTTGGGGTTGAGGAGGGGTTGGGGTTGGGGTTGAGGAGGGGTTGGGGTTGGGGTTGAGGAGGGGTTGGGGTTGGGGTTGAGGAGGGGTTGGGGTTGAGGAGGGGTTGGGGTTGGGGTTGAGGAGGGGTTGGGGTTGAGGAGGGGTTGGGGTTGAGGAGGGGTTGGGGTTGAGGAGGGGTTGGGGTTGAGGAGGGGTTGGGGTTGAGGAGGGGTTGAGGAGGGGTTGGGGTTGAGGAGGGGTTGAGGAGGGTTGGGGTTGGGGTTGAGGAGGGGTTGAGGAGGGGTTGGGGTTGGGGTTGAGGAGGGGTTGGGGTTGGGGTTGAGGAGGGTTGGGGTTGAGGAGGGGTTGGGGTTGGGGTTGAGGAGGGGTTGGGGTTGAGGAGGGGTTGAGGAGGGGTTGGGGTTGGGGTTGAGGTTGAGGAGGGGTTGAGGAGGGGTTGGGGTTGGGGTTGAGGTTGAGGAGGGGTTGAGGAGGGGTTGAGGAGGGGTTGAGGAGGGGTTGGGGTGGGGTTGAGGAGGGGGGGTTGGGAGGGTTGGGGTTGAGGAGGGGTTGGGGTTGAGGAGGGGTTGGGGTTGAGGAGGGGTTGGGGTTGGGGTTGAGGAGGGGTTGGGGTTGAGGAGGGGTTGGGGTTGAGGAGGGGTTGGGGTTGGGGTTGAGGAGGGGTTGGGGTTGAGGAGGGGTTGGGGTTGGGGTTGAGGAGGGGTTGAGGAGGGGGTTGAGGAGGGAGTTGAGGAGGGGTTGGGGTTGAGGAGGGGTTGGGGTTGAGGAGGGGTTGGGGTTGAGGAGGGGTTGGGGTTGAGGAGGGGTTGAGGAGGGGTTGGGGTTGGGGTTGGGGTTGAGGAGGGGTTGGGGTTGAGGAGGGGTTGGGGGTGAGGAGGGGTTGGGGGTGAGGAGGGGTTGGGGTTGAGGAGGGGTTGGGGGTGAGGAGGGGTTGGGGAGGGGTTGGGGTTGGGGTTGAGTTGAGGAGGGGTTGGGGTTGAGGAGGGGTTGGGTTGAGGAGGGGTTGGGGTTGAGGAGGGGTTGAGGAGGGGTTGGGGTTGAGGAGGGGGTGAGGAGGGGTTGGGGTTGAGGAGGGGGTGAGGAGGGGTTGAGGAGTTCTCCTGTTGTGCCGCAGGTAAAGGTTCCACCAACAAGTCCGACGCTTCGACGCTTCGACTGAACCACCTGGTGGTGGTGGTGGGGGGGTGTGGGGGTGACCAGGAGGAGCAGTGTCAAGAGGCACAAGTCATACATAACCGATATGGATTTTTTCAGTGCATTTGACTGATTATCCATATGAACTGTTAATTCCGGGGTCATACACTGTCAGGCACTGCCCTGAGGATTGTAAGTGAATGGTCCCCCCCCCCCCCCCTCCCCCCCCCCGCAGCACAGAGACTCGTCCACTTGTAGCTGTAGCAACGCGGAGCCGCGTCTGGGATACGGGGATCAGACATTGAGGCTTTCATTTTACAGTGCAGTGCAGTGCGATGCCGTGTGGCTCAGCGGTTGTGCCCCTCTGACAATGCTGGGAATCCCGGTGAGAGGACCCGCCTCCCAAACCTCCACCTTCTCCTGCAGATAGAAAAGAGCAATAATCCCCGCACTTCACACACACACACACACACACAGCCGCACTTCTAAATGATTCTTGGGATATGTACAGCGCCTTTCACGTCGGGAGGACGTCCCGAGGCGCTGGACAGTGTACAGCATTTCAGACCCGGGCTGGGGTCAGGGGGGGAGAAGGGAGGGGAGGGGAAGGGGGTGGTCGATGGCACGGTCGAAGAGGAGGGTTTTGAGCCGGGACTTGAAGGAGGACAAGGAGGGGGTGAGGCGGAGTGATTGAGGGATGGAATTCCAGAGGTTGGGGGCAGAGTGGCTGAAGGCTCTCCCACCAATGGTGGGGCGGGTGGGTCGGGGGACCCGGAGCAGGTCAGAGCCGTCTGAGCGGAGGGAACGGGCGGGTTGGTAGGGGGTTAGGAGGTCACAGAGGTAGGGTGGGGTGAGGCCATGGAGGGCTTTGTAGGTGAGGACCAGGATCTTGAACTGGATCCTCTGAAGGATAGGCAGCCAATGGAGTCGGGTGAGAATGGGGGCGATGGGGTCATGGAGTTTGATGCGGGAGAGGACACGGGCTGCAGAGTTCTGATTATCTGCAGCCTGTGGAGGGAGGAGTTGGGAAGGCCGACAAGCAGAGTGTTTGCATAGTCGAGCCTGGAGGTGATGAAGGTATGAACAAGAGTTTCAGCGGCCTGAGGGGTGAGGTAATGGCGGAGTCGGGCGAAGTTACGGAGGTGAGGGAAGGCAGAGTGGGTCATGGCTTGGATGTGGGGGAGAAAAGACAGTTGAGGGTGGAACAAGACACCAAGGTTCCTGACTGGTTTGGTGAGTTGTAGTGTGCAACCATGGAGGTTGATGCTGCCGGAGCCTGAGGTGCTGAGGCACTGGGTGAGCCAATCAGGAGGGCCTCAGTCTTGTTCACATTCAACTGTAGGAAATTTGCCCTCATCCAGGACTTGATGTCCGACAGGCAGTCTGTCAGGACAGCAGTGGTCCTGGAGTTGAGGGTGGAGGCAGAAATATTTGGGTGTCATCCGCATACATATGGCAGTTGGCCCCAGTTCTGCGGATGATGTCACCAAGTGGGAGCGTGTAGATATTAAAGAGGAGAGGGCCAAGGACAGAGCCCTGGGGGACGGCAGATGTGACAGTGCGGGGGCTGGAGGAGAAACCGTTAGAGGCAACGTAGTGGAGACAGTGAGAGAGATAGGAATCGATCCAGGCAAGGGCAGGTCCGTGAAGATTGAGTAAAGCGGAGAGGCGCTTTACAACAACAACAACAAGATTGTATAGCGCCTTTCACGTCGGGAGGACGTACCAAGGTGCTGGACAGTGTACAACATTTCAGACCTGAACAGGGGTCAGTGGGGGAGAAGGGAGGGGAGGGAAAGGGGGTGGCCGATGGCATGGTCGACAAGGAGGGTCTTGAGGCGGGACTTGAAGGAGGCTAAGGAAGGGGTGATGTGGAGTGATTGGGGGATGGAATTCCAGAGGTTGGGTGCAGAGTGGCTGAAGGCTCTCCCGCCAATGGTGGGGTGGGTGGGTCGGGGGATGTGGAGCAGGTCAGAGCCGGCTGAGCGGAGGGAGCTGGCGGGTTGATAGGGTGTTAGGAGGTCGCAGAGGTAGGGTGGGGCAAGGCCATGGAGGGCTTTGTAGGTGAGGACCAGGATCTTGAACTGTATAGTGACTATGCTGTTTGTAAACACACAGTCACTATACTTTACAGTAAATTGCCTGCTGCAGTTTATAAACAAACACAGCAGCAAATTTGATATATTCAGAAGTTACACATAGTCTATGTGTCTGCCCTTTTTACCATTCTGTCTATGTCTTCCTGCAGTTGGCTACTATCCTTCTCACTGTTTACCACTCTACCTAACTTTGTGTCATCCGCAAACTTGGAAATGGTACTTGCTATACCCAAGTCCAGGTCATTTATGTATATTAAGAAGAACAGTGGTCCTAATACCAATCCCTGGGGGCGCCACTGTACACTTCCCTCCAGTCAGAAAAGCAGCCGTTCACCACAACTCTCTGCTTTCTGTCTCCCAGCCAGTTCTGGATCCATGCTGCCACTATCCCTTTATACCATGGGCTTCTATCTTTCTTACAAATCTTTCATGTGGCACTTTGTCAAATGCCTTTTGAAAGTCAACTGCACTACCTTTAACCACCCTCTCCGTTACCTCATCGAAAAATCCTATTAGATTTGTTAGACAAGATTTGCCTTTAACAAATCCGTGCTGGCTGTCCCTAATTAACCCATATTCTTCTAAATGAAGATTTATTCTGTCCCGGATTATAGTCTCCAGGAGTTTCTTCACTACTGATATTAGGCTGACTGGCCTGTAGCTCCCAGGTTTGTCCTTCTGTCCCTTTTCGTATAGGGGAGTAACATTCGTCACTCTCCAGTACTCTGGCACCATCCCTGTGTCCAACGAAGATGTACCTTGAAACAGGCAAGGGGGGAATCGAGGCAACGGAATGTGTTCCAACAGGTGGGGGCAGAGAAGCTGAAGGCCTGACCGTCGATGGTGTGGTGGGCTGGGCAGAGGAGTAGGCCAGAGCCTGCTGAGAAGAGGGATTGGGCAGGTTGATATGGGGAGGTAACTCCGCACAGCAACATCTAAAGCAGAATAATAGGTTAATGATTGTTTGGGATACTTTATCAGAACCTTTGCCTTGACTATCTGAAGTGAAGATTTGAGGGCGGTATATGGACAGAATCCATATCTTCAACTTGTACATGCTCCCTCTTGGTGACATCATTCGCAGACATGGGGTCAGCTTCCACATGTATGCGGATGATACCCAACTGTACATTTCTGCCTCCACCAGGACTCCAGGACCTGATGTCTATCAGACATCAAGTCCTGGATGAGAACCAACTTTCTTCAGTTGAACGTCAGCAAGACCAAGGCTCTCCTGATGGGTTCCCGTCAGCGCCTCCTCACCTCAGGCGCTGACAGCATCACCATCCATGGTCGCACACTCCACCTCACTGAGCCAGTCCGGAACCTTGGCGGCTTGTTTGACCCTCAACGATCCTTTCTACCCCACATCCATGCCATGACCCGCTCTGCCTTCCTCCACCTCCGCAACATTGCCCATCTCCACCACTGCCTCAACCCTCAGGCCGCCAAAACCCTCATCCATGCATTCATCCCCTCTAGGCTCGACTACGCCAACTCCCTGTTTGTCAGCCTTCCCTACTCTTCCCTCAATAAGCTGCACATCATCCAGAACTCTGCAACCTCATGTTCTCTCATGTCTCTCTCGCACTGGCTCCGCAGCCCCAGAGGATACAGTTCAAAATCCTTGTCCTCGCCTTCAAAACCCTCAATGCTCTTTTTGTTATTTACATAAGATATGAAGGTGGAATCGGAAGAGAACCAAGACAAACCCAACAAATTCCCCAAAAAACACTAGCATAGCATTTTGTGGGGATTTTGATTTTGTATATGATTTTCTCATTTTTTTCCTTAATGAAGTCTCTTGTGCCATTCACCATCTCTGGCTGAAAAGAAAGCAATTCTTAGGCATCCATCAGTGTCACTATGGAGTCGGAAGACAGGAAATGCATGTCTAGGCTAATTACCCTCTTAATTTTCAGTTCCTTTGGGAAAGCACCGAGGTGTTATATCTCTGTGTTGCCTCAAAATATATTAATTTTAAATTCATTTGTTGTTTTGCATTTTCAAACCTATTAACTTGTGGATGACAGCAAGTAATGGGGAATTACACAGCAGCTGAGAGGTTAATTTATTCTTCAGTTTATATCTTCAACAAAAAAACAATAAACTGCCTACAACAACAACTTGCAGGGGGCAAGGCGGAGGTATTGAGGGAGAGTGTTCCAGAGTTTTGGGACATAGAGGCTGAAATTATGACCTCCGATGGTGGGGCAGAGGACGCGAGGGATGAGCAGGAGGCCGGTGTCAGTCGAGCGGAGGTGCCGAGTGGTGGATTGGGGAGTGAGGAGGTTGGAGAGGTAGGGAGGTGCCAGGATTGGATTTGAACATGAAATTGCATACTCAATGAGATACAGAAATTATTCTGTAAGTAATTGCAGAATCACAATGAAAAAAAAGTCTAAAATTGCTCATTTGTGGACTAGGAAAAAATGAATTGCAGACACAACACTTTGAATAAGTGCAAGTTAAGGAGCCATTGTTGCCAGCCATGGTAATGTTTTGTGAATCATCATGACATGCCCATCCAATCTAAAGACACCAAGAAAACAGACAGATGGTTGGAGCATGCTTTGTCAGCAAGGGACATTCAGTTCCCATGCCAAAACACCTAGATCTTCTCCCAGCCAATTTCTAAAAATGTCATATCATACTTACCTCCACAGGGCTCTTGCTGTCACAAGACTTGTGGTTCCAGAACGAAGGAAAGGCACTCTTATTTGTAAAGCTACATCTTATAAATTGTCCCCTTTGTGTATTTGTATCCTATATCATTATATTGTGATCCATGTTACCATGTTTTTAACCAGGTGAATAGTGAGCTACAAATCAGCATCCTTGTAAGAAAGATTCTATCTAGGAACAAAATTTAACTTTTCGCAGTTAAATAAAACAGATAACGTTGGACTATAAATAATTTTCAAAACTATATCTTAAAATAATATTTTACTAACTCGTGGAGTATGAAAATAATATTTAATGCTTAGTTATTGCAGAATAGTATTTTACCCAATGAGTGAGGAGGATCAAAACAATTTAATTTTAATCTGCTCCCAGAATATCTTGGGCCAGGTAATGTAGGTCTAAGGTCTTAAATGTCATCCTTCTAAAAGCTAGCAAAGATAAGAAATAGCCAACAGAGTAAGTGTGTGAGGAACGATCAGCAAGAACTGCGAGAAATGAACAGCAAGAAGAGTATTCCTGCATCGACATAGGTAGCTTTGAGCAAGAAACAGCACAACAGTGAAATGAAAAGCCTTTGGTCACCAGCTCGCGATAACGTACTACTAGCAAATTCTGTATAAGAGCCCCATACACAAAATGGGAAGTAGGTCACTGGCTATCCTCGGGGAAAGAAAACAATGCATAGTAATACATTTTTGTAAAATGTATATATTCAAGAAAGCAATGAGAATTAGACATGGCGATGTTATGCAAAATTGATTTTTATTAGTATTTTTGCATTCATAAGCAACAATTCATGCACTTCAAAAATTGAAAATCAGTAATCTAACTCAACAAGAATATTCCAGCAGATAAGTTACCCCAAGTGCATATTGCAAGTCATTTACATAAAACAGATTAATAATGTATGAGTATAGAAAGACAGACAAAACCTGAACAGATTAGCCCTTAAATTTAAAAGCAATTCACCGCAGTAGGAAAAGTCTATTTTAAAACATGAACAGATCCTTTATGAAACAATGAATAAAAGGAAATATGCAAAAACTAGACCAAAATATCTACAATTTTTAAGTGCTTCTCAGTATTGTTGGTGACTTAAATCCTAAATCCAATTTATAGCCTGTACTTTTTGTACAACAGCCCTCATTGGTCCCACACAATGTCATCTTTCTTCAAGGTCATCTGCAGTTTCTGTGCATTCTTAAGCAGCTGAAGGCTTTCTTTTCCTTTCTGCCCAAGAGCAGAAGTTGTTTTGGCTGAAAATTCTGTTCCCCTGGGGATAACTGGCAGCTCATTCATTCCATCTAAATCTTTTGCTCTCTTCTTCACGCTGGCTGCCTGCCGCTTCAGTTTTCTTGCCTTTTGTCTCAATTTCTCAACCTAACAAAAAAAATCATTGCCAAAGAAATTATATATTAAAGAAAAGGTCACCATTGAAGTAAAATGTATCCTACGAACACTTTCTTGCCAAAAGTTCAGACGAATTTAATTTCACAAATGGCAAAATAAGTCCAAACACACAAACGTTAGATCTTGGAGAGAAAGCTTTCTCTGGAAACTGTACGTCAAATAGTAAACTATTTAAAGACTTAAAACAATGCCAAGAAAATGAAGCATCATATTCACCCTCACTCACCTTACTATTATTTCACCTTAAAGTTACTTAAACATATGCACACCCACATTGTTTAATATACATAATTGTATATTAATATTGTATACATTATCATATTTCAGAAGATCTAATAAACTGGAAAGACTGGATCAACTGGACAGTTTCCTTCTGTTCTTGTTTTGTCGTGTTCTATGAAAGGCCTCCCTAATTATAAGGAAACCCATTGAAATAACCTGCATCCTGTCACCTTATAACTTTCTATATCTATTCAATCTATAGTAATGTTTACATTTGATATTGTGTCTGTCACATCAAGAGGACAACTGAAAGCACATCACAGGATTTTGAAGGTGAATGAAGGAGTCAATTTTTTCACAGCAATGACCCACAAACAGCCATGAAGTGAATGACCAATTTTACCTGGTGAATTGTTGGCCATGAAATCGTTAACATTCTCCTGAATAGGCAGGCCTCGAAACTCTGGAACTCTCTCCCTCAATCCCTCCACCTTGCCCCCTCTCCCCAATTTCAAATCCCGCTGAAAGACCTTTCTTTTTGATGGTGCTTATGGTCATGTGCCCCTCCCTCTCCCACTGGCTCGGTGTCAGACTTCGCCACTGTCAAGTGGTCCGGGACGCTACCCCACTTGAATAGCGCTATATAAAAGCAACTTGTTAGTGTTGTGCTGCAACATGAGCCAGGCTAACACCAATCTATTGTCACTCCATTTCGCAGTGATTCCTGAAGCGCTTTGAGACATCCTTCCTACGTGATAAGGTGCTTATACCGAATGCAAGGATTTTTTTTAAATATAGGGGCTTCACTGTTCAAAATTTTCGCAGTGATTCCTGAAGCGCTTTGAGACATCCTTCCTACGCGATAAGGTGCTATATACCGAATGCAAGTTTTTTTTTAAATATAGGGGTTCACTGTTCAAAATAAAAAAGCATAATTTTAGTTTAAGCAAACCATTGCTCACTTGTCCTCTAGGTGTCATACTATCACCATGAAGCTGGTAAATAAGCCATTCCTTCTCTCAGAAAGGTAGACACTTTAGTTTAAAACTGTTAACTTCCATATAAAATACAACAATACTTTATAAAACTCTAACAAGAGTAAGTCTACCCCAGTTAAGTCTTCTTTTAAGGTTCTTAATGGAGCGAAGGACAAATACTGTTAAAAAGCAAATGCTATTAAGTGTTATCAGTAATGTCATGTTACTTAATAATCAGCCTCAAGGTTGTCACTTGCAGTGAGGGCTGTTTTAGTTGTGCAAACCCCATGGTACAATTCATGTAGCCCAATTCTATGTACTATAGTGGGGTTGTCAGGTCTGATAATATCTTGTACAATAATTATTGCAGTCTCCATTCTGAACCGGAGAGCAGAGCTATAGACTCTGTGATGCTGCAATATGGCTGTAATGAAGCCAATGAATGTTACTGAGCTGCACAACAGTATTAGACCTTATTTACAATAAGGTAAAAACTGACTGATACAGAGATGATCTATTTGAATCCTAATTAGGGCACAGCTAAACCTTTATATCAATAGTTGGCAATACTCCAATATGAATTGGAGCAGTCATTTATTACAGAAAGAGCAGTGTTATTTCCCAGTAACTTTATAATTCCGCAATTTTGCAGTGATTTTGTGGTCATTCTATGCTGAATGGAATAACCTGTCTGTGGTCAGCCAGGCCACCCGCTGCCAAAGAGCAGTAAGTGCAGAAGAGAAAGAAGGAATTTTAAAACTCTAAAAAGATGTATGTACTTACTTATGCATGATTTTCATTAAAAATAGTGGATTTTCGGGTACAATTTCCATATAAAAATCTCATCGTGGGCTGTTGAAGCCACTTAAAGCTCATGATCCATCAAGATCACTTAAAATTACTACCCATCTAAAAATCACTCTCAAGCGTATTGTGCTCCCATTGTTTATTTCTATGTAGAATAATACCATCACTTACATTGTTTTGGTGTTTTTTAAGTTTACAAATCTGGTCCCCTTTCCTTTCCATCCGTTTTACTAGAGAGTCCAGTTCCCGTTCCAAGTCTTCCCGAACGTTAGTATTTTTGGTCTCCTGTATCTGTTTTAGGAGGTCTTGATGCTCACTGGAAATACAGTGGTTGGAAGCATTTTTAAATATGAGATAAAATGATGTTAGGCAATTAGTACTGAAAATAATCTCTCCCACCCATTGGTCTACAAATACAATCACAGTAGTTTACAGTAAATTCTTTAAAACACTTTTGAGATATCTCTACGATATGATGCGACACTATCTCAAATGAAATAATTGTTATCTATTATTTTAATAATAACTACCCCAGTTCTAACTCCCACCTTTCATTCTCTTCATTTTCTCCTTTCTCTGCTGCAAATGATAATCACGCATTTTTAAGACCTCCCTTTCCTCATTCCTCCAGATAAAGAAATAGAATGGATGTTTTGTAGAACACATTTTGTGATATTTTGCGCACAGTAATGTTCCACCGACAGCCATGACATGAAGGAACAATTTAACTGGAGAATTGTTGGTCACCAGGAAAAATTCCCTTCTCTTTTTTTAACAGTGCCATTGGATTTTAACATCCACCTGAACAAGCAGACAGAACTGGGTTTAATGCCTGATCCAAAGGACAACACCTCCGACAATGCAGTCCTCCCCCAGCAATACATTGGAATTGCAGCCTAGACTGTGAGCTCAAAGTCCTGACATGGGCCTTGAACCCAAGAGCTTCTGAAAAGGAGTATAGCGCCAGGCTGTCATCTGGGAAGGATGGGAATATGGTCAACATTAAACACTAATATTACCAACGACTTATACTGGGTTAAAATAGATGGTTTTGATTAAATTTAATGAAATTTTGAATGTAATTTTTTTGCCAAATGGATACCCATCTATTGCATTCCGTTTTTTTTCCAATTGTGGATCATTTCAGAATTCATCTGTCTTTCCTTAAGATGATCACCCTATAGACTTAGAACCCTATGAATATTATTAATATTCACTGTATGGCACGTTGTCATCGTCAAATGTTATATTATCAGATGTACGTACCTATGTAGATTGAAGACAGCCAATTTATTTTTAAGCTAATTGCTGCAATGCTTCACAATGTATGCCAATACAATAGCATCAGCACTCAGCAGTCAGTAGTGAAGTCTTGCACTTGTATTAGAAATCTTGTTCCAACCCCCACCCCCATTTCAACAACAGCATACTTTTAGATTTTCTTCTTTAAAATCAAATTAAGTGGGACAAATGTTTCTGAAATGTTAGCAATTGGTATTATAATTATTATTTAGTTTGTTCACACCACACAAATGTTTATTTATTAAACAAATAATGAGCCGTTTCCTTATCCTCGTAAACTCTCCATTCTATTTATAATGGGAAGCACTGAACACAAAGTTCGCTTGTGCACATTGCAGTATTTAGCTTTTTGCATAATTTCACTTGATTAAACATCATGTCTTGTGCTCACAAAATAATTAAACAGCAACTATGCTCCTATTGTTAAAGAGGAGCATAGGCTTGACGAGTCAGACTGACCTTCCCCTATCTTCTTTCTATGATATTACCCTTGAATCTATTCAAATAGTTCTAGTATTTACTACCCTTGACCCAGGAAGGCACATTTCACCTAGAATTATAACTAGATAACATCAAGAGGGGAAAAATGGCACAATATCGCCTTAGATCCAAGTTACTCTTTTTTTCCCTCACTAGTAATAGTTTTTTCCATTCTTGTCTATTCCAATAATAATAAGCCTTGCATTTGACATAGTATTTTTCGAATCGGGAGGACATCTCAAAGCGCTTGTAAAGTGGAATGTATTTTCTTGCCAAACAAAGCAACCAATTCCTCACAGCAATATCCCACAACCAGACTTGAAGTGAATGACCAATTTTATCTGGGGCATTGTTGACCAGAACACCAAGAGAAACTGCTTTCTATTTTTAAATAGAGCTAATGGGATCCTTAACGTCCACCTGAACAGGCATACGGGACATCGGTTTAATCTTTTATCCAAAGGATGGCATCTCCAACACTGCAGCGCTCTCCCAGCACTTCAAAGGGGGCATATGTAAGTTCACAATCCAGCCTTCTAACTCAGAGGGGATAGTGGTACCAACTTAGCCAGGTTAAGACCTGGCTGTTCCGTGTAACTTATTCCATAAAAGTTGAAATTTTATTAAAAGGTTGAATAACTCATCAGTTTCATTTACAGTCACTTTTCATAGCCCTTTGTGCAAACACCATACAATAACTTAATGGACTATTCAAAAATAAGTAGATTTAATAGACAGTAAATAAGAAAATAAAATACGATTTCTGACTTACAAGCTCATTTGACCCAGCTCATCCTGTAATGCGAGGAGGAGTTCAGATAACCCTTCAGATGGTGTGCAGGAGGAACAAGATGACACAGATCTCGGTGCTTCATTCTTCAAAGTATTGCTGTCGTAACTTCTCTCCCCTGAATTCGTAAAAGTTCTTCGCTCAGGGGGCCTCTGGTTTCCATCGTTAATCTTTGTATTATGGTATTTCATCAAATGGAAAACATTCTGCACATTTGCTGTGACAGAGTGACTGTGACTGGTGGACTAACCAAAAACAAAACTAAATTGTAGATTTAAAAGATTATTCAATGGAATAGGCCCCCCACAACTTTTTGACTAACCAGTGACTGTCCTTATGGGTGGGAGATAAGGCCAAGCGGGTCTGCAGTATTCCAAGGCAATGCTGATAACAGCACAGACAGCCTGGCTCACCAGCAGGACTTGGGAAGGACAGACCAAACAATGGGGCAGGGATTCTTCCCACTGAGCGTCTGTTATCCATGCAAACCAAGCCCTAATGGGTACGTGGTTCTAGCTGGACAAGCAGCGGGAAAGCTTGCCAGGCAGTCAGTCATTGACAATGGCAATTTTAGCTGATTAATCTCCAGCAGCACCACAAGGCACACCCTGGGTCCCCAAGCCTTGGCTCTTGCCAACCTGTATTTAAGGCTATCTGGATTGGTTTCCGCATGTGTCAGTCACCTCTTTTCCACTGGCTCATTATACTCAACATCTTGATCTTCATGCAGAATCAACCCAAACCTGCCCAAACTAATTATTCAATGAGCCCCCAAACACCCCACCCCTGCACAACAATATTGTCTTAATATACAGAACTCTAAGACCATCAATGTATGTATCTGCATGATTTATTGTGTACTTTGTATAAAAATCTCTATTTTCCTAAACAAATTCTCTTTAAATCTCTGTATGCCTTCCCCACCTGAGGAGAGGGAGGGGCTGGGGGCAGTTCCAAAGGCTCCTCAAATGTTGCTGTATTATTGATGTTACAGGGTCAGGGTTAGGAAAAGTACAGAAAGTAAGTACAGAAAACTAGGTTTTATTTTCTCTCCTGAGAGAAAGAGACTGCCTTCACAAAAATTCTGTGTTGAGCAAAAGCAAGCACAACCCCATATCCTACTGTATTTTAGTTTCAAAGCATGACACCCTCTGCAACAGAACATCAATAGACAAATCTCAACTCCATATGTCTGGTCTCTTAAGACTTAAAATTAAAAGCCTCTGCAAAATTACCTTCCCAGCAACAAATGGAAAGTCTGCAAGTTTAGGCCATGCACTAGGCGGTCGAATGTATTCTTGCCCTGTACTGATCTGGAAAATAATTGAAAAGGTTCAATATGAGCACATTTACGACTAGAACGTTTCATTGATCACTGTTGTCCAAAACCTACTTTCAGTTTTGCATTATGAACTGTGACCAGTCTCTAAAACGCATGCATGTAGTTCGCATAGGATTGAGATATAAATCCACATCAATGTCTCACCTATTTGACAACTGTGGATGAAAGGAGCTTGTGTTGTGGTACTAAAGGAATTGTCACACTATGAGTATAATGCCCTGCTTTCAGAAACATTATGGCAATGCAAATGAGGCAGCACTACCATAATAATATTTTATACTAAAAAATAATACCCCATAATAATAATATTCCTTGCATTTGATATAACTCCTTTCACGTTGGGAGGACATCCCAAAGTGCTTCACAGCATTTACTGTAAAGTGGAGTGACGTGTTTGTAGGCAAATGTGACAGCCCAATTGCGCACCACAAAGTCCCATAAACAGCCATGAAATGAATAACCAATTTTATTTGGGGATTGTTGGTCAGGACACTAGGAGAAATTCCCATCTAATTTTAAGTAGTGCCATGGAATCCTTAATGTCTACCTGAACAAGCAGACAGGACCTCGGTTTAACGTCTCAACCGAAGGATTGCACCTCTGACAATGCAATGCACCCCCAGCACTCCATTGTCGGTTTAGCTTACGTGAGTTCAAGTCCAGATGTGGGGCTTGATCCTATAACCTTCTGACCCAGAGGCGAGAGTGCTACCACTGAGCCAGGCTGACACATAATGTTCAGGGGTAGTTGTCCTGCCTCTGGATGCAGAATTGCTAAATGCAACACACTGGACGTCTAAGACGTTTTAATTTTTTTTCTGGTTATGGCTTCTCTGCCTAAACAATACAGCCCAATGACATTGCTAAAAAATAGCACTGAGGATCACAGGGATGAGTTTCTGAATGATCAGCTTGTTTTCATCACAAAAAAGCAAATCCACAGCAGGAGCAGCCGCAGGGAACAAAAGGCTTCATAGTATGTCACAATATGAGCATGGCATCAAAAGGCTTCCTGTAGATAATAAATTAACAGCAATAACGTGTATTTATATAGCACCCTTCACTCAGGGTTGGGTCTCAGAGCTATCTAGCCAGGTAACATCCTGGATAACTAACTTTCTCTTTGAGCTGTGAACACACAAACACAATCTTTGGTGGATGTCCCATTTCTCATCTAAAATGCAGTTTCCAATGCAGTTGATCACATTACTGAATCACTTGTTTATCTAGGACATTTAGTTCACGCTACAAATCGCTCACTGCTGAATTTCCTCAGCATGGTGATTCACACCACTCTGTAGAAATTCAATGCTATCTCTTGACAGATCAGATCAGGATATATTTCATGAACCTATTTCATGAACATTTCTGGATGTATAATAATATCCAGAAATTGAACAAAGCAACACATATTCTGTAACATGTGGTGCTCTGAAAGAAAAAAAACATTATGGATAGCATTCCATATCCTAAAACAAAGAATGAAGCATCCTCGCTTCCCACCTATACTGCACCTAGATTTAAGACCAAATCGAAAATTATAGACATTTGTAGTTTGATAAATTTAAAGAAATTAAAACAAATATTTAATAAATTGATAGTAAACTACAATAATCGTCTGTTCATTTATAATAACAATAATAATGCTTACATTTGACATAGCGCCTTATCACGTCTATGAGACGTCTCAAAGCGCTTCACAGAAAATACTGTAAAGGGAATTGACTGTATATTTTGTGGGCGTATGAAATTAGAGATCATTTTATACGGTTATTGAAACCATCTCCACCTTTCCCCAACATAACAAACAAACCTTCCCACTTCCTTGCTTTTTCTTCTTTTTCTTTTTCATTCTTGCAGAGGTTGACTCCATGAGTATTTGATTCATTACAAGTCCGGTCTGCAGCTAAGAACAAAAACAGAAAAAAGGGTTAAAAAATAAACTTTCTCTAAACAAGTGTTTCAGGATTGGTAGCTTCAATAATAATAATCCTTATATTTGGTATACCATCTTTCACTTCAGAAGAATGTCCCAACGCACTTCACAGGATAATACTGTAAAGTTCAGTGACTATGTTTTGCGGGCGAAGGAGGCAGCCAATATGCGCAGAGCAACATCCCAGAAGCAGCCATGAACTGAATGATCAATTGTATTTGGGGGAATGTTGGCCTGGACACTGGGAGAAACTCCCTTCTCTTTTCAAATAGTACCTTAGGATCTTTAACATCACCTGAACAGACAAATGGGGCCTCAGTTTAACGTCTCATCCGAAGGACAGCACCTCCAAAAAGGCAGCACACGTCCAGCACTGCACTGGTGTGTTAACATAAACTATATGAGCTCTAAGTCCTAACGTGGGGCTTAAATCCACAACCTTCTGACTCAGAGATGGGAGTGCTACCAACCAAGACAAGCCAATATATGGAATAATAGAAGAGTACAGAATTGGAGAAGTTACTTATCAAATTGGTGAAGCATGGCACAATACTGCCTAAATTTACTGCTAAAATCCTAAACAATTTGACAGTGTTTATTTACGTACAAACTGCAAAACCAATGTTATTTACAACAGGATTTAACTAACAGCTAACCTCTAAAGACCGTCTTTTTATAATTCATTGCAAGCATTCTTTACAGATAATCAATAACCAAATTCAAAAGATCCTGCTAAATGGGATATCACACATAATATAATTTAAAAGTTTGACATTCCCACTTAAGTCAAAGCCTAGGATATTAAGTTCAATGGAGAACTTAATTTAAATTTAATTCAAATATATTCTCAAGGACACGTGGCAATAAAAAACATTCCAGTACTGCACATTTTATTTAGAGCGAGGGAATCATTTAACACTTTGTAAATTAGGAACTTTGAATTTAGGAAGTATTGTTTAGTATTGTTGACCTGATAGAGGTCTTCAAGCTCATGAAAGGTTTCGACAAGCTAGATATGGAAAAGCTGTGTCTGCTGGTAGGTGTGTCTGTGACCCGTGGTCACAGTCTTAAGATATCTGCCAAAAGAAGCAGAGGGGAGATTAGAAGAATTTTTTTCACTCAGCGAGTTGTTCGAATTTGGAATGATCTGCCTGAAAGGGAGTGAAGTCTGATTCGATAACAGCTTTTAAGAGAGAACTGGATAGGTATCTGGGGACGATGGGTTTGCAGGGTTATGGGGAGAAAGCTGGTGATTGGGGTTAGTGAAAGTGACTGCTCTGTCAAAGAGCCGCACAGACTCGATGGGCCGAATGGCCTCCTTCTGTGCCGTAACATTCTATGAATCTATGAATGGGAAATCTCATTGTAAAGTCACAGTGAAATTGTCACAAACTTGACTAACGTTCCACCTCCCCTCCTTCCATACTACAGTTGTGCTACGTTTCTGCTTTCTGTTACTGTTCCAGCTTTATTCAACACTCTTTGTTTGAAGAAACTACTCCAGGTATAATTTTCTCTGTTTTCACCCATGACACACCCAAACACACTTTCATTTAGGAGAGTAGCTTAGGCCATTATAGGGGCATTATTAAACAAAAATAACTAGTGCTGAAGCCAAAAGTGGAGATTTTGCAAACTATTATTAAGATACATTAAATCATTTTTAAGGTACCTACTCACACTGAAATACCTCAAATGTTTTTGCAGGCAAATGTGCCAGCAATTTGCAAGGTCCCACAACAACCAATGAGCTGAATGACCATTCAATCTGGAGGATTGTTGGCCAGCACATTGGAGGAAACTATCTTCTTGTTTTAAATAGTCAGGAAGTTTTTCACGTTCACCTAACAAGACAGATAGGATCTTGGTTTATGCGTCATCCGAGGGACGTCACCTCTAACAATGAATGTAGCATTCAGGTACTACACTGAAGTGACAGCTTAGACTTAAGCTCAGAACTGATTTGGGACAAAAATACTATGGGAGGATAATTATCTGCCTGGTAATATTGGACCAAATGGAGCACAGCAAACTTAATAACAAAACTTTGCATTTGATAAAGTAAGTGCCTTTCATATTAGGAGGACTTCTCAAAGCACTTCACAGGATTTACTGTATTCATTCACCCTCAAATAATAATAGAAAGAATGAGTGGGCACCTCAATTTTACAAAAAAAACTTGATGGATTCAGTTATGAATTCACCCTTTCATCCTCACATTGTTTTAAATGCCTGATGGAGACAATGGGAGTAAGAAGGAAATCAAGCATGCATTTGGATAAAAATGTAACTTAATGAAAAAAATAGTTAGTGAAGTTAATTAGTAAACTGGTAATTATGAAACAAGTGGAAAAAATGCTTTGTATTTCCAGTTAGTAACCAAATTGTAAACCTAGCATAAGAAGAAAGAAGCCAATGATAAAAGAGCAGTAATAATCCTTTGAAAGTATAGGATATAGTTTGAATGTTAAGAATTTGAAAAGAAATTGGGTGGAGGACAATTCACAGCTGTATGGCACAGTCAAAGGTTTGCCTTACCAAACAGGTTTAAATGTGTTTAAATGTTTAAATGTGTTTAAATGTTTAAATGGTAGATGTGGTGCAGGAAAGGTGAGAAAGTCTTTGGCATAGGGAGAAGAGGGGAGAGTCTTCTATCTGCTTTTGTGATACAAGAGGGCCTCTCTGGTAATTAAATCTGCAGCTCCTGCTAAAACAATGTGGAGTGGATACTGGGTCCTGGGCATTTCCGTTCAGCATTTTTTAGTTGGTATCCTCAATTATTTGCACTTTGAAAGAATGGCAGCCTTTGTCAAAACACTAAAGTTAGAGGAGGAGCTCAACTGACTATTCCACACACAGTCTCATAAATCTGGCGACTTAAGCAAATCTTTACCACTTCAAAATTGCTGCTGATGGCTATTGTCAAACAAAATAAATGTGATGCTGTGTGGACAAAATTATTAGTAACTTTATTCTGAATGTTTGAGTCTGATATGTGGGAAGTATCACTTGGACGCAGACAAAAGGTGTTCAAGTGAATTAATTAAGAGGGTCAATGTGTCCTATTGAATTGTGTGAGGAATATGAGAGCCACGAATAACTTATGTTATAATAATAATAATAATCCTTGCATTTGGTACAGCGCTGTTCACATCTCTAGACGTCTCAAAGAGCTTCACATAATATACAAGTAAAGTGAATTGACTGTATATTTGTGGGCAAAACACGGCAGCCAATTGCGCACAGGAGTGTCCCACAAACAGTCATGGATTGAGTGACCAAATTATTATCGTTTATTTTCTTGAGGGATTATTATCAGGCATGTGGAGTAAGGAAACTTGCCCAAGGTTTTGCCCTGCCGGGAATTGAACACAAGTCTCTCGCTTGCGAGGCAAGTACTCTAACCATTGAGCTACAGGACTCCATGCTCATAGTAGTTAACTATTAATAGTAGTAGAACATATACCACATTCTACTATTGGGATCAACCAGATTGCCGCTAAAGTATTTTCCACTTCTGTGCATTCCTAGAAATTGGTGCTAAGGGGGATATCAGTTCTGCCACCGTATCTCTCAGTTGCCCACTGAGAATGTTTTATGCTCAAGTATCTTCGAGGCAACCTAGGAAAAAACATTGTATGGAATGCCCCGAAGCAAAATATACATTCCACTCCAGTGCAGCATCAATGGGAGCAATGGGCTGGTGACAGCCATGGTGGCAAAGTGCAAACAAAAAGGCTGCTCACAGGCTGGCTCACCTGCAGTTTTACAGAAACAGTTTGGAATAGAAATAACTATTGTCAACTCTTGCAATTAATTTTACAAGGTAGGGAGTGAGAGGGTAGAGATTCTGTACAAAATATAGATCATGCATTTTTAGAGATGTCATCTAGGGCTCTCAGTTTTGGGTCCGAACGTTGTGACTTCAAGCGCCTAAATTCAGGACTTAAGTTCATGGTCTAGTCGTAGTCTAGGATGACATTCCAGTGCAATACTATGGGAGTGCTACGGCGTTGGATGTGCCATCTTTTGGATGAAGCATTAAGCTATCTTATCTGCCTGTTTGGGTAGGTGTTAAAGATCCCATGACACTGTGTTCATGGTGTTCCAAAAGTGTTCCTTCCAATGTCCTGGCTAACAGCTCTCCAGGTATATTGGTCATAAACTCCTGTTCACTTGATCTTCACAGACCTGCCCTTGCCTGGTTCGATTCTTATCTCTCTCACTGTTTCCACTTTGTTGCTTCTAACGGTTTCTCCTCCAGCCCCCGCACTGTCACATCTGGCGTCCCCCAGGGCTCTGTCCTTGGCCCTCTCCTCTTTAATATCTACATGCTCCCCTTGGTGACATCATCCGCAGACATGGGGTCAACTTCCATATGTATGCGGATAACACCCAACTCTATCTTTCTGCTCCACCCTCAACTCCAGGATCACTGCTGTCCTGACAGACTGCCTGTCGGACATCAAGTCCTGGATGAGGGCAAATTTCCTACAGTTGAATGTGAACAAGACTGAGGCCCTCCTGATTGGCTCACCCAGTGCCTCAGCACCTCAGGCTCCGGCAGCATCAACCTCCATGGTTGCACACTTCAGCTCACCAAACCAGTCAGGAACCTTGGTGTCTTGTTCGACCCTCAACTGTCTTTTCTTCCCCACATCCAAGCCATGACCCGCTCTGCCTTCTCTCACCTCTGTAACATCGCCCGACTCCACCACTACCTCACCCCTCAGGCCGCTGAAACTCTTGTTCATACCTTCATCACCTCCAGGCTCGACTATGCAAACTCCCTGCTTGTCGGCCTTCCCAACTCCTCCCTCCACAGGCTGCAGATAATCCAGAACTCTGAAGCCCATGTCCTCTCCTGCACCAAACTCGACCTCCCGCACTGCGACCTCCGAAACCCCTACCAGCCTGCCCGCTCCCTCCCCTCAGCCGGCTCCGGCCTGCTCCACGTCCTCCACCCCACCCACCCCACCATTGGTGGGAGAGCCTTCAGCCACTCTGCCCCCAACCTCTGGAATTCCATCCCGTAATCACTCCGCCTCACCCCCTCCTTAGTCTTCTTCAAGTCCCGCCTCAAGACTCTCCTCTTCGACCATGCCATCGGCCACCCCCCTTTCCCTCCCCTCCCTTCTACCCCCCCCCCACAGCTCAGTTCTGAAATATCCAGCGCCTTGGGACGTCCTCCCGACGTGAAAGGCGCTATACAAATCTAATCTTGTTGTTGTTGTTGTCATTCACTTCAGATCTACTTGCTGTGTGCAAATTGGCTACTGTGTTCATCTACAAATGAACAGCCACTTCTTGAAAGCAAGACGCTTTGAGACGTTTTAATGTTATAAATCCCCCGACCCCAACCCCCCCCCCCGACCCCAACCTCCAAACCCCCCGACCCCAACCTCCAACCCCCCCCGACCTCCAACCTCCAACCCCCCACCGACCCCAACCTCCAAACCCCCCCCGACTCCAACCCCCCCGATCCCAACCTCCAACCTCCCCCCTGACGCCAACCTCCAAACCCCCCCCCCCCCCGGCCCTATATCAGATATGGGAATTATCATCATGGGTAGATGAAGACTGCCTTCTATACACCAGGAGTTACAGTCTGTTCGCAGTTCTGAACTATAACAAGGAGTGACTGAACATCAACAGTATGTATATATTAATCACATTAAGACCATTAACATTATTCTGCCCTTAAATTGAGAAAGAAGATCCAACTGTTTTACCAACCTGAGCTGCTTTATCTTGTATTAGTTTACGTTGATGTTCTTCCTCTTGAAGTTTCAGCTCTAGTTCATGAATCTTATTCTGAATTGAAGAAAATGTAACTTCATTAATGTGACAGCATCTTTAACTTAGAAAAGGATATGCCCAAAAATATTGAGTCATCTTTAATTTAATTTGGAGTGCTTTGGAATTTTAGTTAGATTTGACACAAAAGAAATGTGAATATGGGCTCTTAAATCTTGTTCAGTGTAATAATAGTGAACAAAACCACTTGAATATACTGTCACCTGTCAGCGAACAAACCAGAAGATGAAAATTACAACATTTAGTCTATGTTTTGACAGCTTGGTTGGCTCCTATTTATGGCTGAATACTGAAACATTCTCTCTCCTCCCTTGCCCTGCCCACCACCAGCTCACAATTTCACAACTCACATCTCACTTATGAATTATTATGATAGAAGAGAGGTCACTGGATCTCAAATGTGAAAAGCCTTCCCATATGATAGCATGAACTGGACAAATAGTACAAGGTTACAATAATAATAATAATCCTTGCATTTGATATAGCGCTTTTCACGTCTTCGACGTCTCAAAGCGCTTCACAGAATAGACTGCAAGGTGAATTGACCGTACATTTGTGGGCGAAACGTGGCAGCCAATTGCGCACAGCAGTGCCCCACAAACAAGGCTCTAAAATAGTACAAGGTTTTATTCCAGTGTTGAATCCCTTTTTAGTTGGCTTACAGAGCAAGTTCAGAGAAATAAGGACTACTGTGAAGTGAATTTGACCCTAGGAGCTGTTGAGAACACTTATAGCTGAGGAAAACTGTATCAACGTACAAGGAAGCCAGAGATATCCTGCAAATCTTCCAATGTTGGGGGTGGTGGGGTAGGCTTGTAAGTTGTAAGTTGCAACATGGATATTATCGGAAAGGTTACACACTAAAATAATATTAACAATCCTTGCATTTGATATAGCGCTTTTCACGTCTTCTAGGTGTCTCAAAACGCTTTACAGAATATGCTGTAAAGTGAATTGACTGTATATTTGTGGGCGAAACGTGGCAGTCAATTGCGCACAGCAGTGTCCCACAGACAGTCGTAGATTGAAAATAACCAATTTATTATTATTATTGTTTTTTGGAGGGATTATTATAAGCGTGTCTATAAAACACACAGAACAATCTTTTTATGAACTTTTCTGATGGTTTGAGATTTTTGTTAACAAACCAGTATTCTGTACTTACACAGTAAATACAAATCTGAGCAGTGCAGCACACAAAGAAAAATGTGATGAGCATGAATTTGAAGACTTAACAGCCCAGGGCAGGGGGAACAGGAAAATGTACAGCTTTATGCTCTCTTGGTCAATTCACGGACTTTAAAATAAAAGGCTTTTACTTGCCTCGGCTCTGTCCTGTGTTGCATTAACTTTGAAACAGTCTTGTTCTAGGATTTCCAGCTTTTCTAGCTTTGATTGCAGTTCTGCATTATCCCAGTACCTTTCCAACTGCAATGAGGCCTAAAGGTCAAGATTATAGCACATAATGTTTAATGACGGACCATTAAAACTGGGTAATAATCAGTACAGTATGTTCAGAAACGATTAATTCACACTATACAGAAGGGGTGATGCCTTGTTCTCTTCCTCATATCCGCGCCACGACTGGCACAGCCTTCCATCACCTCCAAAACATTGCCAGACTACGGCACTACCTCACCCCTCACGCTGCTGAAACTCTGGTCCACGCCTTTATCACCTCAAGGTTGGACTATGGGAACTCTCTCCTCGTCGGCCTTCCCGCCACCTCCCTCCACACTGCAGGTCATTCAGAACTCTGCAGCTCGTGTACTGTCCCGCACCAGGCTTCGGGACCACATCACTCCCACCCTCGCTCGCCTCCACTGGCTCCCCATCCCCCAGAGGATCCAATTCAAGATCCTCATCCTCACCTACAAGGCCATTCACGGCCTTACTCCCTCCTATCTCTCTGACCTACTATCCCCCTACCTACCTGCCCGTACCCTCCGTTCCTCTGGCTCCGATCTGCTCCACATCCCCCGCCCCTAACCGCCCTACCATCGGTGGCCGGGCCTTCAGCCTCTCAGCCCCCAGGCTCTGGAACTCCATCCCCCAGTGCCTTCGCCGCTTCCTCCCTTTCCTCCTTCAAGGCCGGTCTCAAGACCTTTCTCTTTGATCGAGCCTTCAGCTCCCCTCTCGACTCTCTTCCCCCTCCTCACTCCCTCCCTTCCCTCCCTCACCCTGACCATTTCCCCCTCCTCGCTCCCTCCCTTCCTCCCCTCACCCTGACCATTCCCCCCCTGCTCGGGTCCTGACCCAACTGTCCAGTGCCTTGGGACGTCCTCCCGACGTGAAAGGCGCTCTATAAATGAAATCTTGTTGTTGTTGTTGTTGTTCTCACCGGAGTTAAATATCGATTATTAGCAAAATAAACTCAAAGCAGCTTCAATCCAGTTTACAGCACAAAATTGCCCCATTCATCCCAAATCTGAGGGTAAATTTGTTAGACAGAAAAGACAAGAATTATTAGAAACAACAGTTCAAGATACATTTGATTCAATTTAGTTCTGAGTATCTTTTACTGTAAGTGTAAACTAAAGGAGTGATTTTAAAATCAGCTAGCCAAGCAAAATTACAGATTGGAAAATAAACGTCACAGACACATAGCAGTAGATATGCAAAAGTAATTGATATTGTATTCTTTAATTTCTTCAGAATAGAATGAGGTAAAATAGAAAGAGAGTAGTTGCATTTTTGTAACACATTATCAGATTAAAGTGTATCAAAAAGCTTCACAAATAATTATTACCAAGTACTATGACTGTTTTAGTCAGCAAATACAGTCCAGCCATATCCCATGAGGTGAATAATATTAATCTAGATGATCATTTGCTCTGGTTGGAATCTTCAACTTCCATGACCAAGCAGACGAGACTTCAGCTTTAATATTTCATTTTAAAGACGGCACCTCAGATAATCTAGCATTCACCAGTACTGCACTGGAATATCAGCCTCAACTATGAGCTCAAAGTCGTAACAAGGGGCTTGGAGATCACAACCGTCTGACCTCGACAGGACTGCTGTCAAATCAGTAGAATCCCAGTTTGGTTTGGGTACTCTTAAGCATGGTGATAAATGTATCCATGCATGCAGCTGACCAACAAAAAACTGTCAACTGAGCCAAGCTGATATCGACATACGAATTTCATTGGGAATATTATTACAAAAATCTTACATTTGATATTGCGCCTTTCACGTTGGGAGGATGTCCCAAAGAGCTTCAGAGGACATACTATAAAGTGAGGTAACTGTGTGGTTTTGTGGGCAAACAATTTGTGCACAGCAATGCCCCAGAAAGAGTCATAAAGTGAATGACCATTTTAATAAAGGTTATAAGACGGGGTTTCCCAGATCATACTATAAAATCATACATTGATTTTAACAGACAGCGAAGATTAGTTATACAGTAATCAAAGAGGCTAATGGATATGGGAAATTATCACAGAATATGGAAACAGGTAATTGTTACTAATTATGGAGTCCTGTAGCTCAGTGGTTAAGCACTCGCTTTGCAAGTGAGAGACCTGAGTTCAATTCCAGGTCAGAGGGCGAAACCTTGGGCAAGTTTCCTTACTTCACACAGAGCCTAATAATAATCCCTCCAAAACCAAAAACAATAATAAATTGGTCATTTTCAATCCATATAACTGTTTGTGGGACATTGCTGTGCGCAATTGGCTGCCGCGTTCGCCCACAAATATACAGTCAATTCACTTTACAGTGTGTTCTGTGAAGCGCTTTGGGACGTCCTCCCGACGTGAAAAGCGCTATATCAAATGCAAGGATTATTATTATTATTATTATGGAGTGATGGGCAAACCTTATCTGTAGTATTATGTTCAATCTTGATCTCCTTTTGGCCACCAATGGGAGCATTATAATTAGATTTAGTACCCCTTGAGTAGGGAGAATGGGAGAAACGAAGCCTAGGACTATTGTCTTCCTACCATTCCTGTGAGTGAGTGAATAATAATCCTTGCATTTGATATAGCACCTTTCACATTTTCGAGACGTCTCAAACCTCCATACAGAATATACTGTAAAGTAAGTTGACTGCATATTTTGTGGGCTAATCTTGGGCAAAGAAGGAATCGGCTGACTAAAATCACCTTATAGTCAAATATCCTGCTGATGCACCTGCTATTGGGCTCACAGGCGAAGAAAGGTCACTTAAGTAAGCACCAGACGGCAGATGGCATCAATTAGAACTGTACACCAACCAATAGAAAGTAAAATATGCATTTTTTGCTCATTAACTAAGCAGTGAAACAGAACCACAGATACCGCACCCTGTAATATCAACTGTAATAACATTCTACATTCTTACCTGCTTTTCCAGTAAAATATTCTTTTCAGTTTCTGCTTGTACCACCATATTCCTCATATAGTCAAGCTGTTTCTCGAGCAGTGAGCACCGACCTTCAACAGTTGCCAGTTGAGCACAAATTTCTGAACAGAATATTAACAATCAGAGTTCCACAACTAGTTCAGTAACGACATATTGGTTGCCTTGAAGAGCAGCATTTGGCTTCTAACCTCTACCCTTCCTGTCCCACTAAGTTCACTAAGTTCAAAATGATTTTACTCTCTCTTCTTTGGCCTGGTAGGTTACAAACTTAAGACCACACTTCTCTAAGGCAGCTATCGAGGTTACTTAGGCAAAGTAAGAATGCCCCCTCCCTTGCCTCCTTCAAAACCCGTCTCAAGACCCTCCTCGTCGACTATGCCTTTGGTCACCTTTCTAACCCTACCCTCCCCACCCTCCACCCCTCCTGATCCCAACCACCAGCTCGGGTGCAGACTGTCCAGCTCCTTGGAGTGTGAAAGGCGCCAATCAAATGTCATTTATTGTTGTTGTTGTTGTTACGTCACACTTAATATCTGTGTGCCTCTGTGGAACAAGGTTGACCCTAACTGTTTATATCTCTTTCCTAACACCCTCAAAAAGACACACACACAGACTGCTACAATGCTCTACCAACTGAGCCAGATTGACATCAGGGTGAATACAGAATGCAGTAAATAATAAGTGCACTAATTTACCTAACCATGCCATCCCACAATAATAATTCTTGCATTTGAAATTGTGTCTTATCACGCCGTCAAGACATTTCAAAGCACTTAACAGAATTTTTCAGTGAAGTGTAGCAACTGGATATTTGTAAGCAAATGCGGCAGCCAACCTGCGTACAGCAATGTCCCACAAACAGCTGAACAAGAAGGTTTGGACAAAGGGTTAAATTCTTCAATCAAGCTCAAGAGAAATCATTGCGCTGATTCAGTATCTTGCCACATTCACAGCATGAACACAATAACATACTAAAAACTGAGCAAAAACATTAATATTGTAGAATTTTTTGAAAATCGACTTAAAAGTACATAAAACAATAGTAATAATGCAAGTCATGTTCACCATTAGTTACTTGACTCTTGACATTAACGACCTCCTTCTTTTCTTGCTCCAAAGCGTTTTTATATTGACTGGCCTCAAGACCCAAACGCTTTAGGTTTTGTTCAGCTTTTGTTCGCTCCACTTCCATGCACCAAATCTTTTCCTGAAGGCTTTTCAAAGCAGATGCCACTGCTGGTTATTCGCAAGAAACAAAACAACAAGGATAATTAGGTTATGATAGGGGGCAACAAAAGAAGGGGGTGATCCAGTAAAGACGCAGCCTTTCACCTCTGACACTTGGGATCTGAATCCATCCAGAATTGATCAGATAGAACATTCCCCGGTCTTTGTTTTGTAGTGTTTATTATTCCTCAGTGGAGGTGAGGGAGGGGTAAAGGGAGTCTCCTGTTTGCAAGGGTGACATTCTTGTCAGAATTATGTGAACCCTCCATCTGTGGCAGTCTCAGTATTCCAGGTCCTGAGCCACTTGGGTCCACAGTACTCCAGGGAGCTGCCAATGACAGACCAGCCCATCTTGATCCTTGGGAGGGCATGGAAGGGTAAACTAGTTACTGGGGGACTCTTCCCACTCAGCTCATGTTAACTCTCAAACCAAAGCCCTAACATGTAGGGTGGTACAGCTAGACACACAGTGGGAAGTTTGCTTTCAGTGCCAGCTATGTAGTTTTAGTTGGTTAAACTCCCAGCCTTGGCTCTTTTCTACATGTACCTAAGACTCTCCAGAATTAAGTAAGCAGGGTGTGTCCCTCCAGGGAGAGAGTGCATTCTATTCCAGACACAAGGAATCCATGTGTCGGTGGCATACATGCATTGAACTCTCAGTTGCTTTGGGTACTCTTAAGCATGGTGATGGGTTCCCATGTGTTCCCAGCTGATTAAAAGTCAAACAATTTTTGTTTCTTTAGTCTGCATTCAGCCTATACTACACATGAATTGCCAGTCAGGTATAACACAATCAGCAAAGTAGAACATCACCAGTCTTCGCTCATGGAGTAACCTAAACTCAGAAGTGCATCCCGATTGAAGTTCATAATTTAGTGCGAAATTTGCACTGGCAATTTTGCCTCGTTGGACTATAGCCAATAGACAACGAGTTTCAGACATTTTCATGTAAGATCCTTATTGCTGTTAAAGGGGCTTTTACCCAAACAGTCCAGGCTGCATTCAAACCCATATTTCAAAGGTTAGGGTTATAAACTACTGCAAAGCTCAAAACAGTTCAATTTGTTACTTTAAAATAATATTCCTTGTCTGAATTGTCTGGGTGGTATTAATACAGTCATCATAAATCCAGACAATGTAATGCTTCAAACATTAATTCCAGATGTTTAAAAGCTGTGCAATATATTTTGTAAATGATTGTATAAAAAGATAGTGTTGCGTGTAAAAATTAAAATAATTAAAAAGACAAGTCCTGTTCTAAATGACCGCAATTTTCTGCAGGTTATCCACAAATGAGTATAGTTTGTCCAATGTTAAATTTCCATGAATTTTCTCCCCCTTCCCCCATTCAATTGATCAGAGGTGGAACTAGGAACGAGCATATTATACAACGAAAATGAGCCTCTTTCTGTTCACGCTCCAAAAAGTCCCATTTGCATTCGCAAAAAAAGCCACACTAGTCTTAATGGTAAACAAACTTTGAATTGTAAACAATTGTAAAGCATTTATTTTACAAATCAAAATCCCTTTCCCCACAAACAACATGTACCTTTGCTATTTAGACCTAAATCGATCACACCAATGCTTTCAGATGTTCTCTCCATGGCGAGGTCCACTTGATTAGAGACTGGCCTTTGTTCAACACCAGCAGTGGGCACTGAAATTTTCTCCAGGCTTGGCGGCTGACAGTAACTTCCTGTAAAGCTATGTTTGAATGGAGAGTCCATACTCTAAGAAGGTGAAAAAATCTTTAGAATGAACACATTAATAAATAAATCATAGACATTTGTGAGAAATGTTCCAAATCTAGTGGTAGTGAAATTTATTTGTTTTTACATTCCCACCAATATCATCATGCCGACCCTCTCAACATATTGGAAATACTAGGAATGAGATTTAAAAACAGAAAAAGTGACAAATTCAAATCCCCTTATAAATATGCACCTGCACTTATTTTCGCAAAGTAATATGTTAAGTATGTTATACTTTTAAGCTAAAATGAAATACTTAATAGGGGGCATGTGGCAGGCCTGGCATGCCTATTTCTCAGTTGAGAAGGCAAGTCAATCTGCAAAATAAAACGTTCACATGTATAGTTTAATTGTTGTGGTTAATTCCATCCCCTACCCACTCTCGCTGTGCACGTGTGTGCCAGTAATGACAGATTTGTGCCTAGTTGTGATATGATGGCCTGTCTACACTCACTGTCCAGGCTTGTTCATGGGGATTGGTATTTGAGCTAGGTGCCGGAGGGCACCTTTGGAAATGTATCCAACCTTGAGTCAGCACCTTCAGGAGGGCACCAAGAGATAAGTGTACTTAAGAATGTTTACTGAGAGGCGGAATGGGCCTTTCCTTTCCTGGTATACTCTCCCGCACCAGGATCAGTGACCCCATCGCCTCCACCCTCACCCGGCTCCACTGGCATCCCAACCCCTTTAAGGGGCTCCACGGCCTTGCCCTATCCTAGCTCTGTGACCTGCTCGCCCCATATCAACCTGTCTGCTCCCTCCACGTCTCAAGACCCTCCTCTTTGACCATCCACCTACCATCCCTGCCATCCACCCTCCCTGATTCACCCCCACCCCCTCAGGGGTCCAAATCCTCCAGAAGTGAAAGGCGCTATACAAATGCAATTTTATATTGTATTTTGTATTGTATGCTCAAGAAGGGGAAAATAGCAACAACAAAAAATGGCAGCATCAACTATCCATAGCTACAATTACACAACATAGGAAATGAACCTCTCTATGGTCATTCTACACCCGGTGCCAAATGAAAACATAAATTAGACCAGAATGAGAACCAAGCCTCAGGTTGCTAAGCTAACAAGATCATCAAATCATCTCTTTAAAGTCCTTGAGGCTATTGAATCTAAAGTAAATACCAGCTAGATAATGATTTTGGTTTTATTCAGCCCCCCCCAAAATTGTTTGCAAGTTAAAGCTGATTTTTTATCTCTTCATCATTTGATGAGGATTATATCCCAGCCCTGAAACACAACACAACTTTATACCTAAAGAGCAGGATAATGATAACAATCAAGTTCAATTCAGACAAGATATATATATATATATACACCAGAGTGGCAGATGTAAATTGTAATTCTCTACACCATTCACCCCGGGGGTTGCAATATTAAAATAAAGTTCGTTTTATGTAAATCGGATATAAATAGTCTCAAAAGAAGATTAACATGACCTTGAAATGAATCCCCCCCCAAATCCAGAGTCCCAGATGAGGCCAACATAATATCTTGATTCCATCATTTACAGTTTGCCACAAAACACCGTCACCAGTCAGGGAGGACCACCTAAATAAATAGCCATTTCAAAAAGAGATCAGTCCGAGCAGCAGTGTCTGTGTGTAACTGGGGGGCAGTGTGTGTGTGTGTAATTGGGGGCAGTGTGTGTGTGTGTGTAACTGGGGGCAGTGTGTGTGTGTGTAATTGGGGGCAGTGTGTGTGTGTGTGTGTAATTGGGGGCAGTGTGTGTGTGTGTAACTGGGGGCAGTGTGTGTGTGTGTGTAACTGGGGGCAGTGTGTGTGTGTGTGTAATTGGGGGCAGTGTGTGTGTGTGTGTGTAATTGGGGGCAGTGTGTGTGTGTAATTGGGGGCAGTGTGTGTGTGTGTGTAACTGGGGGGCAGTGTGTGTGTGTGTAACTGGGGGCAGTGTGTGTGTGTGTGTGTGTAATTGGGGGCAGTGTGTGTGTGTGTGTGTAATTGGGGGCAGTGTGTTGTGTGTGTGTAATTGGGGGCAGTGTGTGTGTGTGTGTGTAATTGGGGGCAGTGTGTGTGTGTGTGTGTGTAATTGGGGGCAGTGTGTGTGTGTGTAATTGGGGGCAGTGTGTGTGTGTGTAATTGGGGGCAGTGTGTGTGTGTGTGTGTAATTGGGGGCAGTGTGTGTGTGTGTGTGTGTAATTGGGGGCAGTGTGTGTGTGTGTGTAATTGGGGGCAGTGTGTGTGTGTAATTGGGGGCAGTGTGTGTGTGTGTGTAATTGGGGGCAGTGTGTGTGTGTGTGTGTGTGTAATTGGGGGCAGTGTGTGTGTGTGTGTGTAATTGGGGGCAGTGTGTGTGTGTGTAATTGGGGGCAGTGTGTGTGTGTGTAATTGGGGGCAGTGTGTGTGTGTGTGTAATTGGGGGCAGTGTGTGTGTAATTGGGGGCAGTGTGTGTGTGTGTGTGTAATTGGGGGCAGTGTGTGTGTGTGTGTAATTGGGGGCAGTGTGTGTGTGTGTGTGTAATTGGGGGCAGTGTGTGTGTGTGTGTGTGTGTGTAATTGGGGGCAGTGTGTGTGTGTGTGTGTAACTGGGGGCAGTGTGTGTGTGTGTGTTTGGGGGCCTGTGTGTGTGTGTGTAATTGGGGGCCTGTGTGTGTGTGTGTGTAATTGGGGGCAGTGTGTGTGTGTGTAATTGGGGGCAGTGTGTGTGTGTGTGTGTGTGTAATTGGGGGCAGTGTGTGTGTGTGTGTAATTGGGGGCAGTGTGTGTGTGTGTGATTGGGGGCAGTGTGTGTGTGTGGTAATTGGGGGCAGTGTGTGTGTGTGTGTGGGGGCAGTGTGGTGTGTGTGTAATTGGGGGCAGTGTGGTGTGTGTGTGTGTGGTGTGTAATTGGGGGCAGTGTGTGTGTGTGTTGTGTGTGTGTGTGTAATTGGGGGCAGTGTGGTGTGTGTGTGTAATTGGGGGCAGTGTGTGTGTGTGTAATTGGGGGCAGTGTGTGTGTGTGTAATTGGGGGCAGTGTGTGTGTGGTGTAATTGGGGGCAGGTGTGTGTGTGTGTAATTGGGGGCAGTGTGTGTGTGTGTAATTGGGGGCAGGTGTGTGTGGTGTGGTAATTGGGGGCAGTGTGTGTGTGTGTGTAATTGGGGGCAGTGTGTGTGTGTGTGTAATTGGGGGCAGTGTGTGTGTGTGTGTAATTGGGGGCAGTGTGTGTGTGTGTGTGGTGTGTAATTGGGGGCAGTGGTGTGTGTGTGTAATTGGGGGCAGTGGTGTGTGTGTGTGTTGTAATTGGGGGCAGTGTGTGTGTGTGTGTAATTGGGGGCAGTGTGTGTGTGTGTAATTGGGGGCAGTGTGTGGTGTGTGTAATTGGGGGCAGTGTGTGTGTGTGTAATTGGGGGCAGTGTGTGTGTGTGTAATTGGGGGCAGTGTGTGTGTGTGTGTGTATGGGGGCAGTGTGTGTGTGTGTGTAATTGGGGGCAGTGTGTGTGTGTGTGTGTGTAATTGGGGGCAGTGTGTGTGTGTAATTGGGGGCAGTGTGTGTGTGTGTGTGTGTGTGTAATTGGGGGCAGTGTGTGTGTGTAATTGGGGGCAGTGTGTATGTGTGTGTGTGTGTAATTGGGGGCAGTGTGTGTGTGTGTAATTGGGGGCAGTGTGTGTGTGTGTAATTGGGGGCAGTGTGTGTGTGGTGTAATTGGGGGCAGTGTGGTGTGTGTGTGTGTAATTGGGGGCAGTGTGTGTGTGTGTGTGTAATTGGGGGCAGTGTGTGTGTGTGTGTAATTGGGGGCTGTGTGTGTGTGTAATTGGGGGCTGTGTGTGTGTGTGTGTAATTGGGGGCAGTGTGTGTGTGTGTGTAATTGGGGGCAGTGTGTGTGTGTGTGTGTGTAATTGGGGGCAGTGTGTGTGTGTGTGTAATTGGGGGCAGTGTGTGTGTGTGTGTAATTGGGGGCAGTGTGTGTGTGTGTAATTGGGGGGTGTGGTAATGGGGGCAGTGTGTGTGTGTGTGTAATTGGGGGCAGTGTGTGGTGTGTGTGGTGTGTGTAATTGGGGGCAGTGTGTGTGTGTGTGTAATTGGGGCAGTGTGTGTTGTGTATTGGGGGCAGTGTGTGTGTGTGTGTAATTGGGGGCAGTGTGGTGTGTGTGTAATTGGGGGCAGTGTGTGTGTGTGTGTGTAATTGGGGGCAGTGTGTGTGTGTGTGTAATTGGGGGCAGTGTGTGTGTGTGTGTGTAATTGGGGGCAGTGTGTGTGTGTGTGGTGTGTAATTGGGGGCAGTGGTGTGTGTGTGTAATTGGGGGCAGTGTGGTGTGTGTGTGTGTAATTGGGGGCAGTGTGTGTGTGTGTGTGTGTGTGTGTGTAATTGGGGGCAGTGTGGTGTGTGTGTGTGTGTAATTGGGGGCAGTGTGGTGTGTGTGTGGTAATTGGGGGCAGTGTGTGTGTGTGTGTGGTGTGTGTGTGTGTGTAATTGGGGGCAGTGTGTGTGTGTGTGTGTGTGTGTAATTGGGGGCAGTGTGTGTGTGTGTGTGGTGTGTAATTGGGGGCAGTGTGTGTGTGTGTGTGTAATTGGGGGCAGTGGTGGTGTGTGTAATTGGGGGCAGTGTGTTGTGTGTGTGTGTGTAATTGGGGGCAGTGTGTGTGTGTGTGTGGGGGGGGGGTGTGTGTGTGTGTGTGTGTAATTGGGGGCAGTGTGTGTGTGTGTGTGTAATTGGGGGCAGTGTGTGTGTGTGTGTGTGTGTAATTGGGGGCAGTGTGTGTGTGTGTGTGTGTGTGTTTGTGTGTAATTGGCGAATGGTTGAAAACATCTCAATTTACTACAGACCCCGAAAAGACGAACTTACTTTGAAAATTAGAAACCTTCATAAACTGAGGGCTACACAGAGACACAGAGGCCTTCCACCTGACTATATATATATATATATATATATGTGTGTGAGTGTGTGAGAGTGTGAGAGTGTGTACCGTACAGTATACTCACTGAGGGCCCGGGGGGGGGGGGGGGGGTGGGGGGGGTCACGGAGTCGGAGTGTGTACCGTTTCCACAGACGCCGCTGGTAACCGGGAAGGCTCTTCCCCGCTCTTCCCTCCTCCCCCCCCCCCCCCGCTTCTTCCCTCCTCTGCTCTTCCCTCTCCCCCCCCCCCCCCCGCCCCCTCTTCCCTCCTCTCTCTCCTCCCTCTGCTCTCCTCCCCCCTGCTCTTCCCTCCCCCCCCCCGCTCTTCCCTCCTCTGCTCTTCCCTCCTCCCCCCCCCCCGCTCTTCCCTCCTCTGCTCTTCGCTCCCCCTCCTCCTCTCCCCCTGCTCTTCCTCCTCCCCCTGCTCTCCCCCCCTGCTCTTCCCTCCTCCCCCCCCGCTCTTCCCTCCTCTGCTCTTCCCTCCTCCCCCCCCCCCGCTCTTCCCTCCTCTGCTCTTCCGCTCCCCCTCCTCCTCTCCCCCTGCTCTTCCCTCCTCCCTCTGCTCTCCTCCCCCTGCTCTTCCCTCCCCCCCCCCCCCCCGCTTTTCCCCTCCTCTGCTCTTCCCTCCCCCTGCTCCCTCCCTGCTCTTCCCCCCCTCCTCCCCCGCTCTTCCCTCCTCCTCCCCTGCTCTTCCCCCTCCTCCCCCGCTCTTCCCCTCCCCTCCTCCCCCGCTCTTCCCCTCCCCTCCTCCCCCGCTCTTCCCCTCCCCTCCTCCCCCGCTCTTCCCCTCCCCTCCTCCCCCGCTCTTCCCCTCCCCTCCTCCCCCGCTCTTCCCCTCCCCTCCTCCCCCTGCTCTCCCCCCACTCCTCTCCCTGTTGATTCGTTCTCAGTTCTATGTGACTTCCCGAAGGTGAGCGGTTAAATTGAACCCCATTTCCAGTAATTCTGTACAGCCAAACCCACAGGAAGTACATGAAAGCAGCCCAAGGTGTTGCCCTCCCGGTGACGTCTCTCTTGCTCAGCAAACCCTGGGTGACTACTGTTGGATCCAATCATTCTATGATACAGCAAGTTTCAGCTCCAGGGCTCTGTGTCCCATACTGTCCCAATGTTGGCGCTGACGTGGTTTGTCCTGTTTGTACACCTAAGAGTTCAAGTAAAAACTACATCTAAAATGTATATACTGTAGGGCCTTCACACAGGATAATGTCTCGGAGCACTTCACGATCAGTCAGACACTGGGCAAGAAAAGGGGGGGGTGGGGGGAGGATGACCGTAGAGATGGTCAAATAGGTCTTTTTTGTAAGGTGGATTTTAGAATCAGATACAGAGCGGATGAGTTGGAGGGACAGGGAGGGCATTCCAGAGATTCAGTGTTTGAACAATGAAAGTGTAACATTAGTGTTGTGCGCGCGTGTGTTTCGAAAGCAGTTTCTTAATAAGCACATTTTTCCATTTGATGCCGTACAGTGTGACATTTGAGGATTTGTACAGTGTGACATACCAACAATCGCTTCAAATTTCTTGGAAGTAGGGAATAGTGTGGCCTATGGGACTCGACAAATCCACATTCCTCACCTGTTTCTCCAGCACAGTCACTACAGTTTCAGTCGCTTTGTTTTTGAATGCCTTCTTCATGCAGTCTTCCAGCAGTGCACAATGGACCTCGGTAGTTGACAGTTGAGCAGACAGACCTAAACAAATG